TGTAGTGAAAGTCTTGTGGTTGATATTTTTGTGTGGGTGCTTTTGACTTTTAATGATCTATGGAAGGGTGGACTCTGATGATTATACTTGTTGTTGGAACTCTTTTTTCTTGCAGGATGCCAGTTAGGAACTACAATGATTCTTCTGCGTTCCAGGTTGAGAGGGATTCCTCAGCTGGCCGTGGCTTCCAAGAACCATCATCGCCTAAAATGGCCAAGTCTCCATCTCTTCAGAGAGGTCATAATGTTTTTCGTTCCCAGGAACTGTGCTTTAATAGTGAAGAATCGCCCAATGATCGTAGCCCCACACCAGAGAAAATGGGAGAAAATGGCTCATCACTGGATGTTGGTGATAAGGAACCAACCATCAAAAGACAAGATAGTTTCGAAATGCGGTTACCAGAACTACCAAAAATTGACGTTCAGTGTCCACAACGTCAGAAATCAAATGGTTCAGATCCTGAGTCCCCTATATCACCCCTTTTGATATCAGATCCCCAAAACGAGCGCTCCCATTCACAGACTTTTAGCCGCCCTCTTGGTCATTCGGATGACACTTCAGCAAATGTTAAGGTGGCCAAGGACGGTCAACACAAAGAGCCACCTTCATTTTGGAGGTTGGCACAGCTTAGTTTTCCAGAGTGGCTATATGCTGTATTAGGGAGTATTGGTGCTGCCATCTTTGGTTCTTTCAATCCTCTTCTAGCTTATGTAATTGCATTAGTGGTGACGACATACTATGAGAGCACAGGAAGCCACCTGCGTGAGGAGGTTGACAAGTGGTGCTTGATCATTGCCTGTATGGGAATAGTGACAGTTGTTGCCAATTTTTTGCAGCATTTCTACTTTGGTATTATGGGGGAGAAAATGACTGAGAGAGTGCGGAGGATGATGTTCTCAGGTACTACAAACCTTTCTCCATTGTTTAACTCACTTCACTATGCGTTACTACTTTCACTTGCTTGGTTCATTAATTTTCTCTGATGTGACAGCGATGCTGCGTAATGAAGTTGGATGGTATGACGAAGAAGAGAACAGTCCAGATACATTATCCATGCGCCTAGCAAATGATGCCACTTTTGTCCGAGCCGCCTTCAGCAACAGGCTTTCGATATTTATTCAGGACAGTTTTGCTGTTATCGTTGCCATTCTTATTGGATTGCTCCTCGGTTGGCGTCTGGCCCTTGTTGCATTGGCGACTTTGCCAGTACTTACTCTTTCTGCCATTGCCCAGGTTTGTTTCTTTCTTCAGTGTTCCCCAACAAGCCTTTTATTACGGTCAAGAAGACCGTTTGAAGTTGTTTCCTTATGTCTTTTTGTTCCCAGTTCCAGTTTAGTAGTTGCATGCTTCACTCTGTCAAAATTGTTTCTAATTTTTGCAATATGTATCCAGTTCTTTTTTTGGATAAATAGGTTTCCAGTTCAAGTAGCGATTTAAGATGTGAATTTTTCTATATAAGACATTTTTTCATCTCAGCCTCATGCACTTAGCTTGGAAGTCTTTTTATGTTCTGCAAGTGCAGGTTTCTAATAACCCTTAAAATAAAATTTTCAGAAACTTTGGCTGGCTGGATTCTCAAAGGGCATCCAGGAGATGCATCGAAAGGCGTCTTTAGTTCTTGAGGATGCTGTCAGAAACATATATACTGTTGTTGCTTTCTGTGCCGGTAACAAGGTGATGGAACTCTACAGACTGCAACTCCAGCGGATACTCAGGCAGAGCTTTTTCCACGGGATGGCTATTGGCTTTGCGTTTGGCTTCTCACAGTTTCTTCTCTTCGCCTGTAATGCACTCCTCCTCTGGTACACCGCAATATCAGTAGACCGCAGATATATGAAATTATCTACAGCTCTAACCGAGTACATGGTCTTCTCTTTTGCTACATTTGCCCTTGTCGAGCCATTCGGGTTAGCGCCTTACATTCTCAAGCGCCGTAGATCTCTCGCTTCAGTTTTTGAAATCATAGATCGAGTTCCTACAATTGAACCTGATGATACCTCAGCTCTTAGTCCGCCTAATGTCTATGGAAGCATTGAATTGAAAAACATCGACTTCTGCTACCCAACCCGCCCAGAAGTGTTAGTACTAAGCAACTTCAGCCTCAAAGTCAATGGGGGACAGACTGTAGCTGTTGTTGGTGTTTCTGGGTCTGGAAAGAGCACAATAATTTCATTGATCGAGAGATACTATGACCCAGTTGCTGGTCAGGTCTTATTAGATGGGCGAGACTTGAAGTCATATAATTTGAGATGGTTAAGAAGCCATATGGGTCTGATACAACAGGAACCAATAATCTTTTCCACGACAATCAGAGAAAACATTATTTATGCGAGGCATAACGCGAGTGAAGCTGAGATGAAGGAAGCAGCAAGAATTGCAAATGCCCACCATTTTATCAGCAGCTTACCTCACGGTTACGACACGCATATCGGGATGAGAGGTGTTGAACTTACCCAAGGACAAAAACAGAGAATCGCCATAGCTCGGGTTGTGCTGAAGAATGCTCCTATACTGTTGATTGACGAAGCAAGTTCATCTATTGAATCTGAGTCCAGCCGTGTTGTGCAGGAAGCTCTTGATACATTGATATTGGGTAACAAAACAACGATTCTGATAGCTCATAGAGTAGCGATGATGAGACATGTGGATAACATTGTGGTTCTCAATGGAGGCAAAATCGTTGAGGAAGGTACACATGATTCTTTAGCGGCGAAAAACGGATTGTATGTCCGTTTAATGCAACCACATTTTGGCAAGAATCTACGGCGACATCAACTGATCTAGAGAGATTGGACGCTGGTGCCTAATTGAGATTAGTTCAGTCACATACCAACCATCACGTGATATGCCGTGGGATACTGTTATTGGATGCGATTACGAGACCTAACTTGCATCTGCTGAAAGGCTTATCAAGTCCGGGATGACACCAAATGAGCAGAAGTTGTACAATCACGGTTAGATTCTGTAAGCAAACTAGGAGCTTGTAGACGTTAGATTCCCTTATTCTTTCACGAGACGAAGCAATGGAGGAGTAGGATTGTGTATTTATTCATTGCTTGGGCCTCGAAGGTATATCGATTTGTTTATTTAACTGACGGTTAGAGGTAATTTTATTTGCTGGGGTTTGTTTTTTTCGTTGTTGTTTGTGAGTGATTTAGATGGAGAAATGTGTAATGTTTAGGAAGAAAGAGAACACATGTGTCTGTTTTGTAAATACATCAAATCCACTTTATTTGCCAGTTTGATTGAATTATTGAACCAACTCAGTATCTATCTCACAATGCCAAAAGCATTGTTGGAGTTGCATAGAATATGAAAAATATTCAGTTGTTATCTACATACAATTTTGTAACCAGAGAGAGAGAGAATATATAGAAGTAACATAAGATGTTTCTTGTGTCCCTTCAAATCTGAAGGATCTTCAAAGAGTCGGCCACAACTTGAAGCTGCTTTTTCACTTTCCTCCACCTCCTCTCGTTTGCTCCAACTATGAGTGTGTAGTACCTGTCTGCAAACATCAAACCAATCAAACACGTTTAGTTCCTCACTTTCTTTTCCCATTTGTGATTTTGATTATCTCTTATTTATAATCTCTGCTTACTGTTTCCAACTGCCACTGTTGCAAAGGAAGTGGTTGCATAGATGGGAGTTCTTAGTCCATACTCAAAAGTGTAATAGTTCCTTCCATCCTCCACCCTCTGCATTTTCATCTTTCATTTGTTTATAAAGATCCAATCTCAAAACTTCGATGGTTCTATAAGATCGATAAACAATCTGACCTCTTTCATGTCGTAGATGGTAGCTACTTGGTTTGGTGCTGCATACTTATGCTTCACTAGATCATAAACCACCTGATGAACATATGAGAATGATGAACCATTGTCAATTCTCAAATGACATATAGAGAAGAGGGGGAGTAAGATGTGCAATACATACCTCTTCCATAGGACCTACTTCACGGATGTCGTTTTTCTCTGTTGGTATGAACCTGACCCGAACATTCTGCAGTTGCAGGTATCTATCTTTGAAGGCGGAATCATGCGCCCTGAAGTCAAATTCCTATATAGTTTGCATGGAACAAGATCATCTCAGAGCTTATTCATTTAAGTTTCATATATCCATACAACAACACAGGAAACAAAGCCATAGCTTACCCACCCTCCAGTCTGATGGGTAATAATAAGAATACCCGTCTTCTCGATCCACAAAAGCCGAGTAGCTTTTTGGTATTTCTGCAAACATGACATGGGTCACATGACGCAAAAAACTTATGCTTTTGGTCCCAAGATAATGAAGAAGAGAGAAGAATAACTCTTAAATTGCAGATTACCTTCAGCAAGAAGTAAAGTTGCTGGAATTGAAGCTGCCACTAAGGTTCCTACTCCCACAAGAGATTGCCTTCTATTCCAGTTGCTTCCGCTGCCTTTTTGGTAAGCTATTGGACATATTTATATAAATCAATCCACCTAAGTCAATGTAATATGAGAAGAAAAATGTCAACAAGAGTTTGGTTTCTTACTTTTCTCCGACGAGTCAACATTGTCACCGGGTGAAAGTAAACAGCAAGCTTTGAAAGATGGATTTGGACAGAGAATCTGTGTCTGAGTAAGAAAATGAATCAATTTGTATACTAAATCAATTGACAATTTAAGTTATTTATTTTTCTGAAATATAGATGAAGTGTTATTAACCTTGGAGATTGTTGGTGAGACACCATAGCGTATTGACAGTGAAGAGACTGCCATAATGGCTACAATTCACAAGACTTTAGATGATCAATGAACATTGCCTCAGCGTTCTGTTCTGTGTGGATAAGAGATTTTTAATTTTCGTCATTTCTCTGAGTTCTCCATTCATTGACGTGGATAAATGGATAATGAAAAATGTAAACATGTGGTGATAGATATAGGTTTTAAAAATTATTTATCTTTAAAGAAGATTCTGCATAGGTCTGTTGGCATCTTAGGTATTTTGTGAGAGTTCAATGATGAGATTCTTGATAAGCAAAAACATAGAACTTGATTTCAAAAAAAAACTGCAACAAGAATGTATTGTAAAACGTTTTCGCTCCAAATACTACAATTACCATATGATGATGGTAAATAATATCTTAAAGCAAAACTGAGACTACAAGAGACAAAAACACAAGTCTGATTTATAATTGCAGAGATAGATTAGACTTAGATGATGCCTATCTTGTTAGCAACATCCAAAGCATCATAGTCAGGTGTAAGCCTCACGTAAGCCTTCTTAGTTCCATCAGGCCTGCAGCAAAAAAACCATATCATTGTGTCAAAATATATTCAACATAATCAAACTAATCAAACTCACAAGGTTCATAAAAGACGTAAGAAAGCTCTCTTTGAAGTACCTGATGAGGGTGTTGACCTTCTTGGTCTGGATGTCATACATCTTCTTAACAGCATCCTTAATCTTCTTTTTGTCAGCACGAATGTCAACAATAAAGACAAGGGTGTTGTTGTCTTCAATCTTCTTCATTGCAGATTCAGTGGTGAGTGGGTACTTAAGGATTTGGTAATGATCCAACTTGTTCCTTGGAGTAGCGCTGATTCTTGGGTACTTAGGATCTCTAGGCTTGGTAAGAGTCTTTGGCCTGTGGAAGGTGACCTTCGTCCTAATCTTCTTATCCTTCTTCTTGAAGGTTTGGCCAGATTTCACAGCCTTTGCCGCCTTCAATGCCTTGGCCTTGGGATCGGCCTTCTTGGTAGTGTCAACTGCATTATATCACACAGAGAGTTTAAGTAACTTTTGCTAACAACATGACCACATGTGATTCAAAATCAGGACCAATTAACAAACTAAAAGAAGAAAAATGAGTTCATCTACATATCATATCCACTTCAATACATCTAAGCTCTCAAAGAAAATAAAATGAAGATTTCATCTAAACCCCCAAATTCAATTCGATACATTAATACTCCAAGAATCTGAGTGATTAATCTCACTCTAAGGTGAAGCTAATCACGAACATTACAAACTAAGTACTCTAGGAAACATGATAAGAAAGCTTGAATCGAAGCCAGTTACTATTGTTTACATCAAGGCTCAAGTCAAATAAAAGACTCAAATCTATCTTGTTCAAGTAATGATTCAATATGGAATCTGGCTTTATCAATGAAATAAAAAATGGTACCTTTAGCCGGAGACATGGCTCGGAGTGATTCTTCTTCACACTCGAAATCTGTAAAACCCAGAAAACCAAACTCAGCTAATAATCAAGAAATGAAATGTAAGAAGATTTCGAGCTCACTGTCAAGGATGGTGGAGAGGAGACGCACGAACCTGGAGAGGTGAAGGCAGGAAACGGGAAACCCTAGCCACCCGCCGCAAACAAATATATAGTGGATACTGAAACCCTAAGCAAATAGTAATAGTTTGGGCCTTCGATTCTATAAATGGGCCTTTAACAAACAGTATCATTAAAGCTTAAATGGCCGGCAAGCATGGCTTCAACTACGGCCTGTTTAGAGATGGGTTTTTTTTTTTTTTTTTGTTGAACTAGAGATGGGTTTTAAACTACGTTACATGGAAACTCTTTTCGAAGTGCGTTTCCCGTTTCCAAAACGTTTCAGAAACAGAAACTCTCGGAAACTTGGAAAATACCCATGGAAACACGATTCCTAAAAATTTCCATTTGGAAACTCGGTGGAAACTCCCGTTTCCGTTTTAAATTTTAAAAATATAATATATAAGATATATATTGTGATTAAAAAAAAATTTGTATCTATCTCTAATAAAAAAAATGTATAATTTCTATAAATATAAATTATGGTCTAATCATATGTGGGATATTGGAGGTGATCAACTTGATTCACTGAATAAGTCTAATCTTGGGAAAAGTGAGTCTGAAGATCTTTTTCTAGACGAACCTAATTTAGAGGCTGTTTTATTTGATAAAAATGATAACGGCGATGATGGTCCAAACATTTGAATTTGAGCGTTTTAGTATTATCTTTTCGAGTTTTGTTTAACTATTTAGTATTTATGTCTTCAAAAATTCTTTTTTTTAATATGGATTTTATATTTGGTATTTTAGTATATATTTATATATATATATATACAATTATATATACATACGTTTCCAAAACGTTTCTATTCCTTAATTTTCAAAAATTGTCGTTTCCCGTTTCCGAAACGTTTCGTTTCCGCGTATGCGTTTCCGTTTCCATGCAACCTAGGTTTTAAATAGAAGACATAAAACATGCAAATAATAAAATTCTAAAAATTGTGGCATTTTTGCCCCAAAAAAAAAAGAAATTATGGCATTTGAACAGAGTTTAGTATTTTTTTGGTAACTTTCCTAACAATATAAAACAATAATTCTTAGTCCATATATTCTACAAAAAAAAAAAAATTGTTATAGAACAATTAGTTTGCTTTTGGATCAAAAAAAATATTTGATAAAAAAAATTAATAATAATACTTGATCAGACCAATCAAAACCAAACCAAATTAAAAAACATACTACTCGCATATAAAAGACAATCAAAAAGTTGATGTTATCATCTTACGTCAAGTTGGTTGGAACAACTTTTGTATCATCATCATCTCGGCAATAATAGAATCAAATTTTTTTGCTTCTTCTCTTGTCTAATCTATCTATGCTTCTTTGGTTTTGACTTTACAAAAACATAAAACATCTCAATTTACGTAAGTTCTCTCGTATATAAACCTTGTCACGGGTCTTTTCCATCTCAGCTGTACACGTGTCTAAGTGACTCCTCCAATCACGTGCGAGATCCCAAATCCATTGAGAAATAGCCACGTGGAGGTTAACAGAGACGTATCTTTCTTTTCTAGGGGAGGCTGGTCCAAGTACAGTATCTCTGTGGAATGTCTACTAACCACAACAGTCGTAGTAGTAGTAACCTCAATCTTTCCCTTAATTACCTAATTTACCCTCGCCGTCTCTTCAAATTTCCATTTCCTTACCCCCAGACAAAACTAAAATAAAAGAACACAGCCTTCCGCTGCTCCTCCACCATCTCTCGCCTCCGCCGGAAAATGGTTGAGCCTACTAGTACGGATTCCGACGAAGGGATCTCGCTGCTCGAGTTTCACGGTAATGGTGACCGCTCCTGGCAATTAAATTTCGATGATTTCCAGGTTTCTCCGGAGCACAAGGAGAAGAAGACGCCCAGCAAACTACACAACTGTCTTGGTTGTTTGGGTAAATAATTTTCTTCCTTCTCCCCTCGACATTTCCGTTTTCTTATCGTCTTCTTCATCTATACCTTAGCTTCCTACGGTGATGAGAAATTTGATATGTTCGGAAGAAACAAATGAGTGTACGTTTCGGGATCATTTGAATTCAGCTACCTTTGGTTTGCTATTTTTAGCATCTTTTTTTGATTCTTAAAGGATATTTACTGTTGTTATGAAGTTGAGATGTAGTGGAATCTTGGTAGTGATTAGTCTCGAGTCTTAGTAATCTTTATCTTTGTGTGTAATCGTTCTTATGGATGTTGAAGTAATTGCACATGACTAACTTGTTTTAGCTATGGTATGAAATTTGTTTTGCAAATCTTGTTGACAGAAAGAGGTTTACTTTGTTTTTGTTCTATTGAAAACTTGTGCTCTTAATTGAATTACTGAGAAGAAACTGTAGCTGAAGCGAACTGGGTCTGAACTGAAGCTATGTGTCTTGAGGTTTCTCAGGTCCGGAAGACAATGTGGCAGATTATTACCAGCAGCAAGTAGAGATGCTTGAGGGATTTACTGAAATGGATGAACTTGCTGAACGTGGCTTTGTTCCCGGGATGTCAAAGGTTAGCCTTAGATGAGGCTACTGCTACTTGTCTCTTCTCCCACATTTGTGGAAAACTATGATGCTTTTCGTTCTCTTTTATTGATATTTGTTTGAATTCCTTTGTCTTGTACACATAGGAAGAGCAGGATGATTTGGCTAAAAGCGAGACATTGGCGATCAGAATATCAAACATTGCAAACATGGTTCTTTTTGCTGCTAAAGTCTATGCTTCTGTCACAAGTGGCTCTTTAGCGATCATTGCCTCCACACTGGATTCTCTTCTTGATCTTCTTTCTGGCTTCATCCTGTGGTTTACCGCCTTCTCAATGCAGACACCGAACCCGTATCAGTATCCTATTGGCAAGAAACGGATGCAACCACTGGTTTGTATCATCCTTTTAAAGACTATATATGCACATTAATGTGTCTTCCAGTAGTATACCTTCTATTATATGTTATTTTATTGAATTAGCCTAACCATGGTTCCAAAGCTTGTTATGTTCTATTTATTTATCTGTCCAACTATTAACAACTACGACAATTCTACAAAGTTTTTCCTATTTCTCAAATACGTGATTCTTGGTTCAAATCGTCTCAGGGAATCCTAGTCTTTGCATCAGTGATGGCGACACTTGGATTGCAGATTATCTTGGAATCTCTTCGCACGATGTTATCCAGCGTATGTCTGATACTTGATTACCTAGCTTTTGTCTAGAGCTTTTGAAAGTCATACATTTATTCACGAAAATATCTTTCATACAGCACAAGGAGTTCAGTCTAACAAAAGAGCAAGAGAGTTGGGTGGTTGGGATCATGCTTTCTGTTACATTGGTCAAACTGCTTCTGGTTCTTTACTGCAGATCCTTCACTAACGAGATCGTTAAAGCTTATGCTCAAGATCACTTCTTCGACGTCATCACAAACATCATTGGACTCATTGCAGTAATCCTCGCCAATTACATCGATGATTGGATCGATCCAGTCGGAGCTATCATTGTAAGTATCCAATTTTTTATAGAAAAAAAACAAAATCAAGTCTTATTTATCCTCCTTGCTGAAAATTGTCTCTCTAATTCATGCAGCTTGCAATTTACACGATACGGACATGGTCAATGACGGTATTGGAGAACGTGAACTCTCTTGTTGGGAAATCAGCAAGACCAGAGTATCTGCAGAAACTAACTTACCTGTGTTGGAACCACCACAAGGCCATTAGGCACATTGACACAGTGAGGGCTTACACATTTGGCTCGCATTATTTTGTGGAGGTTGACATCGTTCTTCCTGCTGACATGCCTCTGCAAGTGGCTCACGACATTGGAGAATCACTGCAAGAGAAGCTCGAGCTGCTGGAGGAGATCGAAAGGGCATTTGTGCATCTTGATTATGAGTACACTCACAAACCTGAGCATGCTAGTAGATCCCACTGTTAGCTGTTTATCATTTCAAGATATCTACGTTTCCAAATCTTTACAACCTAATCTTCACTGTATTATTTACTAGACAATTGTGAGATAAAGGAATACCCTTGTAACTATCTACTTTTGTTATGTGTGTTTTATTTAGCAAAAGATTATATCTGGTCTAATGTCTTCCAATCTTAGCCAAGTACATAAGTATGTCTCCCAATCTTCCATAATAGAGACCACACGAAATTGCAACTACTACAAATTACAGATCATAAACCAAAGTCGTATCGGTTTGAAGTACTACAAAGAAAGGTAGTGGAGTGTATATTTTGTCCCACATCGGAAAGCTGAGCCGTGTGAGTCCTTTGAAGAGCAGTATAAAGTGTTAGGGGTGAAGTCGATGAAAAAATTGCCTTAAACTAATGAGTAAGGAAAACAAAGCGAACGGTGAGAGCCGGTCGCAGCGCTTAAAACCGTGCAAACGTTTAAAATGGCGCAAGAATTTATGGAAGGGTAATAGGCTGGTACGAGTTGATGACGCTGCTTACTTTTGCAGAACTCTCTTGTGCGGGCCTCCCCATCCCCCATTAATCACCTAACCTTTTATTTTCACTAAATCCTCCCATTTACAAGGGTTAGTGCCATCATATTGATTTTACCAAACTTTCTCTCGCAGCTCTCGATTTCGATTGTCTATTGTTGGTTCTGTACATTTCATCGTCTCTGTTTTATTTACAATTAGATGATTATGTTATGTCGCTAGGATTCTTGCTCATAACAAAGTGAACCCTCTTCCATAAGATAAACCAATTTCAAGCACGGAGCTTTCTCATCGTGTGAGTTGTTCTCTCTCCCTTTCTCTCTGGCTCTCTCTCGATAGATCGATCTCTGGGTTTTCTGTTTGATCTGGAATTTGAGATTGTGCTGCCCTCTTTTCATGTTGAATCAGTTTGTTTCTCTACTCCTTGATTTTCTTAACCAAATGTAAACAAACACAAACTGTCCATTTTATCGCTCCGAGCTTAATTTCTTGTCACCCTTATGTTCGTAAGGGAATGTGCTGGAATTTCATGTATGGTTGATTGAAAATCTAAATTAGGTCTCATGTGTTATATTAACTCAAGTAATTGAATGCGGTATCTAATAGTTGCAACTCATATTCATGTATTGCATCTGTTTTCGGAGGTATTTGGGTGAGTATGTCTATGGACTCTCCACAGAGGCTTTAAGAATTTGTGCGTGGAAATGTTGTATTTTCATTTGTGTTTGTTGTTGAAGCAATTCCTCTGTTTGCATTTCCTTCTGGGTTATTTATACCTTTTGCTTGAGGGATTGTCTTTCTCAAAGATCTATCTGTTTTCATCCACTTAGATCTATCTATATGTGATCTTATAAATCTTCTTATAGCAGAAAGGGAGAGGAAAACGAATAACTGATTTCTTTGTTTCAATTCTCAGTAATTTTGCAGTGACTTCTCTCAGTCTCTTCCTTTGTACAGAACAATGGACGAAGCCCATTCAGTGAATAGTCCAAGACGAGTTTTAAGCTTCTCAAAGAGAAAGAAGCAAAAGCCCGGTTTCCGGGATTCAGACAGCAGAAGATCATCTCCTTTTAGAGCATCAGAAGTGCATGGACCCAAACCCTCAGAGGTGTATGGTTTTGTTGGGTCTATTTCGACTGTTGTTGCCACAGTGATCTTCTTGATATGGGCGTATGTACCGGATAAACTGTTGGAGTCTATAGGGATCCATTACTACCCAAGTAGGTACTGGGTATTGGCTATGCCAACATATTTGATGGTGACTTTAATGTTAACGTTGGTGTTTTACATTGGTCTCAACTTCATTGCTACTCCACCTCCAACCTCTCTCAATACCTTGTTTGGTGAGCGCCTGCACCCTTTAGATTACCTTTGTCTAATGTTGTTAGAAATATGAGATTTTTTTTCTTCCAAAAAATCAAAAAGAACTGTTGTCCAAGTCCTCCCTCTGTGCCAAATAGCTTTTGGATATTGCATGTGCAGCGAGTGGTTTTTGGAGTTTGATTGCGATGATGGTATTTTAAATTTGTTTGTTTGACATGGCAGATGAGTATAGTAGAGAACCTGGGGAGCTCGATCCTGGGATGGAAGAAGGTGAAGACAGGCCTATAGATCCAATTTCTGACATTGATATAACAAGAATTAATGATCTTATGTTCAATTCATGTGATGTCAAGTGATGCTATGTTTTGAGTAATGATCCTTTGTTTGAATTCTAAACCATCTTCAGCAGTTAATATAATGGATTATGTTTGCCCCAAAATGAAAGGAGATAAAGAGATGCCTCTGTTACCTAAGCCTACGAAGTCCATATTTTCCTGCAGACAAAAATCCAAATCAATCGTTGGGCAGACATAACTTCTTGTCCTCCTCTTTCATATCCCTTGAAAAGAAACAACTCAAGACGAAAAGGCACCAAGCTTATGACGGTAAGAATTTGAAGAACAAAAGTGATTGAAAGTGCATTATTTAGGGTTTACTCAACAATGTAAGGTTTTGGAATGATTCAGTGTAAAAGATTTGGGTCATGATCTCCACTTCCTCAGGAGTCAGGGCCCTGCTTTAAAAGGCAATTGTGCAATGGTCTCGTACCGCAAACAATGCAGAGTGACCAACCAAACCAAAGTCATAGTCTAGTAATTTTTGGTACAAGTTAACCGGCAAACCGCTAACCCTAAAATTTGAGTTAGAGTCTTGAGGTTTTCATATCTTCTCCGACACCAATTCGTTTTATATTTTCGACTTGTCGACTGTTCTGAATGACACGAATTCAAATCTCTTGACCAAACTGGCGGCATCTTATAGTTCTCTCTGAGAAAATAAAGGGTAAGCTCTGAGACTAGAGAGTTATTTCCGATAAATTTGCTGGGGATTTCGTTTAATGTATCAGGTTCTTCTGGTTTTGTTCTTTCATGTATAAAAATTAATACTTTTAAAATTGTTATTCCTTGGCGAATTGATTAGTTGTTAGAAGGTTGCTCAAATGGGTTTAAATAAATGGGTTCAGGGTTTAACTGATGTCTAGTGTTTTGAATTTCTATAACTGGTTTTGGTTTCTAATCAGGTGTATGGCATAAGGTCTCTTTACAAAACCGGAGTCACCATCTTCTTATTATTCTTTGTCTTCATTACTTACTTTACTTGACCACTTTGGCGAATTGTGGTACAGAAATCTGAAGAATCGATCCAAGTGAGGATTAATGGGAACCATAGACTTTAGAGCTGCTTCAGATGTAAACTCGATTGCGGATCTTAGTAATCAAGTTCACCAGCTCCCTTGCTGCATTAGATTCGATGGTCCTGCTGAAGTTTCCCACTATTTCAAGCCTAAATCTAGTGGTAACAGAACAATGCTATGTCTATGTGATTCTGTCTTCATTTGTATTTTCTTATTTATGTAGTGAGATTAATTTGGGAAGGTTTTTTTCAACCGTAGAGGTGGAGATTGATGGAGTAAGAACGGAAGAAGCTCATTTCAGAGGAAGGAAGTTGCAAGGAGCAACTATCTCACTCCCTAGTGGCTACTCTGGTACTTTTTCTCTTCTTTCCTTAACTGATGGAAATGTGGAAACTTTTGAATTTCTTATGGATATATTATCTTAGGAATGATTGGATTGATGTACAAATTCCTGTTGCTGGAGATCTTAGTTAGTGAGTTTTGAGAATACTGATCCGAGATGTGTTGATAAATCTGCTAACTTTGATATTGGAGATATTATGTTTTAATTAATCACGCTTTGTTATCCCTCTCAGGCTTTGTGCTTGGACAAACGAGTAACCTAAATGCTAATGGAAAGAGAAAAGCTTCTAGTGTCACGGAGGAGAACCCCTGCTGGGAAGTGAAGGCCAAATTCGATAACCTGACATATTGGAATCACGATAATCTCCCTTCAAAAGACGATACTTTTGTGCGGTCTTTTCATTGGTTTAACATTGCAGAAGCGGTGAGTGTATATAGACAGTTCCATTCATCTCTCGTTGACTGGTTCATACTGTTGCAGTCTTAAATTTGTTCCTAACTTGATTGAGAACAATGGCTGAAACTGCAGCTACACAAGCCAGTGAAAGTAGAAGACTTGGTTGCGGTTTCGCAAGGTGGTAAGGGTTAAACGTGAAGTGGCATTAGGCGTTGAACAAAACATCTAACCAAGTAAGAGGTCATTTAAAACGTTTGTTGACATATGATTCTCAAGGTCTATTTGATTAACACTGAGTAGGACCAGACATGGTGAGGATTAGTCCACATGATAAGTTGTGTTATTTTCTGTATCATATTTTGAATTATGTTGAAAAAATTGAATTTATTTGTCTGTTTTATTGAGCTATTTTGGTTTACATTTTAGACCTTATGGGGGGGTTATTTAATATTAAATTTTATCATTGTAATTGTTGTCAGCACAAAGTCAATGAGATCCGTTGAATTTTCATGAATCATCTAATCATCAGTGGTAAATGATTATAGATAATTTACTAAAGTAGGCTGACAAGATAAAATTGTGATCTACTAATCATAATGAATAAATTAAAAGTAATGATATGTAAAAAAAAAAAAAAGTAGTGATATGTAGTAGTTGTGTTGTTGTGTGCTGTTTGTGTCTGTCTTGTAGTATCTTTCATTAATAAATTTTGTAGTTATATTCTTCAATTCCATCATTAACAAATAGATTATAAGTTTATAAGATTGCCTTACACTGTATGTAAATAACTACAAAAAGTAATTAATTAATGTGTAATTTGCATTTGACTTTGAAGAGATTATAATTTTGTTTTGAAAGTTTGAAGTTTGACGAGGGAAAATTTTAAATAAACGGACGTCGTTTTCATTTTCTTTGCATGTATATTTGTAAATTCGTATTATATAACAGCCCCATGCCAAAATTATTGGAGTCTATCAGATTATTAAATAAACAGAAATTTTTTTGTTTTATTAAATTGCCAAAGATTGCGTTGTGTAAACAAATTGACCATTTTGAACAAGTGATTTGTGTAAAGAAATCGATTTCGTTTCTCTTGAACATTTTGAACAAGTGATTTGTGATTGTGACCCTTCAAGGTTTGTTTTTGTTTCTATCTTCAATCCTCAAATCTTGTTCACCTACAAAATTTCATGTTGTATGTCAAAAGAATCTATTCATCCATTAAAGGTTCTTTTCGCAGATTTGGGATCGGCGAATCTTTGAACATCTTTTTACTGATATAAAAAGGTTCGATTTTTATCTCTCTCTGTTTTTCTTCTTCTTTGGGTTTCCTTTTTCTGGGTTGTTCTGGATTTTGTTATTCGTGGAATTGAGCTTGAATTGTTTCTTCTTTGATTAGTGTTTGAAAAGCTATCATCTTTCTGCAGATTACTTTGGTTTCTATTCTGGGTTTTTATGTTGATTCCTGAAGAGTTCATTTTCATAAGATTCGTTCTTGTGTGAGGAGGTCTTAAAGAGAAATGGAGTTTAAGGAGATTAGATCCTCCTCCGTGATTGAGAGATCTATGCGTTATAATGGACTGTTTCAACCTCTGCATCAAGAAAAGCTGAGAGTTGTTGAGAGACAGAACCAACAACCAAAAGGGTTTATCCAAAACTCAGATTCTTGTTTCAGAGTGATTCCGACGAAGGAACTCTGTCGAGTTTATCTCCAGAAACCCAATTTGTTGGCTTCTAAAGGTGTAATTGATGCACAAGCCAAGCCTCCTCACAGGAAATTTGCTAGGAGATATGATCAGCAAAACTTGAAGTCGAAGCTGAGACATCAACAGCAGAATCATACAAATGTTGATCCTCTGAAACCCAAAATGGAGAAGAAAGAGAACTCTCGGAGATATTTTACTCCTCTTGGTTTCAGTAGTGGTTGTAATTTGGGATATAGGAAGAAAGGGAAAGACTTCTTACTTGAGAAGAAATCCAAGGAAATGACTAAGCGTTGTGATGGTACTACATTTGGTCAGAAGAAGGAGAGAGTTGTGAGAGAAGTTAAATCCAGTTTGATGGTTAGTACATCTAGGGACAAAGTTGCAGCAGATGTGAAGTTCAGAGAGTTATCTTCTTCAGGTTTCATCAGCAAGGTAACTTTATAAATTTTCTTATAAGAGTCGTCAAAGTCCTTTTTTGTGTGTATGCATATATTAATGTTTTACTGAACTGCAGGATAAAAACGATGATTGCTCCAATCCATCTCCTGAATGTCAAACGAACTCAGAAGAAGCTCATCAACCTAGTCCTGTTTCTGTTCTGGAGCCAATGTTTTCCGAAGATATCTTAGACGACTGTGACGAACTTCCATATCTCGATTCTTCAAGTAAGGAAAAAGTTTTGTAGCTGTAAATATTTTTTGCTGGAATGTGCTAAACTGTAATAAATCTTTTATTTTTCTTATATCTCATTAGGTCTAGAGAGACAGCTCGAGACCCTGAAATCTGAATCTGAGAGTTATTCAGATGGTAGTGGGATGGAAGTATCGAGCGATGAGGAGTCTGTCCATGGTTCTGAAATCAAAGAAAGCAAAGACATTGAACAAGTTGGGTTCTTGGATACCCAACAAAGCAGGGACTCTTACATTGATGATATCTTGACTGAAGCTGTACAAGGGAACAAGAATTGGGTTCCTGAAAAACGGGATTTAGCCATCAGCCCCAAGATCTTTGAGAAACTCGAGAAGAAGTATTACACAGAGACATCTTGGAAGAGGTCTGAAAGAAGGATTTTGTTTGACAGAGTCAAGTCAGGTCTGGTAGAGATTCTAGAATCTTTTTCAGCTACACCAACATGGAAGAAACTCGTTTCTAGGCGGCTTGGCACTGCACTAAGCACACGTGCACTGAAACAAGAACTCTGGAAAGTACTTGCTAGGCAAGAGAAGCGAGCCAAGAAAGAATCATTGGCCAAAGTGCCAGTCATAGACATTGATGAGTGGTTAGAACTTGAAGCAGATGATGAGTCGGTGGTTTGTGAATTAGAAACTATGTTAGTGGACGAGTTGTTGGCTGAGGTTGTTGTCAGCTTCATGTAGGGTGTAGAGTGATTCTTTTCATTCTTTTTCGTTTTACATTGCATTCTCTGCAATTTATTAAGAATAGAAAACAGAGTGGTAGTTGCATTTGGCTTGCATCATCAAAGGGAGATGTATAGCATTTGAGGAAGTTGTGTATACAAATAGTTTCTTTTTTCAGGTCTAGGATTGGCCTCTTAGCAATTCAGTCACATTGCTTCAAAAGCTTATTGTGACTTGTACCCATTTTTGAAAGTGTTTCAACAAGTTTTTTTGTGTGAATGAAACAGGAATTTGATTGAAACAGTCTCATTTTAATAAAATTTCATTGGATTTAAGATTTGCACAACAAAGAAAAAAAGGCCACAAGCAGAAGCTAGTGAGGAAGAACATATACAAAAGCAATCATTTCTTGTTTAAGTCTCATTTTCTCTTCAAGCTTTGTAGGTGAGGTATATACTGAAATGGAGGATGGTGTCTTGACCATCAGTGATATGCTGGTTGTTCTGGTTATGCAGAGTCTCCACTATGGCATACCCTTTTGCGTGCTCGAACTTCCCGGTCCCGCCAATAACTGCAATCTGGGAGGCATGAGAGGCGGTCCGGTGAACACCAAAGAAACTAATGGCGTCATCTAAAGTGTCATGGTGATCATGCTCTCCATGTAGCAATACCGTCAGAGATAGAGTCTGGCTTGTGCCGTCCAAGGAACTGGCCAAGTAAAAGCCTTGAGCTCTCCCTATAACAGCTGAGCCAAGCTCGTGGCTTTCGGTTAGCTCATCGTCCACCACAGTTATGGTTCCGAACATGAGATGTTGGAGGGCAGCACCAGGAGGGAGGTTCCCGGCGGTTACAAAAGGGAGACTGTTGGCGTCAAGGGCATCGTTAGAATTTCCGTTTGTGTTTTGAATTACTGTGGAGGTTTGAGCACCACTAAGTCCGGTGAGAAGTGGAGCTGTGTTTGGGTTAATGACACTGTTGATGTTGTTTGAGTTTACCAGTGGGACTCCATTGTCAACCGGGAAAATGCTGTTGCTGGCTTTTGAGAATGGTATACCGTTCACTTCGGTTTGAGCTACTATTCCAGTAACCACACGAGCCGAGGGGTGAGACCCGCCTAGCACGTCGTGCATAAAGAACTCTAGTAACGGTTCGGGTCCACCCGCTGTCACACCTGCTGGACCGGCTGGGACTGTAATTGCTGATGCAGCTGTGGTTGATGTTGCAGGTCCAAGGTTGTTGTCATCGGTGCCATCATCCTCCACAGCTTCGGTTGGAGCCACAGCAGGGATTTGGCCTGTAGGGATCAACTGAGGTTGGATCTCATCAAGAAGTCTAGCGGAGTTGATGAATGTGAGGAGATTGAAGGATATCAGGAGGATAATGATGGTAATCTGATGAGCTCTGGCCATTTTAGTTTTTGGTCTAGATTCTCAAGTTTTCTTTGGTTTGTTTTTTGGTTTGTGTGATGTTTTTCGATGGAATTTAGTAATGAGTTTATATAAAGATGCATTGGCGAGGTTGGTTAATTTGATGAGAATGGAGTGGAGTTGTTATTACTTTGCTTTAGTTGTGTTTCAGCTGAACCTCTATATGCTTATTTGAGTTAGCTACTAATGATTTGGTACTTCTATCATTACTCTCTTTATAAATTGTTGATTTGGTCAGATCAATGGTTGACTGTTATATACTACCATATACATTTGGTTTGGTAATTGTATAAGTGCATAGAAAGATAACAAAAAGGAAATAGTGAACTGTAAGATGTTTTTCTCCGATAAGTATAATATAATCAATTTTACGATATTCAATATATTTTCATTTCCATCTTTTCGTTTATGTATCAGGCACATGTATGTATAAGTGTAACCATAATTTTCACATTTCTGTATAAGTATAACCATAATTTTCACATTTCTTTCACTTGTTTATTATTAAGTCTGAGTTAACAAAAGCTTACTTATCTAATTAACAGAAATAGAATTCAAGAAAAGAAAGAATTTAACAAACAAACAGAATCTTTTATTCGATTGTGTCATTGATACATAACTGATAAAGATCCCTACTAGTACTACTCTTTCGAAGAGGCCCCATCATTTCTACGTTGCTCGGATTCAAACCCTCCCTTCCCTTCAGAAGCTCTCTTGTCCAACCAACCAATAATGTCAGCAAAGACAATATCGATATTCTCTGGTGTTTCCCCATAGAGTAAGCCATGCCACATCCCAGGGTACAACTTGAAAGTCTTGTCCCAACTAGAAGCAACCTGATACAATTCTCCACTCACCGCTTTATCCGTGACTTTATCATCTTCTCCATGCAAAACCATGAACGGTAAAGATACCTATACCCATTACATGCTATTAATCATATGTTTACAAGTACTTGGTCAAACTGAAGTATAAAGAAGTACCTCATTGAGTCTCTTCTCGAGGTCGGTGCTAACCCTCAAAAGCTCATAAGCAGTCATCAAACGTGGACGTCCTTTGTAGCAGTAACGATTTTCTCTAACCTTCAATTATTTTCACATTGCCTTTAGTTTAAACATACGAATTAAACATACGAATTACTATATATGCTAGATGTAGAATAGAATGTACAAACCTGTTTCCTGATTTCTGGCTGCTTGAAAGCGATCTCAATTATATCTTGGCCAGGAATAATCTTCCAAGTAGGTATCACTCCGCTAAGTTTTGTCAATATCGAAATTACCAAAGGGCTTGGTTTCATTTCTTCAGCAATCTGTAACGTGAAAAAAAAAAATAGTAGATATGATGGTTTTATTCATATGTACATCAAAATCTTTGGCCTATAATGTGCCTTTGGTACGTAGGGTAATTTATATCAATTTTCTTTGTAATTGAATGATTACTCCACGAACTTAGTGGAAAGTCTTAAATAATTAAAGAAATTATTTTATTGACCAAAGATTTGTCAATAAAATAAAAGTCTCCGTTCCCTCAATAATTATCTAACCATTTGCAGATATTAATAATTCAACATCTTTCACATCATAATGACCTCGTTTCGAAAACGGACAAACCAACAATTTGGCATTTCGAATATATGTTTATTGATCTTGAATTGGGTGGCCAAAAGTGTTACATCACACCTAATCAATACTGTTTTAGTTATTATACTCTTAACTAATCTTTTAAACATATTTAACCAAGGTGGCAAAATTCAACAAATCCAACTTTTCAAATGAAAAAGCCACATATTGATGGAATAATGATATCAATAACTCCAATAGTAAAACATAATTAGGCAAATGTAAAGATAAAACATGAGAGAATGAATTACATACCTTACACATTGGAGCAGCCAAGATGGCCCCATCCCAAAATTCAGGCTTCTTTCTGTGTAACAACAAAAGCACTGCCCCTCCCATTGATTCTCCTAACAAGAACCTCATCTTCCCTTTGTTCTCTTCTCTCTCTAAATTATTCCAACCACACAAAAATATAGAAAAAAACATTAGACCAAACTTTTTGATCAACTATTACAAAAGTATGGGTAATATATGTTGCTTCATTCCAAAATAACATCATGACGATAGAACTATACAAACAAAAACAAGAAAATAAAAAAGTCTTGATAAGATTTACTGAATAATTCCTTATTTGATTTAATATTTTGTAAGTGATGATTAAGAAAGTGTTATCAAAAGATAAGTATGACTTTACAGTTAACACCCACACAGAAACAAAGAAAAAGAAAAAAAAAAAGTCAACATTACCGCAAATGCTTGTGTAGTGAGTCGAGACATCATCAACAAGATGGTCAAAGTTTGGGACATAAGCACTAAGCCCATCAGATTTGCCATGTCCTTCATAATCTATTCCATAAACCGCAAATCCTGCTTTCACAAGCCTCCTCGCAGTACCTAATCCAACCATGTTCATTTCAATCATTATTACAACAACGTACGCTTCAATCTCCAAAGAAAAACTATATTCGAATTAAACTAATCTCAACTGTTCATGGTGATGCTGCATTCCATAGCATATCCATGGCAGATAAAGACCAAAGCCTTTGGTTCTTGATTTGCTGGTACCCATTTGCACGTGAACAGTTTCATTCCTCGAGTGTTCTTGATTAAACTCTGTATTATAACACATAAAAGTTTATAAATATATAACCATCACAAAAAAGAAAAAACAGATTCCTCTGTCTGTATATATATCAGAACACAAACCTCTTCGTACATGGTGTCATCAGTTTGACTCGCCTGAATACCAAAAAAAAAAGGGGATTCATTACAAGAAGAACAATAGAACTAAAACAACATTTTCAGATGTGGTCTGAAAGAGATAGAAACCAAAGAGAGTAACGTGACTCTAACCATTTTTTAAAGAAGAGATTAGTCTGTGAATCTCTCTCTCTCTCTCGTTTCTCTTTTGGTTTTTGTTGGATGGAGACGCGATAAGAGATGACTCGAGGATAGTTGTACGGCTCTGTTTTATATTGGTGGGTAGATTTTTTGAGGGAAGAGGACGATTCAATAATGCGACGCCGTTTTCAGTATTTAAAAGGATTCCTTTCTTTTTCTTCGCACCCCCAAACACAGTAACACGTTTATTTTATTTTTTATTATTGATTTTTCCAAAAAAGAGATAAAATATTCTTTCTCTCTAGACAAGTGGCAAACCAAGTTTCCCGACGCTTCAAAAGCAGCCCCTCAACTTTTTTTTTTTTTTGAAAAAGCCCCTCAACTTTCCAAACGAACATAAATAGTAACCTTAATTTTTGAAATATCTAAAATATGTCTTCTTAAGTCTTAATTTTTCATTAACACCCCCTTAAGTTTTTATCAATCTTTTTGGCAAGTAACTACATGTAACATTATCTTTTTAATACATTAAGATTTGTCAACTATAATTTGCTTCTTATATATTAATGATAAATAACAATCAATATGAAAGATCTAAAAAGTCAAATCTACAATTTCTATTACTACTTTTTTTACAATTTCAACTCTAACCTAAAGATGTAAAAAACTAAGTTCTACTCCATCGTTGACCAAAAATTGCATAACAAACTAGATACACTTTCATTATTCGTTTTCTTGTTAAATTTGTGATCTCAAATCCACATTCACAAATATTTTAAGTGTTTAAATTTCATCATATTTTTTAGTTCACATGCTTTAATAATTTTATTTTTATTGTTTTTGGGATCCCACGTAACATATATAATCCGCGTGTGCATATCTTTCCTCATTGGCATTAGTAAATGAAATCATTCAGCAGCCTTTGACGAATGAGACGTTTGGTTTTTTTAATATATATATAATTGGTGATCGAGATCCTATGCGACGACCGTAAGATAAAAATTTAAAAAAAAGAATGAAAAAATTGTGTTCGGTTTTTCCAATTCAGATATTACTCTCTCCAAAACACGTTCAACATGCCGGCTTTTAAGCAGAACAACACGTAATCGTTTTTAATATCAAATGCTTATGTATATGTCCTGTCGATATATTCTTAAAGATCTCCACTTTTTTTTTTTTGTTACGAAAGAAAACAACTGTCTACTGTAAGCATTTATCTTTCTAATAAATTATCAAATTGTCACTGTATGCAACTACTTTGATCAATCCAAGAAGAAGATGATGATCACGTACATCAAATATGGCTAAGTTGTTCTTTAATATTGTCATATGACTAAACGTTGTGTGCATATGAAAGAAACTTTAATATCTCCACTACAAGAAGAAACTCAACTTAATTTACCCTTTTACCAAAAAAAAAAAATAATAATAAATTAGGAGATATCTTGGATAATATCTGTATATATTGTATGTTGCTGAATAATATCTAGAATTTAACTTTTATCATATAGTTTGGACATAATTAATATCTATTTTGTATGACTAGATAATCTAATGTAAGTTAGTTTTTTTTTTTAAAACATCTATCTAGCTTGATCTTATTCATAATACTGTTATTGAAGCTTAAAACATGAAATTATATAAAATTCACAATAGTAGCACTGAAATCAAAATGCAAAACACCAGAATTTTCATTACAACAAGTTTTATCTGTTATAAACAATGTATCAAGTAAAACGACTATTCCTTGATAATAAAACCATCGTTATTATGTTTAAGCTCCGACTCAAACCTATCATTTCCATAATCACTTCTTATTTCCAACCATCCGATAATGTCAGCAAAGACAATTTCGATGTTCTCTTGGGTTTCGCCAATGGTCAAACCGTGCCACATCCCAGGGTACAACTTTAAGGTCTTGTCAGAGCTCAATGCAACCTTGTATAGTTCTTGGCTCACTGCTTTATCCGTTACTTTATCATCATCTCCGTGTAATACCATAAACGGCAATGAAAACTATAATCATTATATTTATATTCATTAGTTACGTAGTTGTAAGTTATAACTCTTAACTTATGCTATACTAACAATTTCTCTCGGATGGTTTTTAGAGACTGACGTTAGAATTTTATAACCACTACATTAATTACTCTTTAAGTCCAATCTGAATATCAATGCATGCACTAACGGGATCTCGAATATGTATGTATGATTTATATACATACCTCTTGAAGTCTCTTCTCCAAGTCGTTGCTGATCCTTAAGAGCTCATACCCAGTTTTCAAGCGTGGTCTTCCTTTGTAACATAAAGGGTTTTCTCTAACCTTAAGTACTCTCATACAAAAGTTAAATCAAAATAAGTTTCTCACTAGGCTGATGTATATACTAATTATTTTGATTACTATATATATATATATATATATATATATATATATGTAGAAACATACCTGTTTTCTTATTTCTGGCTCTTTATATGAAATGTCGATGATATCTTGGCTAGGAATGATTTTCCATTTAGGTATAACCGAGACAAGCTTTGTTAATATTGAAATAAGAAAAGGACTTGGCTTCATTTCTTCTGCGATCTGTGACAAATTTTTATATATAAACCACACTCATACGGCCGTATCCTTAGAGACAAAACAAGTGTTTCATTTATATATATATGCATTTACAATGTAGTTTACATCAATCTACAACTATATGTCGTATTACCTTACACATTGGAGCGACCAAGAGAGCTCCATCCCAAAAGTCAGGTTTCTTCCTGTTTAGCAACAAAACCACTGCTCCTCCCATTGACTCTCCTAACATAAACCTCATCTTCCATTTGTTCTCTTCCCTCTCTGTTTCAATTTTACATTCCAAAGAAAACTACTATTACCAATATCGTTCTTTAATTTTTTTTTTTTTTTATATATCTCGTTCTTTAATTGATTTGATAATGTCAAAATAAATAAAGAAAAAATATTTCAACGCTATTCATTTTATCAGTTGTTTCCATCTTTGCACGTTCGACCTTGAAAATTTCACAATGATTCCCCAATTTATGTAGATTTTTTTTTAATTAAAAACCTTTATTGTCACACAAAAATATCAATCAATAAGTTGACTTTTATTATCCAAAAGTAAACAATTGCAATACCGCAAATAGTTGTGTAATGAGTTGAGACATCATCAACGAGGTGGTCAAAGTTTGGGATATAAGCTCTAAGCCCATCAGATTTGCCATGTCCTTCATAATCCATTCCATAAACCGCATATCCTGCCTTCACAATCCTCCTCGCAGTACCTAATCCGATCATATTCATCTCAAACGTTAATAATTTTTTCAGTTTTTGGTGTTAACTAAGAACATTTGGATCTTGTATCATATTAGGGTGTATTATATTAGTCATCCTATAATACATCAAAATGAAAACATATAAATATAATAAGATATTAATTCACAGAATTTTATGAAGTGGGTTGATCTTAACTATTCATGGTGATGCTACATTCCATGCCGTATCCGTGGCAGAGGAAAACTAAAGCCCTTGGCTCTTTGTTTGTAGGTAGCCATCCGCACGTGAACAACTTCAATCCTCGAGTGTTCTTTATGAAACTCTGCACATTAATATATATACAAATATGCATCAATCAGTCACCAGACCTTTCTATGTGATAATCTCAATGCACACACACACCTCTTCATACTTGATGTCCTCTGTTTCACTCGCCTGCACACCAAAACCAATCAATGATAAGAAGTAATTAAGCAAGAACAAATGTACACTTTTAGATCCAAACTGATCAAAGATTTAAAGAGGTCGTTAATCAACTAACCATCACGTCAGAAGAGATTAATATGAATGTACTCTTTGTTTGTTTGTCCTTGTATTCTTGGAGAGTTGAGAAAGTATATGGAAGACATTAATGTAAATCTCTGCTTGGTCGTCTGACCCTGACAACGTTGACAACTTCGTGGATTTGCTTTCCTTTTATATTCCCTTTCACTCCTTAAACTCTCTATATAATTACTGAAGAGACCTCCAGCTTTCGTAAACTCTTAATAAATTCCCAACTCTTAAAAACCTTTTGGACACCACCCAGAAAGAGCAAAAATTAATATAGGATGTGTTAATGTGATCAATCACATTATTTTGACTTTTGAGGTATATAGTTAGAAAATAGTCGTTGCATACCTTCATATTTAAAATGGTCAACTGGTTAGTGGTTCTTTTAAATTTCGAAATTACAACTTAAAATAGTCATAATGATGAAAGAAATGGTAAAATTTAACTTTCATAATTTCTTAAATGGTAAATACTAGTATATTGACATAATTTCGTAGAATATTAGTGGATTAAACTTATTTATTTTTCTTCCAACAAGCTCTCGATCTACTTTTTTTTTTTTTTAGCCAAGTATGGTAAATATTTTAATTGGTTAGTGGGTTCTTTAAAATTTCAAAATTGTAATAGTCGGTGATGGTGACAGAAATGGTCCTGACTAATCTTAATTCTTATGCCAATTTATCTCAGAGAAAAAATCTTGTGACGTATATTATATTGTTGTTATAGTTTTAATTTTTCTAAATGTGGATATTGGATGTAGTTTCAGAACTACGGCGTCGACTTTCACTACATTTATTGAATTTTTTTTCTTTTTCTTGAATCTGATGCTATCTACAAATTATGTGTGGATTCTGAGGGTCGTTAACGAGGTGTTATGCTATAGTTTATTCAGAGATTTTCGGTAAATATAAAAAATATTTCACAACGTATTCAACATGTAACTTTCTTCTTTTTGTGGTTAAAATTCAACAAGTAACTTCGTATGTATAAAAGACTACATAAGTACATAAACCATGACGAAAAAAAAAAAAGTGCATAAACCATATTTGCTACATAATGTATATCGTTCACTTACATAATGTATATCGTTCACTTATTTATGCGTCAAGAATCCATCATGCTTATGTTTTAGCTGACTCTCTATCCCTCCGGCCGAACTGATGGTTCTATCCTCCAGCCAATTTATGATATCACCAAACACGATTTCTGAATTTTCAGGAGTTTCCCCGTATAGCAAAGCATGCCACATGTTTGGGTACAGCTTGAAGGTCTTGTCCGAGCTTGAAGCCACTTCGTATAGCATTTTGCTCACGCTTTTGTCCGTCACTTTGTCATCTTCTCCGTGAAGAACAATAAAAGGAATTGATACCTATATAAAGTTCAAAACGCCACGGCTATAACTCATTAATTATCAAGTTTCCTAAACTGCATGTTATCCTCCATTGTAATCAAATATACATATCCGAAATAAAGTATATCTTAAAATTGGAAACCTGATCAAGATTCTTCTCTAGATCCAAGCTAACCAACAAGAGTTGGTAGGCGGTATTGAGGCGAGGCCGGCCTTTATAGCAATACTTGTTCTCCCTCACCTGTTACATTCATATAGTATATATGATTAATAATGAAGTTTGTTAATATAAGTAAAAATTTGGCTGTCTTGTTAGATTACAAATTAATCACCTGATCTCTGATGTGTGGTTCTTTAACTGCAATGTCAATAATATCGTTTCCTGGAACTATTTTCCACGTCGGAATAAACTTGGCAAGCTTGATAAGAATTGAGATCACTACTGGATGTGGCTTTATCTCATCTGCTAACTGTACATAACAACAACATTCACTGTATTTAGTCAGAGGACAAAAAACAAACGATGCAGACTATTACTTTTTCTAATTAGTGGTATACACTAATATTTGCTTGTAACAACAAGTAATACTGGTGTCTAAATAGAAACTAGTAGGGACTGATGAAGAGTGATTGAAACATTTTTCTGTAGTATATTATCTACGGGCATTTATCACTAATTTAAAAGTAGAGAAAATTATTGGCTTTTTTTGGGATTATTTTCAATTCACAACTACTCCTATATATATTATTCCGTTTTCGATTGAGACTTTTTATCTAATTCTTACAACATCATTGAAAATTGTATGAAAACTATACCAATAATATTGAGGCATACCCTCTAAACACAAAAATTAATCATTCACTATGATGTTAATAATGCAAGAGTAAGGATAACTAAAAAAAACAATAAACTGCAAAAAGAAACCACTAACCTTACACATGGGTGCGACCAAAACAGCACCGTCCCAAAAGTCAGGCTTCTTTCTGGCTAAGAGCAACACAACAGCTCCTCCCATGGATTCTCCAAGTAGATACCTCATCTTCCCCTTGTTCTCTTCCTTCTCTACAAATTGTTTATAACAATATTTCTTTTAGTAAAGTAATGAAAAGAATCTAAAAACACATTTATGGCTTTTCTTTATATAAAACATACCACAAATTGTAGAGTAATGATTAGAGACATCATCAACGAGATGATCAAAGTCACTGATGTAACCATTTAGTCCCCCGGATTTCCCGTGTCCTTCATAGTCCATTCCATAGACGGCAAAACCGGCCTTGGCTAGCCTCGCGGCTGGACTGTTCATGGTGATGCTAGACTCCATAGCATAACCATGGCAGAGGAAGAGCAAGGCCTTTGGTTCTTCTTTCTCTGGTTTCCATACACAAGTGAACAACTTCAAGCCTCGTGAGTTCATTACAAAATTCTGCAAACACATAATACTTGCATTAGACCTAATAGAGCTCTACGTGAGCTTGGAAACGTATATAAAGACACTAACCTCTTCATACAGAACCATGATTGATCCTCTGTTTTTGTTATGTGTTTATGCAAAAATAAGATATTATTCTTGTTTATAAAAGGACTTAATGCTGTGTGAGAAAGAAAGACTTAGTTGTTGTCTGATTTATAGGAGCTGGAAAGAGAAGAATCAAAAGAAGAAAAGCGACCCCCCCCAAAACAGGGGAAACCATGTTAAACGCTGCGTCTTGGTTGGATATTTTATATTATTGCGTTGTAGATGACGTTACCAGAAGAAGCTTTGAACGAGTCCAAGATTTCACTTTTTGTAATCAGTGAGAATGCTTCAGCCGTTGGTGCTTGACCGGCTTGGTTTCTTTTTTTCATTTGACTAAAAGGCAAATTCTCCGAATGAGTCATTGTGAAATTGGCAAGCCATCACAAGTAGACAAGTCTTTGAATCTTCTTTTAAGCTTGGGGATGGATAAACATGCATTTATGTCTTTGTGTCAACTTGTCGACTAATGTACGTATCGTCCTATTTATTATATGTAATTGACCATCACGCACGCTACTCATAATTATTACACTTTTCTATCACATTGTTAATTACGATTACGTCTTCAATCAAAACTCCTTTTCACACTATTACTCTTAAGCAAGTGTTGTTTTTGGATAATTTGGAAAATATGGTTTCGTCTTATGAGCTTCGGCCCATGGTATCAAACTCGGCCCACTAAATATAACCTAAAAAATCCGATTGTTAAGTCTTCGCCGTCATCTTCTTCTTCGTTTGGTTTTCTAGGGTTTCTAATCTTTTATACCAGCCAACAGAGTAGGCGCACAAGGCCAGAGAACACCAAGACGCAATGGGTAAGCCAAATTCTGAAACTTTTGTCCACCGTAACATATAATATCATACGTTTTGGTTATGAGATTTGATTCTGTGCTGTGAAATGGGAATCTGAACAGCGAGAATCAAGGTTCATGAGCTGAGGGAGAAATCAAAAGCTGATCTTTCGACTCAGTTGAAGGAATTTAAGGCTGAGCTTGCTCTTCTTCGCGTTGCTAAGGTCACTGGAGGTGCTCCCAACAAGCTCTCCAAGATGTATGTGTTTCCACCTCTCTTACTATATACTCTTTGTGTTAGCAAATGTTGCATTGTTCTTTATTTAGTGGCTCTAAATCATATGTGGTAATCAGTTTTAATCAGGTTTAGGAGTATCATTGCGTGCCTAGCTCTAAATCACTTTTGTCTATTGTTACTAGCCTAGTTGGCTAGTTGTATACTAGTTCATATCATTGTCCTATATTGATAAACAGAGCTATTGTTCAGTCTATGTAAAGAAAAAGTAGCTAACTTGATTTAGTTTCTTACTGTATGATTTTGAATCCCATTGATCTCAAATGGGTTCTGTTTTGTGTTGATTCAGTAAGGTGGTCAGGAAGTCCATTGCTCAGGTATTGACAGTGATCTCACAGAAACAAAAGTCTGCTTTGAGAGAGGCGTACAAGAACAAGAAGCTTTTGCCTCTTGATCTTCGTCCCAAGAAGACTAGAGCTATCAGGAGAAGACTCACCAAGCATCAGGTAGTGTATTGTGTTTAGTAGATTTCAAAGTGACATCAGAGAATTGCGCTAGCAAATGGTGTACTGAATGAATTGCTGCTGGCTGCTTTGTAACAGGCATCACTGAAGACTGAAAGAGAGAAGAAGAAAGAAATGTACTTTCCAATAAGAAAGTATGCTATCAAGGTGTAAGATCGTTATATCCTAATTACATCAATTTTTGTGTGTTTTGAATTCTAGCTCTTGTGTGAGTTTTTGCTTATTTTCGTTCCCTGTTAAAGATTTTGAAAGCTCATCTTAATGAAATATTTGATTTACATAAGCAGTATTATTGTTATATGATCGGGTTCACATCATCTTTTATATTACTCGGTTGAGAATTAGCAGTTAATTACTGTCTCTCTACTGATCTCTCTTTGATCCTCTTCTTACAACAACTCAATTCAGATGGAAACAAAGCACTTGCTGTTTCCAAATTAGTCAAATTATCGTGGCTAACTGAATTTAAAGTTACAACAAAGATTGCTGAATCAGGATTAGTGAATTCATGATTGTGCGGTGGTGAATCAAGATTAGTGTGATTACTGAATTCATGATTGTGCTGCTATATAACTCTTTCTAGTTACTAAGTCTACACTTTTAGTACATAACTCAACCAGTGGACAACTTTTAAGGTGTGTATGTTTGACCCGAAAAAATATAGCAGTAAACGAAAAAAATAAGCAAAGGTGCCGTGGTGATTTGCAAGATAAACTGACCCATGAAACACCTACACATAGTCACACACTATTAGAGAATGAATAGGTAGAAAATTCCGAGTTTTGAATATTAGTGCACAAAAATATGTAATCATGTATTAAGTCATTTGTTGTCACAATCATTTGGTTAGACCAACCAAGATGAAGAGGTAGGGGACGGCGATATTATATAACTTGCGCAAATGTCAGACAATATCGTAGTTTTGTTCAAAGTAATTGTGTTTGTACTTTATAGTAAAAAAAAAAGTCAGTTTGAATTTTATTTTTTTTATAAGTTATTTGGGAAAGTTAAAGAGAAATTTTGAGTAAGTTGACTTTGTGATTTGATAAGGACAATTTGAGAACCTAGAATGAATAGGAAACTACAACTAGAATAAATCAATTTGAGAATATTATTTGAAACCAAAGGTAACGATATTTATCACAATATAAGACTATTAACCTATGGTTTGACCAAACAAATCAAAGATACGCACTATCTCTGATATTATATATATGATGAGTAATAACATGGTGACAAGGTTTGAAAATGATAAATAGACATGCATTAGTATACAAATATATTGCAGCCACGAGTTCATATTGATAGAAAATGATATTTGCTTACCAAAGTCAATTGTTGCATAGATAAGATGTAAGCAAGTTCTGCATCAACGCTGACTTGGCAAATCAAGAGCAGCAAATAAGCTATTATCTACGTATAGCAACGACCACACTTCATAACCAAACTAAGTGCAAGTACAAACGGTTGGTCACTTGGATTTGGCTCATATGCCTTATTTGTGGTGCACTTGAAAGAAGATACCTTTGTCAAAGCATGTGTTCATTCTAAAAATTAGTCGCACGTCCACAAAAGGCTGAGGAATGAGTTCGTTTGTTTAGACATAGATACCGTGGAAGAAATACCAGTACTACTTGACTTGGTTTGATTTGAATTGAAACTAAAACGAAAACTCAAATGAATAGACAAAGTGTGAAAACTGAAAACAAACCATTGGGAACGTCTCATCGTGCTAACCTCAAACTTAAAGTGGACTTTGTCACCAAACTCCAATATTATTATCTTAACAAGACATTAACCGTCAATCAATCTACATCATCCTTATTATACTTAATAAACCATCGAAATTTCGAAAATTTTGGCCAAGTCAAAGACTCAAAGGCACTGTAATATATATACTCTTCTGTCCAAAGACATTGTGAAACTTCAAGTATTGAGAATATAATGATTAAAAAACAAAACAGAACAAAACTAATGTATTTGGTCAACTATTACACCAGTATGAAACTAGATGAAACATTAGTTATATTGAGTTTTTAAAACTTGCAAGAATAGAGAAAGCCAGTCAAAGGTTTGTATTGGTCATTGGTTTAACTCACACATTGAGAACCATCTCTTTATATATATGTTATATGTACCTTACAGAGACAAATCAAGACAGTACAAGTCACAAGTGACTCCATTGAGCAATTGATACATAATCAGAAAGAAGAGTAGTGACTAGTCATCAATGGCCAAAAAAGCAAAGTCTGTTACTTTCTCTTCATCTTCTCCTCTATCTCTCCTTTCCTCTCTTTCTTCATTCACTTCTCTCCCGGCTTCTCCTTTAAATCAGACTTTTTCTCAGTCCATGATGGAGGAAACCGTGGAGGCCGCAGAATCAATCATCAAGAAATGGGATCCAAACTCACCGTCCTACACAAAGATCATCTCTCTGTTTAGTCACAGCAGAAAAGAGGCCAAAGAATTCATCAAATGCATCCGTGACTTACGCAGAGCCATGCACTTTCTTATCTCTCAGCACTCTCAATCTGCCAAGCTAGTGCTGGCACAGCACCTGATGCAGATCGGTATGGCCAGGCTCGAAAAAGAGTTCTTCCAGATACTGTCTTCGAACCGTGACCAACTTGATCCTGAGTCTGTCTCTTGTCAATCTTCACTTTCAAGCAATTCAGAATTTGAAGATGTTATGCAATCTGACGATGATGATGATGATGATGATGATGATGAAGATGAGCTGAAGAAGGCTGGTGAATCGATCACAAAGGTCGAAAAAGCTGCAGCACTTGTGATGTCAGACCTCAAGGTCATAGCAGAGACCATGATCAGCTGTGGATATGGTAAAGAATGCATAAAGAGCTATAAGTTGATCAGAAAGTCAATTGTAGATGAAGGGCTACACTTACTTGGGATCGAAAAGTGTAAGATCTCGCGGTTTAACAGAACAGACTGGAGCGTGCTCGAGCCTATGATCAAGAACTGGATCAAAGCTGCAAAGATTGGAGTCATAACACTCTTTCGCGGAGAGAAACTTCTCTGTGATCACGTCTTCTCTGCTTCAAGCACAATAAGAGAGTCTTGCTTTTACGAGATAGCGAACGAAGCAGGAATCAATCTTTTCAAGTTCCCAGAACTCGTTGCCAAAAAGGAGACAAAGTCATCACCGGAGAGGATCTTCAGGCTGATGGACCTCTATGCAGCAATCTCTGACCTTAGGCCAGACATAGAACTGATATTCCATTTTGATTCAGTAGCTGCTGTCAAAACTCTGGTGCTCTCATCGCTGAAGAAACTCAAGGAATCAATCCACACAAGTCTCACGGAATTTGAGTCGACATTACAGAAGGATTCTTCGAAAGCACTTACTGCAGGAGGAGGGATTCACAAGCTGACTCGATCAACCATGAGTTTCATATCATCACTTTCTGAATACAGCCGTGTGTTGTCTGAGATCCTTGCAGAGTATCCGCTTAAGAGAAACACCCGTATGCTAGAATCTTATTTCACAGCTCCAATCTTGGAAGATGAACAAGACAACAACTACACAGTATCGGTCCATCTAGCATGGCTCATCCTGGTTTTCCTATGCAAACTAGACATCAAAGCAGAGAATTACAAGGATGTTTCTCTCTCTTACCTCTTCCTCGTGAACAACACTCAGTTTGTGGTTGATACAGTTCGTTCAACTCACCTCAGGAACCTCCTAGGAGAAGATTGGCTCACAAAGCACGAAGCAAAACTCAGAAGCTATGCTGCAAACTACGAAATGGTAGCGTGGGCCAATGTCTACATCTCTTTACCAGAGAAATCCAACACAACACTATCACCAGAGGAGGCCAAAACACATTTCAAGAGATTTCACGCGGCATTCGAAGAAGCTTATATGAAACAATCATCATGTGTCATACCAGATGCAAAACTGAGGGACGAGCTAAAGGTTTCCATAGCAAAGAAACTTGTACCGGAATACAGAGAGTTTTATAGCAAGTACTTACCAACATTGAGCCAGGAGAGAAACATAGAGATGCTGGTGAGGTTTAAGCCAGATAACTTGGAGAACTATCTCTCAGACCTGTTCCATGGAACACCAATACTTAGTGGCTCTTCTTCTTTGTCTTCTTCATCTTGTATCTCACTAGGATGTGTAAGAAACTAAAGTTCTCAGTTACAGAATTTGGTTAATATCTTCATCACTTGAAAAAAATGGATGTGAAATATCAAATATGTGTCAGCCTATTTATATGAAATCTAAGTCTTGATTTGAGTTTTTGAGTCTACAGTCACGTATAAAAATCTCCAGAAACTCAACAACTAGAATCTAATCATATAATAAAACCTGCAATTGTCTATTACAAACAAAATAATCGAAACTTTTTTAACCAAAATCGAGATCAAGAGCTCCAAAGTAACAATTTGTCATAACAAAGTAAACTAATCACAACCAAAAGCTCAAATTTATGCTATTATTGATTTCGTCCACTAACTCCCATTCATAGTAGAAATGAGCAAAGACAGATCAAAGATACAGAATTGTCAAATACGAATGAAGTATACCCGCAACGTAAGTGGTCGGCATGGACACTCCCAAGTCCCAACGGCCGGCCAAAACGACGTCATCATCGTCGCCGGCGTCTTTGTCAAGCGAGATAGATAGATAAACCAATTTTACTCACAAATCGTGAAACCGGCAATTCCAATTAATGTCAGGGAAACCGATCAAACCGGGTTAATAATCTTTAGTTTAATTTAATTTCCGGTTTAATGACTATCTCTAGACCCTAGCGCCCCTTAAACGATATTAAACTCCATTTTTTTTGTTTTTTTCCATTGTTGTCATCACAGTCACAGGGTGTGTATATATTTTCTGATTTCAAAAATTTTTACATTTTGTTTTTGGTCAGACAAAAAATAACTATTTAACTTGTGGGATTATAAGATAAAACACTACAATCATGGAGATAATAACTTAAAAAAGGTAGAGAAACTAAACCCTGGAATCTAGTAATATGTTGTCTGGAGCATCGTAAAGTACTATAAGATGTGTGAATCCTGCCAAAACACTAAACAAATTACACGATTTGAAGCCAAAAGGAAGAAATCGAACATGTCTTTAAATTTAAGTTTTCTTTGTATTAACAAATAGTAGTATTCCTATTCATATACGGGTCACGACATAATCATATTGTTCATCATACATGATTAGTGTTTATGCTGTTCTTATTGGCTCGAGTAAACCAATGAGACAGAAAAGATATCTTACACGTGGGCTTCCTATAAAGATTACTGTCTCTCATCGTCGTCCCTGTCCTGATTAAAACAAATACAAAACATTTGTAGAAACACAATAAGTAACATAATTATAAGATAGATTATAAATTAAAGCAATGCTTTTGGTATTGTATTTGGATACTTTTTTGTTTTTATTATAAAACTTTGTCTCTCTATTCGTTCTTTCATAAAATTTTGAAGTACTAATTACCATTGCTGACGATGGTGAACCCATTAACTTTCTAGAGCCAATCAAATCAATCTTCAACAAGAAAATTATATAGTAGTATAAAGAAAAAAAAAATAGTAGGATATATTGGCAAAAACCCGGGTACTTTGCTAATCTTTTCTAAGAAAATATTTGAAGTATGGTCCAGCCAAGAAACCATTTCGGAATATATGGTACTCCACTCGAACTATTACTATACATCATGTATATTATTTAATTGCTAATTGTGATTTAATCATATATAATCAAGTAAAAATAGAAAACATACGGTCCAAAGTTGTACCCTCTTTACCAAATCAGAAACCTAACACTAACTCTCTCTGTCCTCTCTCTCTTTTACTTATATATAAGCAAACCTCTTCGACTATTATATCTCAACTTATCTCTCTAATCACTGAAGCATACCGCAAAAGAAACATAAAACAAATGGCGTTTAATCTAGATCGATGCGACAGTGATGTAGAAGAGGATTACATCGACATGGAAGTAACTTCTTTCACAAACCTTGTACGCAAAACTTTGAACAACAACCCTCGAGAGTTCGAGTTCCAAATGTCTCATCTTTGTGCTCTTGAGATAGACACAACCACTTCTCCCGCCGACGAACTCTTCTACAAAGGCAAGCTTCTCCCTCTTCACCTTCCTCCTCGTCTCCAAATGGTCCAGAAGCTTCTAGAAGATTACACTTTCGACGACGAATTCTACAGCACACCTTTAGCCACGGGGACGCTTCCAACTCCGGTGACAAGCAACACTCCGTTCGAGTCCTGCACTGTCTCTCCGGCAGAGTCTTGTCACGTGAGTAAAGAGCTTAACCCTGAAGACTATTTCCTTAACTATTCAGATTCAGTTGAGCAGGAGGAGGAGGAGGAGGATGATGATGATGAGAAGAAGAAATCTTGGACCAGGAAACTGAGATTGATCAAACAATCAAGTCTTGGAACGAAGATAAAAGCTTCGAGAGCTTATCTAAGATCGTTCTTTGGTAAAACTAGTTGTTCTGATGAGTCATCATGCGCATCTTCCGCTGCCAGAGTTGCTGACGAATCTTCGGTTTTGAGATACTCACGAGTGAAGCCTTTTGGACAAACCAAAACAGAGAGACCTAAAAAACAGAGCAGTGGTTCTGTTTCGGGAAGCCATAGAAGATCGTTTTCGGTTTCTATGAGACGACAACCTGCAAAGTGTTCGAACAACAAATCATCGAATAGCTTAGGGTTTCGTCCGTTGCAGTTTTTGAAGAGAAGTACGAGTTCGAGTTCTGAGATTGAGAATTCTATCCAGGGAGCTATCTTGCATTGCAAGCAATCACAGCAGCAGAAGCAGAAACAGTATAGTGTTAATGACGTCGGATTCTGTACGTTGACAGCTTCAAGAATGGCGGCGAGGGATGATCAAGAACGGGCTCAGATGTTTAGGGGATATTGAACATGAAGAAGGATAAGAAGGAAATAAGAGCTAGAGTGAGACTGAGAGAACTAGATAATAAAAAACTTAGTTTTCTTTTGTGTATTGCTTCTTCTGTGTTCTAATGTGAGATCTCATAAATTTCCAGTGCTCTTTTCGTATCCAATAAAATTGAATATGACTAGAAAGTGATTTTTTAAGATTCAACTTATGTTTTGATGTTATCTTTTAACAAAAAAAAAAAAACTTATGTTTTGATGTTTTTTAAGATCCGACTCACATATGTTCGGATTGTAATGCAAATGTCTCCTATAAAATTCTGATGTGGTAAACTTAAATATATGATAAGTGGTAACTATATATAACATCTACATTTATAATAAAAAGAAAAAGAAAAATCATTGTAATAAACTAATAATACATATTTTTGATGTTTGTCCAACTTTTTGTTCATGTAGTTTTCCTAATTCTTCAAAAAATATTGCTAGTCTAAAAGTACATATAATTACACCACAAACAGTTATAAAGAAATACAGGTTTTACTTTGTTGTATGTTTAAAGGTTTACAACAGAAATCATTTATTTTTTCAATGCCTGCGATTTATATACCTTTAGTTTTGAACATACCTGAAGTAGTGACATTAACAACAAAAAAATACTAAAATGACAAAAAGAAAAAAAATATAGTATAGTTTAATGGAGAGTGATTGAGAGACTGAAATGATGATTCCCTAAACACGAGTGTTTAGAGTCAGACCGTCGTTATCACCATAGAAAGGTTCACTTGTTAAAGTTGAAAAGGATCGAGGATATATCAGGAAACATGGATCCATGCTTTCAGAAAGCTGATTGCTACTTCGCTCCATAATTTCATATAAACAAGTGTAATTTTGGGTAGTAATACAAATACTTTATATTTATATCAATGGAGAAATTCATAGAGTACAGTATAAAGCATCCTTAATTATAGAACAGATGACGTACGTATACATCAACATTAGAGTACTTAAGTCGATCGAGCTCCGAATCTAACTAGCCCTTTTTTTATGTTCAGTTTCTTTCTAAAGTCTTCTTTTATGTCAAGTTCTATCAACTTTGATACATACGGTAACCATACATACAAGGTGAAGTCCCCTTTTTCACAAGAACCTTTGTAATGTATATTATTATAAGCACGCAGATGCCTTGTTTTGTTTGTTGTGAATTCCGCATTTGTAACAAGAGGGGTTTTATAGTATAACATAAGAGTGTGTAGCAATTAGTTTTGAATTCGATATCAATGAATATCTTAACATAGTTTTGGTTATTGATACAAGTATGATTATAATTAATTAAGTCGGATATAAGTGCTGATCAATGACGTAAAAATATAATCATTTTGAAGAAGCGTGTTAAGATATAAAAATCTCTAGTATAGAGAAAAAGTTCTTCAGTGTATGTCTCTTACAAGAACTAAAGGACACTTCTGTGAATTAAATATCAAAACAAGACCAAATTAATGACCAGAAAAATACCGTATAATTGATTAATTAATCCTAAAGAAAACATAGCGTTAATTAATAATCAAACCTAAAAGGCGATTTAGGAGGGAGGGAAGGGACAAGAGAACCCAAAGCTGTGTGCTGCTTTAGCATATCTTTTGTGTGTTTGTTTGATCAGTGCGTGTGCATCCATTTAAACTTTCAAATCAAAGCCTTAAATAAAGATTACCTTGTCTTTCTCTTTTTATTTTGTTTGATAACACGATATCATCAATATTTATATGGTGGATGGATTATAAGCGTGTACATGATTGCTTCCCAAGTTAGCACATTGACCTTGAATTTGGATTTGGCAACATTAAAACATTGTCACTCTCTAATCGGTTGAAATAATCGAGATTGGGATGCAAATTCGTTTGTTAAGGATAGCAAAATTGCACAACACAAAGACAAAATACGTTTGATATGTTCATTCTGTATACCGACGTACATATATGTATGGAGTATATCAACGCACATGGTGTCATCTCGATGGATCAATGTAAGAGCTAGCTATTCCTGTCTAAACTCTTTTGTACTTATTATGTGAAATTTGGAGTATATCTCTTGGCTACGTTTTCTAGTATTTGGACGCATACAATGGTCCACACCGTCGCTTGATCACTGCCCTGCTGACATATTTTGACAATATATGTTGTGTTTTGCCTGCTTAAACGTGTAAATGTTGTATACTGACGATTCTTATTCAATCAATAATTTGTTGTATTTCATGGTGATTTGATAATAACTTTTTAGCACTTTTCTTTGTTATACACACCTATTATTCTATTAATTTTGCTTTGAATTTATGGTGTATATAAATTTTAATTGTGTTATATACTTATATACATATATTGATTAGTAAATTATGACATTCAATCTTTGAGATAAGTTAATAACAAGAACGATTCTGTGTAATAATTCTAAAAGACAATTCAGCTTTACTTCATCCATAGTCCATACTAAACTGTTTTCGATACCTTTTTAGGCCCATCTGATTTTGTTGCTGCTAAACTGTGTTTATGTAAACTAATGTCTCTAGTTAGTTCTAAAAACCGGCCGACCTCTTAAACTAATGTCTCTAGTTACTGTCTTATTGTAAACTCTTTTGTACGTAATGTTGTTATATATAACTTGTATTGTATCTCTTGGCTACGTATTCTATGTGTTTGGACGTATTTTACGACAGACAAACCCATCGTTGCTTGTCTTTTGATTGTTGTCCTGACATGTTTTGAGACTATAGTTAGGTTTTAGAAAGATTCCCTTTTTTAAAATGAATTTTGTGACAATTTTTCTTTGTTCATAGCTTGTTGTATATATACATTTTAATTTTTTTTTATTGATGAATAAAATTATAACATTTGAATAGACTATACGATATTCTTTTCATTAGAGCCGCCTGACCAGAAAATAATCATTTGAAAAACGTTTTTGTTTTATATACACGAAACACCACCCCTAGCGAAATAGTCTAAATGTTCTCCTAATTATAAAATATCTCAATGATACTATTAAAACAAATCCAATCAGACATGTAATTTGAGTTTTTTGTGTGTAGTGCTACTACTGTATATTATCAAATCTGACTTTGTTTGGAGCATATGGAATTTTAAATTAGAAAATACATGTTTTGTCGGCGGTTAAGATTTATTAAAAAAATGGCTTTATCATGATTAAATTCATAAAAATATAATTCAGCAAAGTTCCAGTTCTATTTGTACCGATCGGAACTCAAAAATGGATTTTTACTTTTTTTTTTTTCCGAAAATACAATATACAATATATATTACATTATAGATTTGTATATGTTCCCAAAAAATTTTGAGTATAGATTTGTATATGTAAAACTGTACATCTGACTCAACAAATTTATGTTATCCAAACAATTTAATTCCCAACAAAAAAAGATATTTCCCAAAAATACTCAACATTGATAAACCTCTTTAAATACACATATTAACTCTTATTGCATTCTCGGTTTACAAAAAAATTACAAGAAAAAAAAAACTCTTATTGCATTCTCGTCTAAGTCTTTCATAGACCTAATTAAATCTCGATATATTTCTTTCGCATCAAAAGCAAAAAAATTTTACCAACGAAGCAATTTTAAAATTAAATACGACTAATTTTAGACATAAAACAATAAAAATGGATGTGCTACAGAATAAAATAAAAATGGACAGTTGCCAACAAAAAGTCGATAAAAGAAAAAACACAATGATTCCGTCGCTATCTTTGAACAATACAAACCAAACGGCACGTTTGTAGCCGGTGGGAGAAAAATAATAATACTCGTAGTTGTTTCATTTTTGTTATTATGCCGTCTCTCCCAAATCACTCACTAATATCTATTTATGCTCTCTCCGCCTCTTTCTTCTATCCCTCTTTTGTACTTTTCTGTCATTATCCATTGTTTCTTTATTAGTTTGGTGCATTTTCCAGCTCAATTACCAAAAACGTTGAAAACGAAATTTACATAATTAGAAAAAATATACTACTAATAACTTTCTCGTGGCCATGTTGATGATAAATATTTTTTCCTCAGATTGGTTAATCAACTCTTTGTTTTGGTGTGATTTCGTCAACATATTTGTTAATCAACTTGCCTCCTCCTCTCTCCCCCTTTTTTTTCAAAACCAAAACCCCTGGAAACATTTTCAATAAATGCAAGACTTTTAATTTTCTCGATAATTCGCTTTTGGTCAATTGGTAAGTGTAAACGCGTAGTTATTGAGTTGGTGTGACTGTTTCTTTCTTTTTCTGCTCACGGATCTTTTTTTCTTTTTGCAAAACATCAGCTGCTCTACTTTTCATTATCTTCTCCGAAATAGACTCTGTTTCCTTCAAAAACTGTCCATACTAATTCGAATTTTCTGATACCCTTTTCTCCATATTACAGATTCTCACTGGTGAATTCATCTGTTCTTCTTTGGATATGATAAACCTCAAGCTCTTCTTAGGGCTAAAGTTTTGTTTTTTATTAACCCTTCTCTGTTCTTCACACATCTCCTCTGCTTCTTCTGATGCTTTCTTCATCAACTGTGGATCTCTGGATAATGTAAACGTCAACAATCGGACCTTTGAATCCGACAGCAATCTTGGTCCGGGAATCTTTGACTCTTCTCTAGGAATCTCGGTCAGAACCACAGATTCTAATTCAGGGGATGAATCGGCTCTGTTTCAGACCGCGAGAGTATTCTCCAATGGATCAAGTTATCGGTTCCCGATCGAACAACACGGTTGGTTCTTGATTCGTCTTTACTTCTTACCCTTTGTCTCCTCTTCCCAAGATCTAACCACTGCTAGATTCTCTGTTTCGTCTCAAAACTTCACTCTGATCAAAGATTACAAACCCTCAACGACTTCTGTTGTTAAAGAATACAGTTTAAACATCTCTTCAGACAATCTAGTCATTGAGTTTCGTCCTCAAATAGGTTCTGTAGCTTTCATCAATGCTTTGGAAGTTTTCAGACTTCCAGAGGATTTGCTTCCTGAAGAAGCAAAACTCGTTGGTTCACAGAGCAAGAAGAGTCTCAAGCTCAGGAGTCATGCCATGGAGACTGTTTCTCGTGTAAACATGGGGAATTTGACTGTGACTCGTGATCAGGATAAGCTATGGAGGCAATGGGACTCGGATTCTGCCTATAAAGCTCACTACGGTACGCCTGTGATGAACCTGAAAGCAGTTAACTTCAGTGCAGGTGGAATAACAGATGACATTGCACCAGTTTACGTCTATGGAACTGCCACGAGGTTAAACTCTGATCTTGATCCAAATACCAACGCCAATCTTACTTGGACATTCAAGATCGAGCCTGGTTTCGATTACTTTGTCCGGTTTCACTTCTGTAACATAATAGTGGATCCTTTTGGATTTAAGCGTCAGATACGCTTTGACATTTTTGTGAATTCAGACAAAGTCGGGTCCGTTGATATGACAGAGGTTGCAAATGGCACTTTTGGAGCTCCTTATTTCGTTGATGCAGTGATGCGCAAAGCCAGAAGTCGTGAAGGAGCCTTGAATCTATCTATTGGTGGAGTTATGGATGTTTCTTCCTACCCGGTTTATTTTATTAACGGATTTGAGATATTGAAGCTGAGCAACGATAAGGGGAGTCTTGATGCTTTTGATGCTGTTGTCCATGATCGTTCTATGCGTAACAAGAGTTCGAATCCAAGAATCGGATTGATAGCTGGACTATCTGCAGTTCTGTGTGTTGCTTTATTGTTTGGTGTGGCTATATCTTGGTGGTGCATCAGGAAAAGAAGAAGAAATAGACAAATGCAGACTGTTCATTCTAGAGGGGATGAGCAGATTAACAAGAATGAAACAGGTGAGAGCTTAATCTTTTCAAGCTCAAAGATCGGTTATCGATACCCGTTGGCTCTAATCAAGGAAGCAACGAGTGATTTTGATGAAAGCTTAGTGATTGGGGTTGGTGGGTTTGGTAAAGTTTACAAAGGAGTCTTGCAGGACAAGACTGAGATAGCTGTGAAAAGAGGAGCTCCTCAGTCTCGACAAGGTTTAGCGGAATTCAAGACAGAGATTGAAATGCTTACTCAGTTCAGACACAGGCATTTGGTTTCTTTAATCGGGTATTGCGACGAAAACAGTGAAATGATCATTGTCTATGAGTATATGGAGAAAGGAACGCTTAAAGAACATCTGTATGACTCAGATAACCCGAGACTGAGCTGGAGACAGAGGCTTGAGATATGTGTTGGTGCAGCTAGAGGACTTCATTATCTCCATACAGGTTCGACAAGAGCAATCATACACCGCGATGTGAAATCCGCTAACATTCTCTTGGATGAGAATTTCATGGCCAAAGTTGCAGACTTTGGATTATCTAAGACAGGTCCTGATCTTGATCATCAGACATATGTGAGTACCGCGGTTAAAGGAAGCTTTGGATATCTAGATCCAGAGTACTTAACCAGACAACAACTGACTGAGAAATCAGATGTTTACTCTTTTGGTGTGGTGATGCTTGAAGTACTATGCGGGAGACCAGTCATCGATCCATCACTTCCAAGAGAGAAAGTGAATTTGATCGAATGGGCGATGAAGTTGGTGAAGAAAGGGAAGTTGGAAGAGATCGTAGACCCGTTTCTTGATGGGAAAGTGAAGGCTGAAGAGGTGAAGAAGTACAGTGAGATAACAGAGAAGTGTTTGGCACAAAGCGGCATTGAGAGGCCAACAATGGGAGATTTGTTGTGGAACCTAGAGTTCATGCTTCAGGCCCAAGCAAAAGATGAGAAAGCGGCAATGGTGGATGATAGGCCAGAGGCAAGCGTTGTGGGTTCAACTGTGCAGTTCAGTGTGAATGGAGTGGGAGATATTGCAGGGGTCTCAATGAGCAAAGTTTTTGCACAAATGGTTAGAGAAGAAACACGGTAAAAAGATTTGATCAAAAGAAGAAGAGTATCTTCATCACTATAGTGTTATTTGTACAGGAGGAATTAAGGAGGGAACACAATACTGTTTTATACATTGTAGAAAATTTAAAGTGTTGTTTTTTAATCGAGATATACTGAGCTTCTTTGCTATACTTTTCTATAAGATCAATTTAAAATTCACTAAATTATAAAAAGAGAACATGACAAATGTGATGCAAGTTTAACAATTCGCTGTGTAATGGTTTCCTTGACTGGGTAAGTATTGCGATGAGAATAGCAGAATAAGTAGTATGAAGATGATAGTACTAACAAACTCAATTAACGTTTTATTTACTCTCTTGACATTATATGAAACTGAGAGGGCTCAAGCTTTCCCGGCATCGTAAATGGGGTTCTAAAATATATTTATCAGATTCTAACACCAATCAACCATATATTAACTAAAAGCATTCAGAGTAAATAAAAACTCATTTTATTGTTCAAAAATCAAAGGACATGACAAGTGAAAACAGAAGAAAAAAGAAAGATAAAAGAGATGCAAGAAATTACGTTCTATTATTTGTAAATAACTAATATCCATGTCCATGTTTCTCTAGGTTGAATTTGAACCAACCTTGGAACATACCTTCTCTAGGATGCAATTGCGAGGAATCACCACAAGGGATATATTCGTGGGGGTGATCCTCTCCAAAAATGTGCAAACTTTCTCTGTCCCAACATACTGCGACTGTCTTCTCTTCGTCGATGAAGAAACTTACATCACACGTAAACTTATGTTCTTCATAACAAGTGTCCAAATCCACTGCCAACAACTTGGTCCATGACAAGACTTTGGTCTGATCAATCTTGTCATTGGTCGCCACCCAGATTTCCACCCTTGATGTATCCAAACATTGTTGCAAAATCGCAAGTTGCTCATCCTTAACAACTGATAGACCCAAACTTTTAAAGCCAAGACGCTCCAAGGGAAGATTTAGACATCCAAATGTCTCTGTTGTGAAGTCAAAACTTAGTAGTAATAATTCTTTGACTTGTGAAGCAATCCAATAAGTATTCCCAAGTAAAGACACCCCACGAGATTTTATCATGCAGCCGAGAGGGACGTCATCATCAAGAGGCCTCCATGAATCAGAGTTGATCTCGTAGATATGTACCTCTGGTTTTGGATCATAATCCAAAATACTCAAGACTTTGTAGCTATCGCACAAATCGTTATGGTATCCAAGAGCAAAGATGCCACTGCGGTCATGATTCATAAGCTCGATCCACCTGGTTCCCTTGGAACACGGGTTCCAAACCACAAGCTTGTTAGTATCAGTTTTCATGGTTTGTAACAACAATAAACCGTCGCAGTGAAACATACCAGATATAGTGATTTCATTTGAGTAAAAATTGCTGATACCACCGTTTAATATGTGGAATCCAATTCCGGCATAGTTGCTACCTTCACTCATATGAGTCATATCAACGATCAATGTGGAAACCGATGATCTCATCAGTACGATCACTTCCATTGCTGCTTTGTGAAAGCGATTTTTAATGAATCTTCGATCTTTGAATAAAGTGTTCCACAGTTTGCAAGTAAATCGCAACTCTCTTAGAGACTCGACTGGGAGCCTAGAGAGTATATTCTCTAACATATCACGTGAAAGATCTGTCATACCCATTTTTCATTTACTTTCTTCTCTTCTGATCTCTCAAAAGGAAGCTGAAAAGTGCGATAAGCCGGCTGCAGATTAAAAAAAAAACACAAAACTAGGGTTAATCTTGCTATATAACTTATAAATTTGCCGTTTCAAACAAAAATAGAAGCTAACAACAAGAGAACAAATAGATAGCAGAAAAACGACTAATCAACAGGCCTTATGATATCAACATACATGGCCCAAATTGTTTTTTGAATAAAAATATTTAGTTGAAAGTTGAATACACTATTCTTTTTCTGTTTAAAAAGGGTAGACGAATTAGCAAATAATTTTTAAAAAGCCTAATGGTCCAAATGTACTTAAACCCTAAATAATAGAAATGAACTTTATTCGCGTCCTTTGATCGTGGCGGCAAGAAGGGAAATGTGGTTAGAAGTTAGTAAGCAAAAAAAAGTCAACAAAAAATTTAATTACCTAAAAGTCAAAAATGAAATTGGAAATGTAAAGCATTTCCTATCTATCACACATTTAATGCTTACACATGTTATAACCACTAACACCGCCTAGGATTAGATTTTCGTTTTCTAGAAGGTTGGTAAATGATGATAGTGAGTTACGAATAAAACTTCCTTTCGAAATCAACATGTGATTTTTGAGAACATTTTGGTAATCAGAGAATATGTGATTTCCTTGATGATGATGCGCAGTTTGTGATTAGTATTAGTATGTGTCAAATTGAATGCCCAACAATATCAATTTGGTAGCAAGCAACTAGCAAGTTTTGAATAATGTCCAATTCTTTTCCCAAAACCTTTGTCGGATGACGTTGATTTTGTTGTGGATCTAATAGACTAAAACACTATACTAACCTAATACTACTAATAATTGTGAGTGACAACATGAGTCATTACCATTTTCTTATACTCTTAAAGTTAATCTTTCAAAATTTTGGCTAGATATTTGATGTTTACAACGCTGAGTCGCTGATACAAACCGTATATTTTATTCTCTTATCTTGTTTGTAAAGAAACTGTACCTAACAATCATGCATGATTCCCCTTATTATATATGTGAACAAATATATGTACTTTCGTTAGATTTTTGTTTGTTTTTGAAGTATGGACAATGTATGTACGAATGTGTATTCCATAGAAAGGATAATCATCATTGGGGGACAGGAGAAAGAGGTGGTGGCATTGATGATATCAAAGAGTTACACATCCTAATTCCTAAGTCGAATTCATAGGATCTTGTTCAAGTTCCGTCGTGCATGAACAAGTACACTTGAGAGCATTAACTCAACAAGACCTTTCCCGATATCATCTTCTCATACTATAAATTACCTCATTGGTGACATATTTGACTTTTATCACCACATGCATTGCAATAAATAGGAAGTCATCTTCTTCGTTTTTCTTTTTTGCTAAGATAAGTCATAAACAATAAACAAAAGCCATCTTATGCAGTTGACCCATCTCAATATCTTTTAGGCTACATGTTTTATTTATATATGGGGAAAATTTAGGTTGAAATCTATCTGTATAATAAACTAAATTATTATGTCACTTAACATATCTACATTAGCTACCAAAAAGCCTGTCAAAAGAAAATAAGCTAACAAAGATCTTTGCGAATGGAATTGATTACGAACTACTAACTATAAATACAAATTATATATAACCCTGAAACAATTTTACTTACATTTTTTTCATAATCTTGATTCAGAAAATTGGCTAGCATATAGTTTTTCAATGATTACATATATACTTCGTCCATAATTGCAAAATCACCATGATACAAATCTACACTAGCTAAGTTTTCAATATAGAATCCTACTGGGGTATACTAGTTAGAAAGCAGAAAATTTCATAAACATGAATTTTGAAATAGATTATCAATTCAGAAAACGATATTCAAATTAGCATATAATATAAATATCACATCATATACCAAAGGTCCACCAATTAAACCGGTATAATAATCCTATTTAGAAAAGAAAGAACCTAGAACATGGCACAACTACTCAATATTTAAAGCTGGGACAAATTTTTCATTCGAATAGGCTTTGTAATACACATTTAACGAACTAGTTAGTCAGGAGGCTGCAATAAATGATTGCTATATAATAATAGTATTGTTATGCTTGCAGTTGCCTATCACCATATGTGTGCACACATACGTAACGTAAACATGCGTAAGGCGTGTCCACATTGTACAACTATGACTTACTCTATATGCCTAATCTCTTGTCATATAATTACAAGACTATCATAAACCGACTCGACTAAGAAAATAGATTAACAAGAAGGTTTTTGAGTTCAGTTCGTTTTCTTACTAGTTAACTATATGTAGATAGAAAGAGTTTAAAATCACGAGTTTGAATATCAGTGATATAGAAGAAGAAAAAAACTTAATTAAACAACATAAGGGTTTAAAGTCCCGAAAAAAACTTTGTAACAAAGCTATGACTCTAGCCTTATATTCTATGTTAGATAACTTGACTCGAACATTGCATGTGCGTGTTGAAGATTTTTCCGGCATTGTGTTAGGTATCTGATTAAGTTCTAGGCTTTTAATTAAGTTTGGCAAGTGAAGTAGCTAAGCTAGCTAGCCTTGTAGCCATTTATTGGACTGCGACCGACTTTGATATCCTTGAATATATACTAATACTATTTCACATGTACAAACCCATTTTACAAGTAGGCATCAATTTCGCATGACTTTTTTCCTCATTAGATAATATATTTTTCTTGCTTTTTAACTACTTCATCAATCATCTAATTCAAGCTTTGACTACCATAGTAGAAAATTTGTCGTGTTCACTTTATTTTAAATTGCTTTTACCTAATGCAATCAAGAATACTATTTTACACGCAAAAAAGGCACAATTTAGACTCTTCTAACTAGGTTATGGACCATATGGTGTTTGTTACCTCTATTATCATACTAATGAACTTGCAAACCACTCTTCTTTATAGAGGTGGACACAAGATAAATTTATGGTGATCAATATTATACATTATAGAAAGAATATGAACATTCATTCAAAATACTGAAGTATGAAAAGAAAAAAAAAAGACTAGAAGAAATAAGCATTAATGAAGGCAACTATGGGAAAGACACACGAAAGTCCTCGTCCCATGCCTATGTTAGATGAACGAACAAACACCCTTTACCTAATTGGCTACTTCACAAGTCAATAAAACCCATTTCGCCACGTGGCATGCGCCCACCGTTACCAAAAAAAAAAAAGAAACGAAGAACGAAGAAGAAGAAGAAAAACGTATTTGGTAATTTCCACTTTAGGGAACTTTAGATTTAATAGGTCGACTCTTCACCTTCTCCATAATAAATAAACAATAAATCAAAAACGCATTTACATCCAAACAGTCAAAAATATATAAACCTAAACATACCTTTCCCATGCAACTCATCGTGACCTTTTTTTTTTTTTTTAACATATAGCCTTCCGTGTCTTCACACATACAAACACGTCTCTTCATGCAATCTCGCCTCTATATATATAACTATATAGTAATGATAACAGACTCATACATACATATCCAACCAAAGTCCCATAAACTGAAAAACAAACACACTTCTTTCTCTTCTTCTTCGAGCGAGAACTCAAAGTCGTTAAACAAAAGTTATGAGTGTGTGCTTAAGTCAGTTTATTTGTTGATCAATCTTAAACAGTTTTAATTCCTTTTGTTGTTACTATGGCTCGTATTGTAGCAGCTGATGATGATGATTCCATGGAGCTCAACACCATCTCCTCTGTGCACGATTCCACTCTAGGGCAACTTCTTAAGAACGTCAGTGACGTCAGGAAAATGGCCATTGGAGACGAGACTCCAGTTCACGAGTCCTTGAACCGAGACGACGACTATGATGGTTACATGCGTACTGTTCCATTCGTTCTCTCTTTCGATAATCTCACTTACAATGTCTCTATTCGTCGAAAACTAGAGTTCCGTAACCTCTTTCCACGGGGAAGTACAACAGAGGATCCGGAGATAGCTCAAACGGTGAGGCCAAATACTAAAACCCTTCTCAATAACATCTCCGGCGAGACTCGAGACGGAGAGATCATGGCCGTTCTTGGAGCTAGTGGCTCGGGGAAATCAACATTGATCGATGCATTAGCTAACCGTATTGCCAAAGGAAGCTTGAAAGGAACAGTGAAGCTAAACGGAGAAACACTTCAGTCTCGAATGCTCAAAGTGATCTCAGCCTATGTAATGCAAGATGATCTTCTCTTCCCTATGCTCACCGTTGAAGAAACGCTAATGTTCGCTGCTGAGTTTCGTCTCCCGAGGAGTTTACCAAAATCCAAGAAGAAGCTTCGTGTGCAAGCTTTGATCGATCAATTAGGTATCAGAAACGCTGCTAAAACAATCATCGGAGACGAAGGTCACCGTGGAATCTCCGGTGGTGAAAGAAGAAGAGTTTCGATCGGTATTGATATAATCCATGATCCGATACTTCTCTTCCTCGATGAACCAACCTCTGGTTTGGACTCAACGAGTGCGTTCATGGTGGTCAAAGTGTTGAAGAGGATCGCTCAGAGTGGCAGTATCGTGATTATGTCGATTCATCAACCGAGTCATCGTGTTCTCGGTTTGCTTGACCGGTTAATCTTCTTATCCCGTGGCCACACCGTGTACAGCGGATCTCCGGCGAGTCTTCCGCGTTTCTTCTCCGAGTTCGGGAGTCCGATACCGGAGAACGAGAATCGAACCGAGTTCGCGTTAGATCTCATCCGTGAGCTTGAAGTATCAGCCGGAGGAACTAGAGGATTAGTCGAATTCAACAAAAAATGGCAAGAGATGAAGAAACAGAGCAACCGTCAACCACCGTTAACTCCTCCTTCATCACCGTACCCAAATCTTACACTTAAAGAAGCAATCGCCGCCAGTATAAGCAGAGGAAAGCTAGTTTCCGGCGGAGAATCCGTCGCTAACGGCGGAACAACAGCTACCTCCACAACTCTAGCTGTTCCTGAATTTGCGAATCCGATGTGGATGGAAATCAAAACTCTCTCGAAACGATCAATGCTCAATTCTAGAAGACAACCAGAGCTATTCGGAATCAGAGTCGCCTCCGTCGTTATCACCGGATTCATCCTCGCCACCGTATTCTGGCGATTAGACAATTCTCCCAAAGGAGTTCAAGAGCGGTTAGGGTTCTTCGCCTTCGCGATGTCAACAATGTTCTACACTTGCGCCGACGCGTTACCAGTTTTTCTCCAGGAACGTTACATCTTCATGAGGGAAACTGCGTACAACGCTTACCGGAGATCCTCCTACGTTCTCTCTCACGCCATCGTCTCTATCCCGTCGCTCATCTTCCTCTCTCTAGCTTTCGCGGCGACGACGTATTGGGCTGTAGGATTGGACGGAGGCCCAATGGGCCTTTTGTTCTACTGTTTGATCATTTTAGCCGCGTTCTGGTCAGGGAGCTCCTTTGTCACGTTTCTATCAGGTGTGGTTCCAAGTGTGATGTTGGGTTACATAATCGTCGTCGCTATTTTAGCATACTTCTTGTTGTTCAGTGGATTCTTCATCAACAGAAACCGTATCCCTGATTACTGGATTTGGTTTCATTACCTGTCTTTGGTTAAATACCCCTACGAAGCCGTTTTGCAGAACGAGTTCTCTGATGCGACCAAGTGTTTCGTGAGAGGAGTTCAGATTTTCGACAATACGCCATTAGGAGAATTACCAGAAGTGATGAAGCTGAAGCTGCTTGGTTCTGTGAGCAAGTCTCTCGGGGTGACGATATCGAGCTCGACTTGTTTGACCACAGGTGCAGATATACTGAAGAATCAAGGTATTGTTCAGCTGAGTAAATGGAATTGCTTGTTCATCACAGTTGCTTTTGGGTTCTTTTTTAGGATACTGTTCTACTTCACTTTGTTACTTGGAAGCAAGAACAAGCGGAGGTGAAAAAAAAATGCTAATAGACCCAAATCACAAAACATACTTGTATTCTCTGTTTGTAATTCCTTGAATTGTTTAATGAAAAATGGTTTTTTTCATATATATATAAAGGTATGTTTCTTGGATTCCCTTGTCTCAAAAGTTTATAGAAAGAATAGGGACTTCCATATTCACAAAAACGAATTACAAACACATTTGGCTTCACTTCCAAACGTTTCCTACTACAACTATGAAGTATTATAAACCTAAGTGTCATACCTGAAATTGTGTGTGTGGCAGAAGACGACGATGATGCAGCCAGAGAGCCTTGGAATTATCTTCATTGGTCTCCCCTTAGGATCAAAAGGTATGATGAACTTCATTTTAGCATTATTGCTTCTTTTTTACCCATCAGACTACAACAAACATTAATCTTTTTCATCATGTACGTGTAAAAAAATCATTGACATCTAGATTTCGATCTCCATGAGCAACTGCGTCTTCAGGTTCTGGCATGAAGAGACTCGTTGATGACGCCTGCACGAGGAATAATACAACCAGTCATCAATCCATATCTTGAAATTAAGGAACTCAACATTTATATGGCTGAGAATCAAAGTGAACTAGAAGTGTTATAAGCATATGGCAAATCCAAAAGAAGAAGACTTACCTTAGTATCAAGAAGTATATCTCCGTTACTGTCAGTAATGAGGTTAGCACCATGGGTTTTTAGCCATTCTAAACACTCCTCCGAACCATTAGTCTCCTTTTCATCAGCACTTTCGCTTGCTGCAGCACCAGTAAAACCTAACACTTGGACTATGTATGAAACTGGGATTGTAGGACGACAACTCCGAGACATAAAAGTCACAGCTTTGTAACGCATCTTCTCCACATAGAGATCTGCAAACATAACATTTCATCATATCCTTCATATCTAGCCATTGAATTGTTGAAACATATCAGAACAGTTTCTTATGTAATATGTCCCTTACCCATGAGGCAACTATTCATGTTTGGTGCAGTCTTGTAGAGTCTGAAGAACATAACATAATTTCCTGATGTGACAGCTGCACGAACTGAAAGAGCATGTCTAACTGCTTCATCATTCTTAGCTTCTTCGGATAATCTAAAGAACAGAGATCACAAAATAACTCAATCTCATGCACAGAAACCCAATTCAAAGAAGTAACCTCTTTGCACTGGTATGAAGAAAAAATATATAATTCAAATACTATTCCCAGTTGGTCACTAACTGAACCTGTGTAGCAAACCTTATTCTGATCTTTCCACGAACTTCAATTTATCAAAGTTTCTCATGACACATAATGCTTAAACGAACCCCAGAGATAAATATTTATATGTACTAACCTGGACATAGATGATAGCAGTTCACGGTTGTTGTTAGAGTGTAGGGTAATATAGAGTAGACTGTATGCAGCAAACTCTAGAGAGCATCCTTCTATACCTTCGGCATAAAGAGTTTTTAACTGCGACAGACACTGTTACATAAATTAAAAAAACCAATTCAGCGAGACTAAACATACCTGGAATTAAAAAAAAAAACTCCTCAGAAATATGCAACAGATGTATTCTACAAGACTAGGTGGAACAGTATCATTATATTGCAGAATTTATGCAAACCAAAGTCACAATCCATGGTAAAGAGTCATCAGAAATAGGAGTGACCCTTCAACCTAGAGGCAAATTCGAAACCCAAATTATTCTACTTGCTAAACTATAGCTGCCAGGCTGTCCATCTCACTTCACTCTGATGTCTTGCATGATATGTTGCTTTATTTATTTTATTTTAAATGAGACGCCAGTGAAATACTAGCAGATGTTGGTATTTTTATAATTAGGAAAAAAAAAGGACAAGTTTTTCAACAGAGAATTTGATCTAGACACTCTGAATAGTAATAGGTTATTGATTTGATCTAGACACTGAATGATTACAATTCTAAAATATGAAGAGTATGTGCTAGTGTACAAACCTGATTATACTCGGGTAAATCCCCAGCCTCCAAAGCCAATCTAGCATGTGTTTCATAAACCTGAAATCGACAATGAACAAAGAGACATTATAAACATGCTAAATGATTGTGTATCCGCTGTACAGCAAGAACACCCAAAATATTTTTGAACTCAATAATATTACCTTAGCTGTTAAATGATTGTGTATCCGCTGTACAGTGAGATCTTGTCGAATAGACTTTAGCTGATCGCATTTATAAAGATAACTCTTTTGAGAATCCTGAACCATTAAGAGAGCTTTTTCCAGCACATCCTCTGGTCTTACCTGAAAATAAGTCAAAACAAAAATATCAGTCAGGGTGTTTAAAAGATTACGAGGTATAAGATAGTGATATTTACAGTGGCAGGATCTGGTGCAGAGGTAAGACGGAGATAACGTTTCTCAATTTCCTGGCAAGTTCCTTTAACTGTTAATGCATCCCAGTCAATGTCTTCCACAGCTCTGCTGCCATTTTCATCGAAATTTTTGCTAAGCCTCAAGGCAGTGGCTCTTCTAGAATGCAAATTTCCAACATTTGCATTCTTAGGCTTCGGAAGATCAGCCCCTCGGCTGTGCCCTTGAACTCTTTCAAAACGCTTGGAACGACTATCACGGCGCTTCTTTTCCTCGACAGAACTAGCAAGTGTCATTGCACTGGAATAGTAAGGTGTCAAATCCTTGTCGCTATCACTAGATGCCTCATCATCAATGGTCGTAGCTGCACCACCAGAAAACCGCTGTCGCTTGATAGGCCGTTGGAAACTTTTTTTTGCAGAATTTTGCCCAGAATAAGTGGGCTTGAAGCCAGTGGCAGCATCCACCTTTTGAAACATCTCCGAATTCTGCAAAATTTCTTATCAGAACCAGGGACTGCAAGAACCAAATTCTAACAGCTACATACACATTCAACCAACAGCTAAATATTTTCTATTCTTTTCTTTTCCTTGACCAGACATGAATAAATGCATAATCAGTATACCCCCAGTAGCATCCCTTCACATATAATAAAGAAAAGAAAGCCTAACCTTATTATTATTTTCATTTTGGCGATTCCAAGCTCCAAATTTAACAGCACTGCTAAAAGTTGAAGCTGGCTTGACAAACGGTTTTTCTTCCAGTAACGGCTCCCATCTACTTTTGGGTCGTCTTGTTGGGCTCTTGTTTTGTAACGAAGATACAAGAGTGGAGCTCGACCTGCATTTCGGAGTAAAACTTAGCAGGAAGATAGAAAGTAAATGCTACAACCATATAGTAGAGAAGAGTAATAGTTATTGATCATGCAGGCAGGAGATGGAGGAATTAAGGGCCATACTCAGTGTTAGTCACATTTGTGTTCAGGACAGTTGAAAGAGGCTCAGTATCCCAATCCCGAGTATAAAGAGTATCATCAGCCTTCGCTTTGGTGATGATCTAGAAATAATCAAATAAGCATCAACATGCAACGAAACCTAAAATTAACATGGTATTCTACTGACTGCAAAACTATTTCTTCCAAAAGGCATGAGAACATTTTAAATATACTACACAAGTGCACATTTACACGGAATACCAATTGAAGAAGTAAATTCAAATATGTAATAATCTTAAGATGAACAAAGAGCGTAGCTAAAAAAATAACAATTTATTATGCTACAAAAATCTAACAACTGGGCGTCCACAATTCCTACAAACATTTACCTCCTTCAGAGCAGCCTGGCAAGATGCCTTTTCTTTATCATCTTTGCAGCGAGCAAGTGCCCTCTCAACAAACCCACGAAGCGATTTCGGGAAGTTTCTAGGCTACAAGCAACAAGATTATTTATTAAGAGAAAAAAAACAATTACTCAACACACCAATTCACAGTGGCCAACACTTATATCTACTCCACTTGCTAGGTAATATAAAATTGAAAAAAAGGAATCTTACCTCAGGCATAGCAGTGGTATGGTCTTTCGACTTTGGCATTGAAACACTAACATATGCAGGTGTGTGGGCTGCACCGCCCATTGAACTATCTTTATCCATTTTGGTAAAACCTGATGGCAAGTTTGAAGCAATTCTAGGGTTAGTTGGAATCTGTACTTTGCTTACCCTTTGTGTATCTACTGACGGTGTTATCTGAGTAGGCTGGCGATAGCCTAATGGTGCCTGATGAAAGGAAGACTGGGAGTTCAGTTCTTGAGGATATGTAGCTCTCTGATGACCCTGAAAAGGGGTCTCATATAAGGGTTTCATCTCCAGAGGACTCTGGTATTGATTTTGAGGAGGAACAGGATGATGAGTTTGCAGACTTGGTGATTGATGCATCCAGTAGGTATCATTAGAGTTACTAGCAGCTGCACCAGGCTGAGAGGATGATAAAAGAAAGCAGTAAGAGATTATGTCTAAACTGTTTGCACAAAAATTCAAGAATTTATTCTATACAGTATTGTTAGGTAGCTACGGGCATCATTATTGGAAGGCTCTTTAACAAATCTTAAGTTAAGATTTCTTAAGAAAGAGCTCTTAGCCTTCCAATAATGATGGTCTAACAGGTCAGTTATTATCACTCTTTTACCAACTTAGTTGATTAAAGAGAGAACACACATTTTACCAATAAGTTGTAAGCAGAAAAGCATTATAAACTCAAATAAGCTTAAGGACGAAAATTTTGTCTACTCCTCATGAAAGTAAAATCTGAACCTGCTGAGAAGGTGGTTGGGATGAGTCAGCTTCCTGCCTCCAATGTTGGACATAAGACGGAGCAGGCTGACTATTTGAAGCAGGAATTTCATTGGTAACACCTGGAACTGGAAAGGTCTGACTATATGAACTTGTAGCAGACAACTTTTCTGTTCCCGGGGCACAGGGTACTTCTGTTTGGCTGTAATATTCTGACCATTGTTGGTAGTTCTGTTGATGATGTACAGGTGTTGTGGTTGCAATAGTAGAGCTATGAGTGTTAGCAGCGTCAGGAGTATAATTTTGATAAGGGTTTGAGGTGTAGTTTCCCTGATTCGAAGCAGGAGCCTGATTGCTGTAATTTGACGCAGGAGTCTGATTGCTGTAATTTGACACAGGAGTCTGATTGCTGTAATTTGAACCAGGAGTCTGATTGCTATAATTTGACGCAGGAGCCTGATTGCTGTAATTTGAAGCAGGAGTCTGATTGCTGTAATTTGAAGCAGGAGTCTGATTGCTGTAATTTGACGCAAGAGTCTGACTGCTGTAATTAGTACTTGGGTAACTTCCGGCCGTTTGGTTGTTATAGTTTGTACTTTGGTAACCTCCAGCAGTCTGATAATCAGCAGGATTGTAGTAAGTTCCTGAATAACTTGCAGTCCCAGCATAAGATCCTGGATTCTGAAATGAGGAAAGAGGCTGAGGAGCACCTGTGTTTTGATACGCCCCTACGGGCTGAGGATATGACTGGCTAGGTTGCTGTTGATAGCCACTGTAGTAATTGGAATATCCCGTGTTTGCATAGTTGTGTGGGTCAGAAGAGGTCTGGTATGGCGTATATCCACTATAATCTTGTGCCACACTTGCAGTTCCAGACGTCGATGAGCTAGTGAAAGACGCAGTATTCGGTATTTCTTGCACATTGCCTGTGGCAGGCCCCGTTGGCTGTGGATGGTAATAGTTTGAATTTGAATAGTTTCCATTATCTACAGCCTGATGTTCAACAGAATGTGCTGTCCATGGGGCACTGTCAGACCCAGTTGAGTACTGATACGAATATTTATGCGCTTGGTTTCCATCAACACCATATCGATTCTGTATCAAAGACAAAGTATTAGTAGAGGAAAATGGTTTGGAAATCTTCATTTTTATTACATAAATAAATAACTAAAAAAGTGGAAAAGAATTAAAGACAAACAGAAAATGTCATCTCAGATCAAGGCTACATGTAAAACTTAGACGCTCAAAACGTTCAAGTATTCAACAATCTCAAGTCAATAAGAAAGAACCTCAAACATTATATCTTCAAACGCTCATGCATTAAGTGATCAACAGCTAAGTGTTGTAACCAAACCTAAGATTTAATAGACTTTTTTTTAGCAAAAGTACTTTACAGTTTACATCTTTGAGATTTTTTTGGAGAAGGTAAATTACTAGAGAAAACCATAAGGCACTACGGCACTGATGAAAAGACTATTCTCAAGGAGGGGAATGATTTTTCTGAAGTTCACACACCGAGTCTATAATCAAATCACATTTTGTCTGCTGCATAAACACACTGATATGCAAAGTTCCTCTAAAAGTTACAAAGGCGAACTAACAAACAAAACTTGCTATAGAGCTCAACATATCTACCCGCATGTCCCTAAAGAAAACAAGATCAATTGGCTCAACAGAACCAAATAACCTGGACCAAACTAAAACCACCAAAATTCAATTCACGCAACAACAAAAACGCAAAAGTTGACCCCAATGCACAAATTCTCACTTGCATAAAAAAGACCGACTCTGCAGACATGAATAACCTTAGCTTAAATGAAAGAGAAGACGCAAAAGATTGTTAATACCTCAATGGAACTAGGATCCATCGGTGCTACAGCCTGAGTGTTCCCTCCTTGATTCATGCTATAACATCAACCTCCTGCAAAAGCATCACACATACGATTGAGCTCACTTTTCGAATAAACATAGCAGAAGAAGGAAAAGCCCTAAATAGAAAAACAGAGACATAGCAGCAAGAATTTGTACCAGTAACGATCCAATTTGTGTATTGTTCTCGTTCGTATAGAGAGAGCCCGATGAAGAATCGAATTGAAGATAGTATAGTAGAGCAGGATTTGAGATCAATAAAACCAAAAACAAGGTAACAAAAAGGAAACGAATAGAACAGAACCAAAAAAAACAAAAAAGGCAGATAAAAATATATATAAATCTAAAGGAAACAACAAATAGAGTTGTCAAATCTATCGGAAATTACAGAACACGGAGAATAATCTGGCCGAAGAGGAAGAAACAATTTGTTGTTGTGCCGGGGACGACGATTGTCTAAACAAAAAAAATCACGGTATACTTGCGTCTTCGGGTCGGGTTGAACCAAGTCGGATCTTTCCGAGTCGGTTTTATGTAAAGCCTTTTTTAATTTGGCCCATTTATCTTTCGGACTTGCCTTTTCTTAGCGAATCCGTTAATTAAGAGTGTTTTCGAGGAACGGAGTCACAACTCACATCACTCTATAATTTAAAAACCCTTTCTGTTAATTTCCTTTTTTTCTTCTTCTTATATATATAGTATAAAAGACCATAAACCGTCGGAGACAAGAATTTCCAATAACCCTAAATCTAGCCCTAACTAATCTTGCCTGAGAGAGGAGGGAGACTCTGCATCGATCAATTGCCTAACACTATGACTAAGTCGCTGTGTTTGGATAATCTTAATGATCGCCAAAGACTTCAGGACAGGTACCGATCCATCGTTACTGTAAATTTGCACAATTGTTTTGCCCGATGCGACAGTCTCGACTATATATGTTTTCTTCTTGTTGATTTTTCAGTTTGGAGTGGGAAGGTTACACCGAGATTAAGATGAAAAGTGACGGAAACTGCCAGGTAATGTTTATACTCATCAACTCATCATCAACTTGTGTGATTCTTGATCGTATCCTGAATAATCTTCCTTCTTTTTTTGTTTTACAGTTCCGTGCCTTAGCTGATCAAATCTATAAAACCTCAGATTTTCACAAACGTGTTAGACAAGAAATCATAAAACAGGTAAATCAATCAATCTTGAATTTTATTTGCGGATTGTTCTTGACGTGTATAACAAGACAAGGTCATCTATTTGAGCTATCTTGCAGGCATCCATTACAACTCCGTCTACAAAAACGAAGGTTAATTAATTAACTACCATAGCATACAACAACTTATCCTCTTCATGATAATATATATTGTTATCATTCTTATTCTTCTTTCTTGTTGGCTGGTTCAGATTCAAGTGTAAGTTCAAAAACTGTCTCGACGAAGCTACGTAGGAAAAAGGAGAAGGAAGAGAAGATAAAGGAGGAGGAGGAGGAGGAGAAGAAGAAGGAGGAGAAAAAAAGGGAGAAGGATGAGAAGAAAAAGGACAAGGAGGAGAAGAAGAAGGCTAAGGTGAAGAAGGAGAAGAAGGAGAAGAAGAACAAGAATTACAATCTTCACCTTTCTGATATCATGCCAACACTTGAACAAGAAGATGATTCATATTTTCTAAATTAAGAATATATGCACGCAGGGATTATTCTGATTTGAGCGTCAGAGACATTTCAAAACACAACATGAATGTAAAAGAGAGTCATTGAAGACACAAAATCAGTGTTGTGGTACATTGTTTTAGTTGTGGTATTCCTTCTTTCTAATGTACATGCCTCTTTTATCATTAACTTTTTCCATCGTCCCCTTTTTGCTGTTCTGTTTTACTATCTTTACTCTGTTTAGAACATAAATCGTGTTTACTTCTGTTCCAAATGAGAGAGTATTGCATGGTTCAGCTACATTTGTTATCTGTTCATCTCTGTTCCCTCACAAAAATCTGGTTAATAGTTTTAGTGGGTTTGGTTCCAAATTTATTCTAGTTAATATATTGAATTTGGTATCTGCTCTTTTGATGCGTTATATTGTTTTATTCATTCGTTGTGCTTTAATAATTTTATCCACATTTGACAAGTTGTGTACTATTATTATTGGTCTCTTATTATTTATCGCATTTGTGACGGAGGCCCTCGTGAACCACGAGTTGATTATAAAAATGTTCAATAATTGAAAAATAAATAAAAACCCCGGTGTTCTAAAGATTGTCAATAAATATACACACTCCAACACAAGGCAAAAAAGATGCATCTCTTCGATCAACCAGAGTTCAAGAATTTATTGGTATCTCTCTCTTCTCTAATTTTTTTTTTTTTGAATTTGTTATATTGTATCATAGCCAAGATTATCCCTTATACCATATGTTTTGTGAAGTACAGTAGTAGCTACTAGCCAGGAGCCTAGGAGTCATTCCCAAAATATTTTTAAGAAGTGTTTGATTTAAATAGATCGTATCACAAAATCTTTAAGAGAAGGGAAAAAATGTGAGCAATAACTGATCTTGATTAGCTAAACAGCTTTCTATTACACCAAATCACCAATAATAGAGCTATCAAATCACACGGTAAAAAATATTTACCCGTCATCAGTTGATTGTTTTATTAATTTGTGTTTCTTGGACCGTTAATTTTGAACTTTTGATGTTCTTGCTATGTACGTCTATGAATAGGCTACAATGTTGTCATGATATTTGTGTATTATTAACCACATACCAGCTTATAGAACAATATAAAGCTTAAATGTACATGAATACTTTATCGCGATAATATATAGAAGAAGTAAATCTCATTTCCAATATATATATGAAGATTCGAAATGGCGAGGATGTACCGGAAGTTGGCACTATGCGGTGGTGAAGGAGGACAGGAATGGGACGACGAGGTATATGAAGGTGTAAGAAAAGTGTATGTAGGGCAAGATCTCAACCGTATCACTTACGTCAAATTTGAGTACGTGAAGGAAGACGGCCAAGTAGTAACACGTGAATATGGGACACCAGATCAACACCCTAAAGAGGTGATCACCACTGTACTTCTTCTTATTTTGTTTGGAATACTATATAATTACTATAGTACGAATGGCTCTTGTGAATTCGGATAATAAAGTTGGGATATATATGAAACCTTCACTTAAGTCGTAAAAACAAGGAGAACAAGAATACTTTTGAGACGGATACGTACGTATCCTTTAGTCTTTCTAAGACTTTTTATTAGTACTTCTGGGAACAAATAATATACAAACTCTAAAGACACCTTTATCATAAAAGCAAACCCTAATAATATTATCATGTTTACAGTTTGCACTTCAATATCCGGACGAACACATCACCACGGTGGAGGGAAGCTACCATCCTGTGGCTCTGCTTGCCACAGAAATGATCACGTCCCTCGTATTTAAGACCTCAAAGGGTAGAAGCTCTCCAACGTTTGGTCCAAACTTGTTTGGAATTACGAACGGTAAAAAGTTTGTTTTTGAAGATGAGGGAAAGAAGATCGTAGGGTTCCATGGAAGAGCCGGTGATGCTCTCGACGCTCTTGGAGTTTACTTTGTATTGGATACAGCGCCAGTCCCTTTATACAAGCTGGATGCCCAAGGTGGTACAGACGGGCGTGTTTGGGATGATGGTTTTTACGACGGCATTAAAACGCTGCGTATTTGTCAAGATAATTCTCGTATCACTTATTTAGAGTTCGAGTACGAGAAAGGCGGGGAAGCAAAGACATGTCACCACGGAGTGAAAGGAAAAACACCAACCGAGGTATTTTTACTAGTTCATATATAGAATTAGCAAAAATAAAATATTATATGTCGTGTTAACTCTATTTATATGTGACATAATATGACAACATGAATTTAGGTTCCAAATATAATTAATTATTTTGTTGTGTATTCTTTGAAATGGTATGAAGTTTCTCTTTTCACACTCCGATTCCATTCTTGTAGCATGCATCTGGATTTCTTACAACAGTAAATATATCTTCTTGAATTTTGCCTCTTGTTACAGTTTGTGCTTGCTTACCCGGACGAATACATCAAATCGGTGGAAGCAACCTATCAGAAACCGAACATTTTCAGCAATACCGCCATCACGTCACTCAAGTTCGAAACATCAAAAGGGAGGACATCATTCTTTGGGTATAATGTGGGTAAGAAGTTTGTGTTGGAGCAAAAGGGTCATAGGCTTGTTGGGTTCCATGGAAAGGAAGATGCAGCTATTGATGCTCTTGGAGCATATTTTGCACCTGTTCCCACTCTGACTCCATTGATTCCAACCAAGAAACTACCAGCAGTAGGCGGCAACGAAGGAGTTACATGGGATGATGGTGTCTATGACGGTGTAAGGAAGATACTTGTAGGACAAGGTAACGATGGTGTATCCTTTGTCAAGTTTGAGTATAGTAAGGGCAAAAACGTTGTACTCGGAGATGACCATGGGAAGATGACATTACTTGGAGCTGAAGAGGTTATATATACTTTTTAGAAACAAACAAGATTTATTGTTTCGATACATTCTCTAAACTACTTACACTTACCCTTTGTTAGTTTTTAATAAATATTTGCAGTTTGTGCTTGAAGATGGTGAATATATCATGGCTATAGATGGCTACTACGATAAGATCTACGGAGTCGAGGCACCAATAATTGTCTGTCTTCAGTTTAAGACAAACAAAAGGGAGTCAATGCCGTTCGGAATGGATTCTGGTGAGAAGTTCTCGCTCGGAGAAGAAGGCCACAAGATCGTTGGATTCCATGGACAAGCTAGCGATGTTGTTCACAGCATCGGAGTCACTATCGTGCCCATCACCACCACCACTACCAAGTGATAAACCTTATCTACCATATTATTTAAACCAGTCCAGTCATATTATATTTGTACCAAATGAAACTTCCAATAAGATTGGTGTGTGTTTTCTTCTTTTAATGTGTGTTTTAAGTTAAAGTAACTTTCTGTGTGTGTACTAAAAATAATATCAATAAGATTGGCGTGTGTGTTCCTTGATATTTTAGTGGCAGAAAAGTTCATGAATGTATAAGAGACAAATGTCATGAAAAAATAATTATATCCTTCTTTACAATTATGTGTCAATAATTCTAAATTTCTAATACTTCAATGACATAATTATCCAATATTGTAAGTTCTTATCTTTAAAATATTTGGTAAAATAATTATATCTTTCTTGACAATTGGAATAGTATTTCATTTAACTTTCTTACATTGATTATCTGGTTGTCTCATATCTCCAATCAATTTTTTTCCCCAAAGTAGTCTGGTTCAAAAAATCTACATGCCTATTAATTTCAGTAAATACTCTGTTCAATTTTTAGTTATTTTGTTAGTTAGCATAATTAGAAGAAAAAAATACTCTCATTATTAATACAAATTTCTAAAAGTTTCTTAGTCCACATTATTATTAACAAATTACCCTTTTTTACTATTAATTGACTTATTTTTTTTAATCTAAGAAAAGGCAAAAAAACAATATTGAGTAATGCTTATTCACCAAACACAGCTAAAAAACAATTAGGCCCACAATTAAAACAAATAAAAAAGGCCCGCTCCTGCCAAAAGATTTAAAAAGTGAACGCTGAGTTACGAAATTACCCTTTATATCCATTCTAATTTACGGACAAAACCTCGTCTCTTTTGTCCTTTCGACTTTCTCTCCTTCTCTGTTAATACTCTGCCGCCGCCGTGACGCGTCTTCCTTGTAATAAAGTCTCTCCGTTAACGTTTAACAAACACGCCGTCAAAAACTCTGCTTTCTATTTGATTTCGGTTTCGGTTTTTGATCATTGAGTTTCCCTCCACATCTCCTCGATTCCCGATTTTGAAGTTGCTCTCTCTGTGACTCTGTTTATGGTAAACTTCATAACTCTCTTTTGAAATTCCGAAAAACATGGTTACTGCTTCAGTTCTGTGTTTCGATTTTTCTTCTTCGCCACTGGAGCTCAGGTTCGATGTTGGGCTTTGTCGACATCAACGAAAAGTTTTCAATCCTGTTTCGTTTTCGAGGTTTTTTTTAGTGGGAAGAATTAAAGGGTAGTTTGGTCTTTTTTACTTAAAGACTTACGACTCACTTCGATGATTACGGATCTGTCAGAAAAGCTCTGACATTTTCATATTTGATAGAGAAATTTGTGGCGATCTTGATCTTGTTCGTTTTCTATTTTTAAACCATATCTGGTATTGTCAAAGCTAAAAAATAGAGAAGATGACTTTGAATTATTCTCGTCGAGTGAAGTGTTTAAGTAAGACTCAACTTTAGAACACTCTCTGCTCTGTTTTGCTGGAAAATGTTAAAACTTTGTGTTTGTTTATGTTTTCAATTTCATGATTACTGTCTCTAATCAATGTCCCTTTCTATGAGCTGTTTTGCCTTTTTTTTTTCTGAACAAAGGAGGAACCTTTTTCTTACTCTTTATCTATCAATTTTGATTCCAGCTGCGGTATTGTAGTGAGGAACCTTTTCCAGCTTGTTACCAATGAAGAAGCTTTTCTTTTTCAAATCATCATCTAGTAGTAATGGAACTGATCATAAACAGCCTCATAAGCAAAAAGATGATCAGTTTCAACAAAATTTGAATAGTCCGAAGGGTTATAACAAGTCTCAGAGTGGAGAATCTGGTGATGCGGCTGCTTTTAGACGAAGCCGTTCATTTTCCTCTGCAGCTTTTCTCATTGATGGAACTTCTTCAAATGATGCTACTAGAAGCAGCCAACATCGTTTGCGAAATCATTCCTCACGGTAATTTAGATTCTTCTTGTTGTTGTTATATTGAATTGAAAAAATAATGAATCAAGTTGTTGATTTGTATGTCTCATCAGATGTTTTACTCCAGACAGACAATGTAAAGAATCTGCAAGTTTGTCAACTTGTTCTAGTAATGTCCTGGACCGTTACATTGATGGAGAAGAGCATTTAGAACGGAGTAAGCAAAAGAGTGGTTCACCACATAGTAGTCTCTCTGGAAGTAGAAGGGGGCTTCCACCACGAGCTCAACAATCCCCTTCACCATTATCAGATAGTGGCGGCAAAGACAAACGGAAATCTAAAGGTTTGAGGGATGCATCGGCTCGTTCACTTGCAAGAAGCGTTATTGAGAGACTATCTCATAATACTCAGGGCAAGTCCAAGGCGTTAAGTTATGAGCCCATCAGAATACAAGATGTATGTGGTGGTTACAATGGTAAAACTCTTGTCTCAAACTCGGATGTTTTGGCTGATCTTGTTGTTCCACTGACTGAACATTATGAACGGGTGAGCGAATATTACGCGGATGACCAAGCAGAACAGCAGCACCAACAGTTTTTATTACATGGTAAGGACATGTTTATGGGAACTAATGGTGTATGTAAGGAAGGTGATGTTTGTTCAGAGCTAGAAAGGAGATATAAAGAAGCTGAGAAGAGAGTGAAGTTGCTTTCTCAAGAACTGGAGGAGAAGAAGTTTCTTTCAGGCTGTGATTTCGATGTTTCATCTTTGGTTGGGGATATTAGACAAATGGAAGAAGAGAGGGTAGGCTTGGCTTTTGAGGTTTTAAGTCTTTTGCGGTCACAAATGGATGAGAGGGCTTCTACTAGGGAAGAGATCAGACGGGCAAAGACAGATCGGGACTTGCATGTAAAGAGGCTAGAAAAAGAGAAGAGTGAGTTACAGGTTGAGTTGGAGAAAGAGTTTGATAGAAGGTCAGGTGAGTTTACTTCAAAGCTTGAGAGTTTCAAACTGGAGGAGAAGAGGCTAAGGGAGCGTGTCAGAGAGCTTGCCGAGCATAATGTCTCACTCCAGAGAGAAATATCTACTTTTCATGAGAAGGAAACTGAGCGCATCGATATGATAAGACATTTGGATGAAACAGTCACGGAGTTGAGTGGAACAGCAGGGGAATTTCGTGAAGAAAACTTGTATCTTATGCAAAACCTCACCAAATTACAAGAGAGTTACACTGGTAGTACCGATGATCTTGATTGCATAAGAAGAAACTTTGAGGAGAAAGATATGGAATGCAAGGAGCTACACAAATCTGTGACAAAGCTCCTAAGAACCTGCAAAGAACAAGAGAAGACTATTGAGGGACTTAAAGAAAGCCTCTCTGAGGAAATTAAGAAGCAACCGTCAGAGCATGTGGACAAGAAGCTTCAGATGGAGCAAATAAGGTTGGTAGGAGTTGAATTGGCACTTAGAAAAGAGGTAGAATCAATGAAGCTCGAAGCTGAATCTCTTGTTCGTGAGAATAACTGTCTGCTGAATCATGTCAAAAGAAATGGAGAAGAAGCTGACGTTACGACCTTCAAGCTAGATAATGAGATGAAGATGCGAGTATGCCAGTTGCAAGACCAAGGGCTGTCAATGCTAAATGAGAGCACTCAGCTGTGTTACAAGTTATTGAAGATCATCAAAGAGAAATTAACCCAGTTCCCTGAGTCCTATCAATCAGTGAATAATGGATTGAGTGAGCAGTTTCTGATTGAATCTGAGATGAGAGTTCATGGAATAAGGCGTGGAACTGAAAGCTTGAAGAGGAGTTTGCAGACAGTATCAAGTTTGTTGCTTGAGAAATCCAATGATAATTCTGAATCATCTTGCTCAACTTCTGCTAGGCCTAGTGAGCCAAACAACCAATCGGTGGAGGTGAGTTTTCCAATACCTATTCATATTTTATCCTTCAATGGGTGCTAATATCATTTAGAACATAGGCTTACATGGTTGTCTCTGTGCTAAATGATTCGCCTTTTTTTAATCTGATTTAGAAATCCCTGAGAGCTGAACTAAGAGCAGAAACTCTAGTCACGAGTTTATTAAGAGAGAAACTGTATTCCAAGGAAGAAGAAATCGAACAGCTGCAAGCAGAAGTAGCAGCAGGAGTACGAGGTAACGAAGTTCTACAATGTGAAATCCAAAACACTTTAGACAACCTTTCGGTAAACAACCATCAACTAAAAGACCTCAAGCTGCAGGTATTTCTCTGTTTTTTTTGTACTTATTGTTTGCTCATAAGGAAATAAAAGCTCCTTGAGTGTGTTCTGAATCTGATGATGGTTTGATTAAAACATCAGATGGAGAAGAAGGACGAGATCATAAACAGGCTTGAAATAAATCTCCAAGAAGCTGTAAAGGACTTGGCTACATTACCAAAAGTGTTGGAGGAAAGGGAAGAGATGTGGAAGGAAGTGAAGGAATGCAGGAAGAGAAACATGGATTTGGAGTCAGACAAGGAGATGTTGAAGAACAAGGTAGAGAAACTGGAAGAGGACACACTCTTTAAAGAAGGTCAGATCACAATACTAAAAGACACGCTTGGAAGCAGGCATTTCGATCTTCTTCTCTCCAGTCCTGAGTTCTCATATAATGATTTCTTAGTACAATAAGACAACACAATAAGTAAATGTATATATAAGGCGTCTGTTTCTCGTATTCTTGTTTCTATCTTTCTATCTCGTATTCTTTTTGTAAAGAGATATGAGAAACTTCATGGTCAACATCTTCTTATCCACTACAACATGTATTGGAATATTAGAGTTATATATGAACACTTGTTAATCACCTAAAAAACTCTAAAAAGCTTATAAAACAAAGATCAAATTTGCCAAGCACAATACACACATTATTAGGCTTTAACCTTGACGAGATTACACATTTCATATTGTGTTGGGAAAGAGCACAGCTAAGTCATCTACATATTCTACTAGTACTTCTTTCTACATGCTGTCAAGCATTTCTCATGAGATTACTGCTCCTGTACAGGCCATGACTGAGAGACCCTTTCCATCAATGCATGTGTATCCATCCAAATGCAGGTCAACGCAAAACAAAACCAGTAGACTACTTCATTAGTACTTTCCATATCTTCCTCATATAAACGACCAAAGACCAAACCGATAGTCCTGCCGATACATAAAGCAAACCAGCACCCGAGGCGACGAGCCATCCAATATTGCTATCCCGGCTTGCAAGAAGTATGGTTAGTGCTGTCATCTGTGTGGCGGTTTTCCACTTGCCCAAGTTATTTACAGCAACCGCCTGCAAGCATCAATCAATACCATTTCATGAGGAGTCAGTAAGAACAAAAAAAAAGAAGAAAAGAAAGCTCTTACGCACTACAAAATCAGAGATGGATGTTAGTGATTGAACTTACCTCTAAAAGCTTTCCATTTTGAGATGCAGCCCATTCTCTTACTGCTGACATAGTAATCTACAAATGTATCATATAGTTAAGGACATGTTTACTTATTCTCCATGTGAATGAAATTAAGGAATTCCGATCAATTTTGCTACAATATCTGACCTCTCTACCAATGATTGCAATAGAAGGCACCGTCAATAACCAAGGAACTGGTCCTAATACAGCAACGTCGATAGGTTTTGTACACAGTAAGATCAATGTAGCTGCGACCATAAGCTGAAAACCCAAGACATCCATAAATAAGAGATATGTGTATCTAGGCTACACAGATATTTTTATTCCACTATAATCTAAAGGGTATTTTAGAAAGACAAGTCTACACACCTTATCTGCAACTGGATCCAAAAAGGCACCAAACGCAGAACCTAACTTCATCTGAAAAGTACACGATCTGACCATTTAGATTGCACTGTGAAATGCAGGAACACATACGAGATTGGTATAAAGAAAATACCTTGCGGGCAAGATAGCCGTCAAGCCAGTCTGTAATGGCTGCTGCAATGAAAATGCTTGTTGTAGCAGTTGTCCCCCACCAACTATCACAGTAAAACGCTACACCCAACAAAACAAAAGAATGAACAAATATTTCAATCCCAAAACAAAAACGTATCTCTGTATAATGTTGAGCTCAAGAAATGATTCCACAGAAGCAGAAAGGATCATAATTTCTTGTTAGACCATAAGCATTTTGACACATTCAAATCCAAAACAAAATTGCAGGCAACAAATTAACGTACTTGCGACGAGAAGCGGAACGGCGGCGACACGACCAAGTGTTAATACGGTAGGCAATGTAAGAACTTTAGAAGATGATTGCTGCGGAGAATTGTCGTCACCATCATCAAGCTGCCCTTGACCACTGGCACTGAAACTGTTTCGGGAAGAGGAAGTTGGTCTGCCTTGCTCCGACGAAGAGGATGAAGAAAAGCAGAAAAGGCGATGGTGGCTACATCTATGAATCGGAAACCTCAGAGCTGTACGGGAAGCGATAATGCAGCGGCGTGAGTAGGAACGGCTAAGATGCGCCGGAAAACAAAAGGTTGGGTTTGGACGTAATGTGCGGCGCAAATTGACATCGACGATTAACGAAGCGAGACCTGATCTGAGCATGGGCGAGCTTCTAACTGGATCGGTCTCTTCAGAGATTTTGAATTGAAACAAGCAAACAAATCAATCGAATAAGAAGATCAAGTTATCAGCGAGATTAGCCGAAAAAGATGGAGAGAGAGGTCCGACTGATGGAATTCGAAGAAATTGGGAAGACGGTGTGACGTGGACTCAAAAGGGTAAAAATGACTTTTAATCAAACACCAAACAAGTGGGCTTTTAGTTGAATTAGGCCCATATTTAATTAACTTATGTCCGATGTATAAATGTCCAGTAAATGTATATTTGCAAAGGAGGCCAAAGGTTTCGGGGAATTGATGATAAGTAAAGTAAACAATTAAAGCATGTAATAACGTCCTCTACGACAATCTCGGACCTTTTCTTCGTCTGTCTCTCTCTACACTGTAACTTCATCCATTTTTTTCCAACTTCAGTCGCGTGTAATGATGATCAATTAGTGTTGCTTGTTCCATCGGATCTTCTTCTTCGCTCAGCCACCTTTTTCAACTCCTCACCGACTTCACTCTGAGAGAGATCTCGCTCTCCGACTAAGGATTAAGGAATAATGATCGCTGACGCCGTTTCCAATCCCGTTAATAATCTATTCTCATCCGACCACAAAAGGTATCGCCTTTAGAGCTTCTCCGTTGCTACATTGCCTAGCTCTTTGTGTTTCTGTTTCTAATTTACCACATTTTGAGGGATCTTTTTGAAATTCAGTTAGTCTCTGCTCTAGATTTGCTGAGCAAAATGGTGTCTTTCTGATCACTAGTTGAGCATCTGATGATGATTATCTTGATTTTATCTTTATCTTAGTTACTGGAACTTAGTTTTCCTTTGAAACGGTGATTTTTGCTGTTATCTGCTGTAATCCTTAGTAATTCTAAGTACTGATGAAGTCAATGTGGTTGGTTTTTTATAAACAGGGATGCATATGGATTTTCTGTGAGGCCTCAGCATGTGCAACAATACCGAGAACATGTTAATATCTACAAGGTTCCACTTCTATCTCCAAAACTGATTTAGTGCATATTCACACCACTAGACAAAAGGCTTGGTTTGTCTTAAATTTAGTGGTCAAATTGCAATCTATGTTAAACTATTCAAAAATGGACTAAACTTAGAAATTTTCATTTAGTGGTACTGATCAATTGCTTGAAATATGCAGTCGCTGCCATTCATTTACTTGATGTTTTAACCTTAAATGTGCTCCTTGTTGTTAAAATGCAGGAGGAAGAAGAGGAGAGGTCGGCCAGGTGGAACAAATTCCTGAAAGATCATGCAGAATCTGGCATGTCACCTGTGAATGGATCTTCTGAAAATTATCATGTACATCCAAGTGAGAGCGACAAGAAAAAACAAGAGGAACTAAACAAGAGAACCCAAGGAAAAGATTTGTATACTGAAAAGCCAGGTTCTGATTTAACTCCTGGAAATAAGAGAGAGGGAAATGAAGTTCTCAATGGAGAGAAGAATGGGCACAAAGTTCAGTTATGGACCGAGATCAGACCATCTCTTCAAGCAATTGAGGAATTGATGAGTGTCCGTATCAAGATGAAGGAAGAGTCCTCAAACGGCTACCAAGAACTTCAGAAATTAAATTCTTTACCTTCAACTGATGCGACCAAATTTTCGGAGGGAGTAACTGAGAATGATTCTGAAGACGAGTTCTATGATGTGGAGAGATCAGATCTAATTCAGGATGGTTCTTCAGATGGTACAAGTGTCTCCAGCATGTCTGCTAATGTTGATGCAACCTCCCTAGTATCTGCATGCCCCTGGAAAGAAGAACTTGAAGTCCTTGTTCGTGGCGGTGCACCTATGGCTCTGAGGGGTGAGGTAATAAACCTTTGTCATTCTGGATTATTTCCTTCTCTTTTCTATTTTGTTTATCATTCTCCAAGTATTAATATTTAGTTCTTATTATACTCAATAATTGAAAGTATATATACTAATATTCAGCTCTGGCAAGCATTTGTGGGAGTTAAGAAACGTCGGGTCAAGAATTATTACCAAAATCTACTAGCTGCTGATAGTCTAGGAAACGACATAGAGCAGGAGCACATGCAGCATGCAGATGAGAAAGGTTCAAGTACAGACCCCCTCGCTGCTGTGGAAAAATGGAAAGGACAGATAGAAAAGGTTAGCAGCTATTTTATCCTCCAATACTTGGTATCAATCATTTTCTAACTAGTGATGCAGTGCTGGAATCCTGTTGATCCTGGTCATTTTCCTCAAGTTGTTGCTTATTTCGAGTACAGGATTTACCCCGGACATTTCCAGGTCATCCTGCCCTAGATGATGATTTCAGAAATGCTCTGCGGCGGTTGCTAACTGCCTATGCTAGACATAATCCCTCTGTTGGATACTGCCAGGTATTCGGTTATTAAATACTGTCACTCCTGTAATCTAGTATGGTGACATGCTCACAAAAAAAAGAACATCTCAGTTATTTGTTATCTTGTATCAATCAATTATGTGCAGGCCATGAATTTCTTCGCTGCACTTTTATTACTTCTGATGCCCGAAGAGAATGCCTTTTGGTATGTATGGAAACTGCTCAATAACTCTTAATATTGTTTCTCAATGAACCCATCTCTTTGGATCTGTGTGAAATTCGTGTACCTATGAGTTCATTTTCTCTTGGTTGAATATTAGCTCACTCCCTCAAATCTTCTTTTGTAACAAATGTGTAATATTTTTTCGGACTTTTGAAGGTCGCTAATAGGCATCATTGATGACTACTTCAATAATTATTATTCAGAAGAGATGATCGAGTCCCAGGTAATTATTAGTTTTTGTTCTTTTGTTTTTTTGTACTGCATTTCTATATTTTGGGACCAGCTAGTGATAGCATTCAAAAGTTATACTCTTCCCTCCACAGATAAATCATTTTTTTAATTATTCTTTTATATGGAATCTTATACCAGGTCGACCAACGAGTCCTGGAGGAGTTAATTGGAGAGAGATTCCCTAAATTGGGTTAGTATTTTAATTGTCCTGTTTCATCTTACCAAGAGCTGCAGTTGGTGCTAATGTTTTGTGTGATTTCTGTATTTCTGCAGTTCAGCATCTAGATTTTCTTGGAGTGCAGGTGGCTTGTGTTACAGGGCCATGGTTTCTTTCCATCTTCATTAATATGCTTCCATGGGAAAGTGGTCAGGTTTTAAAAATTGGAAGTTTAAATTTTATTTTTGTAGGCAAATTTTTGAAATTCTCTTGCGTTTCTCTTTGCTGCTGTAAAAAAGATGCCAATCTTTAAATATTCTGAATGTCAGTCTAATATATATTATTTGGTATAACAGTTCTCAGAGTGTGGGATGTGCTTCTATTTGAAGGAAATCGTGTTATGCTTTTCAGAACAGCTCTTGCATTGATGGAGTTTTATGGTACTCGGTCGAACCTTAGTGTCTGTATAATTTAAGTGATAAGTTTTGTGGACTCTCTGAACATACAGTAACAATCAATGGAATTGCTCTTAATTTCTTATATTTGCCATAACAGGTCCTGCATTGGTTACAACCAAGGACACTGGAGATGCTGTTACTTTGTTACAATCAATGACTGGTTCCACATTTGATAGCAGCCAGCTCGTTTTCACTGCTTCCATGGGTTACCAAAATGTAAATGAAAGTAGATTGCAGGAATTAAGAAGTAAACACAGACCAACTGTGATAGCTGCATACGAGGAAAGATTAAAGGATCTTCAAGCTTGGAGGGATTCGAAAGACCAGGCATCCAAATTGCGTAGTTCTAAGCAAGACCCAAAATCTGTTTTAGTGGATTCTAGCAAAGCCTCGTTGTCAAATGGGAGTTTATCTCGTTCCGAATCAGGATCCAGTTATGCAGACGAAGTCTTTATTAGCCTAACTGGGAATGGGGACATAGATTGTTTTCAAGATCTTCAACAACAGGTAATTTGTGTCACCCTTTCTGATGAGGTAGCACCAGTAATTGCAGTGAAAACTTAGAATAAGAACACTTGCCCACAAAAATTGCAGGTTCTTTGGTTGAAGGGTGAACTTCACAAGTTGCTTGACGAAAAAAGATCAACTGTACTAAGGTTAATCTTGTAGCTTTGTATATGGTTTTGGATATTGAAATCACTTGTAAAATTTTATATATCCCCTCATTTCCCTTGATCGCTACCTATGTTATTATAGAGCTGAAGAGTTGCAGGTAGCTCTCATGGAGATGGTCAAACAAGACAATCGGCGTCAACTGAATGCTAAGGTATTCCTATTTTTGAAACTCATGTTGCCTAATTGAGCATTTGGTGGTACATTCAGTTAATTCTTCTCTTCTGTCATTAATAAGGATGTTGCTTGCTCATTCTATTTTTAATAGTCTGACTTGCTTCATGCCACTGAACGTAAATTGTGGGTAGATTGAGCAATTAGAGCAAGAGGTGACAGAGCTGCGAAGACTTGTTTCTGATAAGAGGGAGCAAGAAGGTGCTATGATACAGGTCTGCACGTGCAACTTGTTTACTTTTCAAAATAATCTGTTCTCTCTTCTATTGCAATTCAATGTATGGTAATTTTAAGACCACTTGAAATTTATGAAGGCCTTGATGCGAATGGAGCAAGAGCATAAAGTAGCAGAAGATTCACGGAGACTTGCTGAGCAGGATGCAGTAGCTCAGAGATGTGCTGCTGAAGTGCTTCAGGTTAGAAAGTTTGCGTTGACTACAAAAATTGATGAAAGTGTGTTGCCTATCTGTTTCAAAGAGTATTAACTGCTAACCTCTACTTTTTGTGTGTGTGGGGTCGAGTGTGATTTATCCACTGGCTTATCTACTTGCTATAGAAATAGTTACGCCTGATGATTCCTTCCTAGAAATTTGGAGCTTGCTGGTTCTTCTTTAGCATGATACCTTGTGACACTACTTTATATGAGGATATTATCTTGTTATAGTTTCGTTGTCTCAGCATGCATATATTCAAGGGGGAAAAAGAAGTTATTCTCAGTATGATAATGCTAATGTTGTAGGAAAAGTATGAGGAAGCTGTTGCTGCACTCGCTGAGATGGAGGAGAGGGCAGTAATGGCAGAATCCATGTTGGAGGCAACTTTGCAGTATCAATCTGGCCAAGTTAAAGCACAACCTACACCACGGTCAGTTTCTCTGGCATATATCATGTAAACGTAATGTAGAATTTTCCATTGCATGCATTATGTCACCATTTGTTTTCTGAAACTTTTCAGGCAACTGAAGCAAGATTTGCCGGTCATGGTCAGTCCCTAGAATCTTATCCAAGTTAGTCTCCCTCTTTCTCTCATACATTGTATATGTCTGCTTCAAGATAAGAGTTTACTATATGTAACCACATTACATGCATAATTGGAGTTTCTTTGGTTTTCTCGATGTGGTCTTAACAACAAATTGTGAATAGATCTTATTACATAGGAATCTGGCATTAACAAGGCCTTTCTGACCTGCCATTGCAGAACACTACACATGAAAAACCTAAAGAGCAAGTTAACGATGAGAAGCCATCAACAGGAAAAAACACAAATTACATAGCAGAAGAAAATGACACGAAGTTCCAAGACACTGCGACACTCTGTTAGGTATATAATTATACATATTGCCAATTAGATTCTCGACATAACTAGTAGATATATTGAATTACGTAATTCCTTTGGTAAGCATAGAAACAATTTGTTGCCAAGTCAACCTCTGTTTGTATGAGAAAGAGTTTTCAACTATCTATAGTGGACCTGGATCCACAAGAAAAATCAACTATATAATATATGTATCAATTAATCATAGTGGGACATGTATCTCCTTTATTGACTATCTTTAGCATATATGCACGAGGAAGATTGCTCGAGCAAAGAATGTAGTACAAGATGTTGATTCAATCATAAAATACAGAGAGAGATAACGAGGGATTAGGCTATTGCAGACTGTTTATCGTTTTCAAGGTTTAACGCTCTGAGGAGCCTTGGCCATGACTCCGGGATTCCACCTGGTAATTCAAATTCCAACAGCTTCCCACGCTTCCTGTAGAATTCCTCCACTGGTTGGGTCTGCAGAAGAGTAAACATTGTTTAAATCTGTCAGAGTATGACTCATGGACGCAGAAAGAAGAAAAACTTACCATTTTGTTGTAAATCCTGAGTCTTTCCTTGACGACTTCTTCGGTGTCATCAGCTCGGCTTATGAGCTTTGATTCACAGCTTGGCGGAGGAAGAAGTGGAGGCATATACATTCTGGGACTATCATCATTATCACCTTTGATATCAATGCACGCAACATTATAGTTTGCACCACACTCGCTGCAAATTCTTCTTCCTAGACATTTGGCAAGTAATGCCTCTTCCCGAAGCTTCAAATTTATCACCAGATCGATATTAGTCACTCCCTCCAGAATTTCCTACAAGACACAGAAAAAATGGAAGAAACAGAGAGGATATCAATGTCAAGGTTTTTCAACCAACCAGGTTTTTTAGTCAATAAAATGCTCACCGCCTGTGTGACGGTTCGTGGAAAACCATCAAGAATGTATCCAGCTTCACCCTTCTCTTTGCCAGCTTCAAGTCGCTTTGATAACAAACTAATGATGAATTCGTCAGGAACCAATTTCCCGTGGTTAACAAGCTCCTTTAGCTACACCAATGCAGCAACAATTGACAAAAATTGTGTGAATATGCTAATCACCTCACAACGATAAGCTTCTTTAACACACATGTGATAAAAACTCTACACACATACAGTTATCTTTTAAACAACTATAATCGATATAAGAGTTCCGTTAAAGGACTTTAGTGCTAAGCTAAAACACATGATCTCTTAACATATAATAAACTCAATAACTAAAACCCCTGTTCTAGTTCCACACAAGAGATATATACAACCTCAAAAATTCGTTATCCGTCCTTGATCCTTGTAATACCAAAAGAATTCTCCTTTCACAGGAAAATAAAAAATCTGATCTTAGCACAGCATGTTGATGACATATGTGGAGACTATCAACAAAAATTCAACATTAACACCCCAAAGACATCAACTGAGGTTTCACTGAGACCAAGTAAGACTGGAAAATATGCAACATAGGGGCCTTTTGTGAGGTATGATCAGAGATAGAGATTGAACACTGTCTCTCAACAGACTCAAACCAAGACTATGCTGCTAGCTTATACAATATCATCGATCATCAAAGTTAAAAACACAGGATCATAGAATCTATTCATCTCTATGACTTGATTCAGAATCCCTGTTCCCCCGTAAACTCTAACCTGAGAGGAGAGGAGACCAGAAGAGGAGAGCTCATCACGAACGAGATCACCAGTGGCAATATGAGGAACGCCGAGTAGAGAAGAGAGACGAGATGCATAGGTTCCTTTACCAACACCGGGACATCCAAGAAACACCCAGTGGAAATTTCTCCCTTTGTATGGAGACGGAGACGAAGACGAAGACGAAGACGAAGACTTCTCGAGCTGTGCCGCAGCCTCCTCGAGATCGATTTTGGGGTCCAGCGAAGGCCCAGACGAAGAAGAAGAAGAGGAAGAAGAAATAGACCTAATGAAGAAAGAAGAAATAGTATTCTTCACCGTCGCCGTCGCCGGCCTAAATAGACGGTGAGAAACGGCCATGAAGAAACAAAGTGAAGAAGAAGAAATGATTGTTGTTGTGTCTGTGTAATTTTTTGGTTCATTAATTAGTAATTCTTTGTTGTTCCGGTTTGGTTTATGTAAGGAAATATTTTTGATTAAATTAATTTCGGTTAACTGCTTAGACCCGCCGGGCAAAACCCGTTAAAATTGGGTCTTTTGACCCGTTTTGCGCTTGTTTCTTCTTTGTTTTGTTAAAAATAAAATCCTCGGCCGGTTTCGTTTCGTTTCTATCATCTCTTTCTCCGGGAACACTCTAAAACCTAAGTCCGATCGAAAAAATAATAGTTATCAGTTGCCTCGAATTATCCCACGGCGTCATCAATCTGAACCCTGATAATGGATCATCCAGAAGATGAAACCCACAGCGAGAAACAAGACGATGAGGTTTGATTTCCAGATTACGGCTGGTCTTTGCTCGATATGAAATCTAAATATGATCTCTCATGCTTACTTGGGAAATTTGGTATCCTTTGTGTTCTGGTTATTTCAGGAAGCTCTTGCTCGCCTTGAAGAGATTAAGAAGTTAGTTGAAGCTAAGATGACACTTCGTCAAAATAACCTCAATCCTGAACGACCTGGTTAGTAATTTGTCTTCTTTTCTGGGGACTTCATGGATTATTTCTTGAATTGTAGTTTCCTGCTTCTTAATATGTGAAATTGAACTAGTTGTTGTTTCCATAATGCTTAGGATGATTCTACTTATGAATCTGTAGTTATGAGTTGTTACTGAGACTGAGTCCTCCATGTTACAGATTCAGCGTATCTTAGGACTCTTGATTCTAGTATCAAGCGGAATACAGCAGTTATCAAGAAGTTAAAGCAGATCAATGAAGAGCAGCGAGAAGGGTTGATGGACGATCTGCGAGGTGTAAACCTTAGCAAGTTTGTTAGTGAAGCTGTTACTGCCATTTGTGAGGCTAAGCTCAAAAGCTCAGATATTCAAGCTGCTGTCCAGGTTTGCCTTGCTCTTTCTCTTTTTCAAACATGATCTCTTTCTACCTTGGTTTTTTTCTTCGTAAGTAGGCTATCTAATGTTAGATGTTATGGATTGGAGTAGATCAGTGACCTTTTTTCATATGTTACTCATGTGACACTCGTGATCAACTTGTCTTGTTGAGATTTTCAGTAGTTGTTATCTTTGTTTAGATAGTTTCTTCAATGCTTTTGACTACTTGGTATGTCACTTCCCCTACCCCAGTTTAGGTTTTTGCTGAATGATATCTTGTTTCAGTTTGTTATCTTGTGCCCTCTGCTCAGAATTTCGTTTCAAAGCTGATATCCATTTATTTTGACAGATTTGCTCGCTACTTCATCAGAGGTATAAAGAATTTTCTCCTAGTCTAACACAAGGGCTCTTGAAAATCTTCTTTCCTGGAAAATCTGCCGAAGATTTAGAAGCGGATAAAAACTCAAAGGCCATGAAGAAACGGAGTACCCTAAAACTTCTTTTGGAGCTCTACTATGTTGGAGTAATAGAAGATAGTAACATCTTTATTAATATTATTAAGGATCTTACCAGTATTGAACAACTGAAAGACAGAGATACGACCCAAACAAATCTGACACTTCTTGCCAGTTTTGCTCGGCAAGGTAGAATTTTTCTGGGGCTTCCTATTTCTGGACAAGACGAAGAGGTAAGTAGGTTTGAAGATCAACTGAATTTTTACCCCATATTTGCGGGTACCTAGCTAAATGTGACTATGGTTTACTCTAGTTTTTCAAGGGTCTCGACGTAACTGCCGATCAGAAAAAGAGTTTCAAGAAAGCTTTCAACACATATTATGACGCTCTTGCAGATCTCCTTCAGTCTGAACACCAGGTTAGATTCCCAATTGTTTGCCCTTGTGTTTATGTGCAGGAAACTTTTATAATTTTTTCTTGCCTGAAAATGAAATATTTCCTCCTTTTCTTTTTTCGTTTTGCTAGTTTTCCGTTTTTCCGCAGTATCTTTCTAATAGTTTCTTTTTTACAGTTACTTCACCAAATGGAGAAGGACAATGCAAAACTGGTAAATGCTAAAGGGGAGCTTAGTGAAGACAGTGCATCTTCGTATGAAAAGCTGAGAAAATCATATGACCATCTCTATCGAAATATCTCATCGTAAGTTGGGTCTAACTGTTGTGGTCTTACTTGCAGAAAAGCTTGGAAATAGATCATAATCATTTAATCGATGAACATATTGATAGCTTTGTAGCTTTCTTCTCGCTGGCCATTAAAATATCTGTAACACAAACTATTATTTAGCTCTCAGTTCTTTCATAATATCTTCCTGAAGTATATATAGCATGTTATTGCTGTCATTATAGTTTATAAAAGTAGTTTCATTGTTTATATCTTGGGCATGCATCAGTTCATTGCCAAACTCTTTTTTTATTGTGACATGTGTTTACCGTATTATGAATTGAAGTTTGGAAGTGATTTTAGATAGATGGTGTTTATCCTTTCCTCCCACATCTCTGAATTGAATGGATATCTGGCACATGAACATCTACAGTTTCAACATTCACAGATTATTTAATATTGGTTATGGAGGCAGTCAGCTGCTTAAGTATTCTCATCTAATTTGATATACCTTGCCTAATTAGTTATGAATTTTTTTATGTCCTGTTTCAGTTTGGCCGAATCACTTGATATGCAGCCTCCTGCTATGCCAGAGGATGGTACAACTAGGCTCACGGCAGGGGACGAAGCCTCACCCTCTGGTGCTGTAAAAGATACATCTGTCCCAGAACCTATATGGGACGATGAAGACACCAAAACATTTTACGAGTGCTTGCCTGATCTGAGGTCAGCTCCTATCTATGTTGCTACCAGACAAAAATATGGGAAAATGTGTAGTTTTCAATTGGCATTCAGAAATATCTTTAATTTTCTTTATAGAGTCTTGACACTAGTTTTGTATTGCGGATACTTTATTATTTTAGTTTTCGATTGCTTATGTCAGATGCACTTTTTCTCTAGGGCATTTGTTCCAGCAGTATTATTGGGAGAAACAGAGTCTAAATCAAGTGAGCAATCTACTAAAGCAAAAGATAAATCATCTGTAAGTGGTTAACGTTCTATGTCGCATTCTGTCCTCTTGCTTTCTTAAGATATTGGAAGAGATTAATTGTTGTTGCTATGTGAAAACGTGCATGGTGTTCCATTTTAATATACTATGGACGCTTGTTCGGTAATCATCACTAACTTGGTCACCTTGGAATGACATGATTTGCTTGTTGACAGATTTCGAGCTGCATATTTGTTCATTGTGAAAAACTAACTTATTGTTTAATAGAAAGCCAACATGTTTGATTTAATGCCTTGTTGTGATTGATCGAAGGAGTCTAGCTCTGAAGTTGTCGAAAGTCAACAAACAACTGAAGACGCAATAACAGAGGGTCCTGCTGATTCTGGTAGTATGGCTGATGGATCAAATACTGAGCAGCCAAAAGAGAAGGAAGAAGTAGATAAGGAAAAGGCTAAAGATGCTAAGAAGGAAAAAGGGAAAGAAAAGGATAGTGAAAAAAAATTAGAAAATGAGAAGGATAAAGGTAAGAGTCTTGATGTTGCAAACTTCGATAGATTGTTACAACGACTTCCTGGTTGCGTAAGCCGTGATCTTATTGACCAGTTAACGGTAAGAGTCCTTGAAATAGTTTTCTATTTGATGTTGTTCTGTTGAACCTTTGTCTCCATTGTTTATATCTATCTTTTTATTTCCAGGTGGAATATTGTTATTTGAATTCCAAGACAAACAGAAAAAAACTTGTCAAAGCGTTATTTAATGTCCCTAGGACATCTCTGGAGCTGCTAGCATACTATTCACGTATGGTTGCAACACTAGCAACATGCATGAAAGATATCCCGTCTATGCTTGTGCAGATGTTGGAGGACGAGTTTAATTCTCTGGTCCATAAAAAGGTTAGCTAGATCTACTGCATTGTCTTCAATAAGAAGTAACTAATTTTACTTTCAATACATTTGATTGTGATTGCACTATTTAAACCTTTGAGCACGAGTGAAGTCAATTCTCTCTGCTGATGTGAATACCTGTGTTCTCAGCTTCACTCCCAAAATTCCCTTATAAACGATGTTCAAATGTGATGATGTCCTGTCTGATGTAGTTGCAAATTTAATTTTGTGCAGGACCAAATGAATATCGAAACAAAAATCCGAAACATCAGATTTATTGGAGAACTCTGCAAGTTTAAAATTGTACCTGCTGGACTTGTATTCAGTTGTTTAAAGGTATAACTGCACAACCCAATATGTGTTCTATAGAGATGTAAATTTTCTTGAATTCTCTGAACTTATATTAGATACATTTCGATTAATATATTTAGTAAGTCACTTGAATCCTCTTACCGGATATCGAAATGTAATTGTATGGGGACTTTATCCTCTCTAGCGAAACTAGAACCATCCAACACTATAAAAATCTTCACTTCCCTTTTTTTTTTTTGCAGGCTTGCTTAGATGAATTTACTCATCATAACATTGATGTTGCTTGCAATCTTCTAGAGACATGTGGCCGTTTCCTTTATCGGTCTCCCGAAACCACACTCAGGATGACAAATATGCTGGACATATTGATGCGCCTGAAAAATGTCAAAAATTTAGATCCTCGTCAAAGCACTCTTGTGGAAAATGCCTACTACCTTTGCAAACCTCCTGAAAGATCAGCAAGAATTTCTAAAGTTCGTCCACCATTGCATCAGGTACTCCAACTTCCATGTCTTTTATCTTTCGAATAAATTTCCATTGTTCAATTGTATTGGAGATTTTGATTTTTCTTATACTTCTTTAAAAATTCTGCAGTATATTCGAAAATTGCTTTTCTCGGATCTTGATAAAGAATCCATTGCAAACGTTCTGAAGCAACTACGGAAGCTGCCATGGAGTGAATGCGAACAATACATCTTAAAGTGCTTTATGAAGGTTCACAAGGGAAAGTATGGTCAGATTCACTTAATTGCTTCCTTGACTTCTGGTTTGAGCCGCTATCATGATGAGTTTGCGGTGGCTGTTGTTGATGAGGTATTTTCCTTTCACTGTCGTTTCATTTTGAGCTGTCTAGATCTGAAAATCAAAAGTTTAGGAAAATCAAAAGTTTCCGAGTTTTACTGTAGAAAATTAATCTTTTATGGGTTTTGCGTAAATATTGGTTTTGCAAAAGTTAGATAACTATTAATTCAGATGGTGTTGTATAAATGGCTTCTCCCTGTCTCTCGGGTGAACCATTCTGATTTTACCTCTCCAATTTGAAGAATGGAATCATGAGTAAAGGTGGATTGAGTTCTTAACTATGTTGCTTGTTCTCTTCCTGTATAGTTATTTTTACATAGCTGCACATATTAGTGCCAAATTTCTTGGCAATTGGTGATTTATTATGTGCAGCTATGTAATGTTCTAAGATGCTAAACTCCCTTCTTTTAGTCGATAGAAATGAAAATTGCAGTCAAGTTGAAAAGGAATTGCTTCTTTTGTAAAGTTTGTAGTGTCAGTAAAGCCTAAAATAAACTTACTGTAAAATATGTTAGGAGCAACATGCCTATAGGTTTGGAGTCCATGTTTTTTTTTAAATCAGAACATTGTAATAAGATACTCTCGCATAATTTAATTTGAGGTTTGGTGTATTTTGTTGCTTGGTTATGCCTTCTCGTGAATTATGTTCACCTGCTTCGTTTAAATTTTATCTAGAGCGTTTGCTGACTTGTTCATCTAACATTTTATTTAAAGAGGTACTGCATGTTGTCCATGACTTAGTATCACATCTGTTCTCTGAAGTAACGTGGTCCATTGTTTTCACTTGAAGGTACTGGAGGAGATAAGGGTTGGGCTTGAATTGAATGAATATGGGGCACAACAGAAGCGACTAGCTCATATGAGATTCTTAGGGGAGCTGTACAACTATGAGCACGCAGATTCATCTGTGATATTTGAGACGCTTTATTTGACTCTTTTGTATGGTCATGGTACTTCAGAGGTATGTTAACCTAAGAGTCTTCCAGAGTTCAGCACTTTATTAAAACTTACATGTGCTCTTTTGTGTTGTTTGGCATTTAAAAACTTAGATTATGTCTCATCTCATCTTTAACCAAAACAAAAATGTCGTTTCTTATGTTTACTTCCTTTTTGTTCCTCATGATATACAAATTTAGAATACTATGCTGTAAAACTGATTGTGTCGACATAAACTGTGAAGTTATTGAAAGCAGAAGCCATTTTTTCCTGAGTTTTAAACTGCTGTTTTGTTCTTACAGAAAGGCTATGTGCTGCTCGCTTAATTGTCAGTCTTTCTCTTCCACTGATTGATTGTTGTATATACTTTTATGATGTTAGCAAGAGGTGCTGGATCCACCAGAAGATTTATTCCGTATCAGGATGGTTATCATTCTCCTGGAAACCTGTGGGCATTACTTTGATCGAGGTTCTTCAAAGAAAAGGCTTGATCAATTTTTGATACACTTCCAGAGATATATACTGAACAAGGGTCACCTTCCCCTCGATATTGAATTTGATTTGCAGGTTAGTCTTAATATATTGTGTATATTATATCATACAGGTACATGAGCTTATATTTTTTGTAGAAATTATCCAATTTTGATGTTCAGGCTATCTGTACCAATTATGTGTCTTAACTTTGTCTCAATGCAGGATCTATTTGCCAATTTGAGACCTAATATGACCCGTTACGCAACCATTGATGAAGTGAATGCTGCTATACTTAAGCTGGAAGAGCGTGAGCATGCTTCTTCAGGAGACAAATTCAGTGTAGAAAGAGACTCGGATACAAAGCCTCCAAGTAGGTCATCGTCGGTGGTTATCTCTTCTAATGGGAAAAGTGCTGCAAAAGATATTGGAGAGAATGGAGAAGCTCACGGAGAAGAAAGTGACAGTGATTCTGGTAGTGGCTCAGTGGTCCGAGATGGACAGAACGAAGAGTTGGATGATGGAAATCATGACCGAGGATCTGAGAGTGACGATGGCGATGGCTATGATGATGGAGATGGACCTGGATCTGATGATGGTAACGAATTCCGTGTAAAGCAGAAGGTGGTAACTGTAGATCCTGAGGAACTAGCAGACTTTGATAAAGAATTGAAGGCTTTACTTCAGGTAATTTCAGATCGGTCTTTTGTATTTTCTCTAATTTAGCTGGATGGAAAAACCAACTAACGCTAATGCAAGCCAGAACTTATTTGTTCGAATTTGAACATGGTTAAGGACTGATATGTTCTGTGGATGCAGGAGAGCATGGAGCAAAGGAAGCTAGAATTAAGAGGTAGACCGGCATTGAACATGACAATACCGATGAGTGTTTTTGAAGGATCTGGAAAAGATCATCATCATTTTGGGCGGGTAGTAGATGAAAATGGAGAAGAAGTGATGGATGAGGAGAATGGAGAGCAAAGAGAGGTTCAAGTGAAGGTCCTAGTGAAGAGAGGAAACAAACAACAAACAAGACAAATGCTAATCCCGAGTGATTGTTCGCTAGTGCAGAGTACAAAACAGAAAGAAGCTGCGGAACTGGAAGAGAAACAAGACATAAAGAGGTTAGTACTCGAGTACAATGAGAGGGACGAAGAGGAAGCTAATGGGTTAGGGACACAGATATTGAATTGGACTCCTGGGGGAGGCAGAGGATCCACTCGAGGCACCGGGGAAGGCAGTGGGAAGAGTGGTGGGTCTCGTCACCGGTTTTATTATCATCAAGGAGGTGGTGGTTCATATCATGCCCGGCGAAAGTAAATTCATCCGCTTTAGGATTTGATAATCTTGCCTGTGTCAGAAGCAGTAATAGTTGGCTTTTTACTATTGCTCAAAGGGAAAGGTATCAGAAGAAATCTCACGAGTTTCTGTGACAAAAGTTGATATATTCTCGGCTTCAGATTCTGTACCGACAGTTAAGTAAAATGGGTGATGGTGGTATATGTGGATCAGCTGTGTGTGTGACCCTTTTTGTCCCAGCTTGATTGATCCAACTTTTAACTTGGGATTTTGAAAATGTGAAGCGCTTTAGAAGCATGACGAAGTCGAATATATATAATTTGTTTAGCACAACCTCTGTTGTTAATGTCGTCTTATACTATGCTTATTTTAAAAGATGTTAATGTTAAATAGAATTACAAAATTCTGAGCTATTTCATTATTTAACTCTATCCTTAAACCCGTTTGACATCAAAGAAACTTGAGATGATATTTTGAGAACTGAGACGTCCTAGTAACATACTAGTATCCTACTGTATAAGTAGTTGCTGAACATGTAAAACTTATAAATGGGATAATCTAATTGTTTGCTTTCTTGCAATGTGACCAAAATCGAAATTTGATATATAATTGTTTTCTCCAATGTGTTTCCATATATAGTAATTAATCCTTCTCACAATATTACCAAATTGAAAGGAAACATGTTGATGGAAAAAAAGAAAAAAAACCAAGATTATCGTCTTACCATATAGGGAAAGGCCAGATTTAGGGCGCAGGGGACGGATTAAAAAAAGAAAGAAAAGAAAAGATTCCTTAAAAACAAAATCTGGTTTCTGTACTTTCAGCAAATCTTGAGAAAACGAACGGCTGAACGGCTGAGATATGCACGCAAACTTATCATTCAGTCTTGTCCGAAATTTCAGTCATACACGTGTCCATATAAACAAATAGTGTACTATGGTGATTGCTGAATGTTTTATTTATGTCACGACCGGACCTGATGACATAAGTTAAGTCACACTCTCTCTTCAATTAAGGTTAACTATCTCTCTCTCTCTCTCTCTCTCTCTCTCTCTCTCTCTCTCTCTCTCTCTCTCTCTCTCTCTCTCTCTCTCTCTCTCTCTCTCTCTCTCTCGTCCACACACAGAAAAAGTGGTGGTTGGCTTTATTGGACCGACGCTTATAGGTCCCCAACACGTTCACCATTTACACTCTATTATTATTGTTTTCATTGACAAATCTATCACACACCAAAATTAAAAATGGTATGGTTTGGTTTTGGTTGTGGTGTACAAATAATTAAACATAACGATTTGGTCCAGGCAGGTCCACCATCAGATTAAAGAAAATCTTCCTCATATTGCATTTATGTTCCCATTGCCCACTCGTTATACAAGTTTCATAATTTCTCAAAACGTGATGCATGATATATATTAGAAAATAGTAATATGGCTTACTCTAGTTGATAGCATAGGAAAATAATATATATGCATTTGAACGGTAATTCATAATATCAAGCAAAAGACCCGTACTCGGATGTCTCATGTATCGTCATTTCAATATTATCGGATATCTCTGAAAAATAAATAACACACTATAAGATTATATGTTTACATTAAAATATATATGTACTCATGTTTAATTGGTGTGGGCATCAAGATTATATTTCCGTACACCACCAAATTTTCAATATCGAATATTCATAAGATGTTGTAATATTCGGACATAGCTGGGTTATACTCGAACTTCAAGATACCTAGAAACTGAAAACATGTGAGAACGACGACCAATTAATAGATGGAGTTAGATTTTTTTGGGTAATATAATATATATATATATAGTATTATTTATCTTTAACAATTAATCGATAATGATATCTTACATATGTTTGAATAAATCGGGAAAAAAACAAGTACATAAAGCAATCAATTAATGAACAAAAATAGGGATGATTGAAAAGTAGGCAAGAAAAGGCAAGTGTGTAGCTAGAGACAATTGCACCGAACACGTCCCACGTTCTTTTCTATTTTTCCCATTTATAGTCTCTCTCTCTTCTCTTCTATCTCTCTCTCTCTCTCTCTTCCTCTATAGAGTCGCCGGAATAATCACACAAACGACGCAGGTCTACTTCTTTCCAAGAAAGACTGATCATGTTGGACCTCAACCTCAAAATCTTGTCGACACATAACGAAGATGAAGAAGACTGCAAAGTACCTACAGCCTCCATCTTCAATCAAGAAAAAGAAGATGATTCCATTGATCCATCAGCCAACAAGTTGTCTTTGATTACGTTTGGAATCCTCAAAAGAAAAGAAGACGTCGAAGCCATTCCTATGCCTCCTCCTCCTCCTCCGGAGAGTGGATTATCCGGCGCCGGGAGTGAGTGGCTGAATCTTTCGCCGATGCAAGGGAATAAACAAGAAATGTTGGTGATGAAGAAGAAGAGCCGACGTGGCCCTAGATCCAGAAGCTCCAACTATCGTGGCGTCACTTTTTACCGTCGAACCGGTCGTTGGGAATCTCATATTTGGTATTCGTCTATAAGACTAAAGTTATAAATTAATTTTTATCTTTTTTTCTCTTTTTTCAATAACACTTGGCTTTGGGATTTTTATGTGTAGGGACTGTGGAAAACAGGTTTATTTAGGTAAGTAGATCAATGAGATTTTCTATGTCTTTAATTTTCTTATTATAATAAAGGTTAAATTAAACACCTTTTTTTGGATAAGAAAACTCTGAATAAAAAAAACAAATGGTGCAAGATTTTCAGTTTTGTCTTTTGTTTATTTATTTTTATTTTGCTTAAAACAGGTGGTTTCGACACAGCCTACACAGCTGCAAGGTGTAATAAGGCCTTCTTTTCCTTTTATTTTTTTGGATATTTTTTAAATAATTTTCTATTTTCTAGATAAATACTTATCTATTTAAAAAAAACAAAAAAAACATATATATCAGAGCTTACGACCGAGCTGCTATCAAATTCCGGGGACTCCAAGCAGATATCAACTTCATCGTGGATGATTACAAACAGGACTTTGAAAAGGTTTTTCATATAAACTTATTGTTTCAAATATATAATATCTAGGTCAATTAATTATAATTATTTAGGTTTAAGTACGTGTATATATATTTTAAGAGACCTAGAGAATTTGGACAATCGATTAATATAAAACTGTGGATGTTTTGAATGATATATGACAGATGAAGAACTTAAGTAAAGAAGAGTTTGTGCAAACCCTTAGACGAGCGAGTGCAAGCTTAGCAAGAGGAGGTTCTAAATACAAAAACAATTACATGAAAAATGATTACATCCATCTCTTCCAAAACAGGTTCGATTACTATAAAAATTTTGATTTTGTTTTGTTAAATAACTTATTAACAATGACCCTCTGATTCTTCTCGCCGGTACAAATTAAATTTATTCACTAGTGATGAGTTTGATTCTTATCGCATACTTTATGATTCACATATATAATGTGTAAGTTTAGTAACAGTGTTTGAATAATATATAATACTCATAGGCAATGGAATGCATCAGCAGCAAAATGCAATGAGATAAGAAAGATAGAAGCTGGAGAAATTAAGTTGGGTGCCCATCATAATAAAGGTAAATTTATAAATGTAGGGTCACAATTCTAAATATGCATAATAAATCATCGTTATAATTGTCATTTAATTGAAGCCAAAACCCTAACCATAAACTTCATTTAACACATGTAGTAAATAAGCATATTAAACCAAACCCTATATCTACCCTTACCTTTCAGAATCATTCTCTTTCATAATTTAATTTGTTTTGGTAAAATAAAAATATACACATGTTATGTGAATTTAAACTAAAATGTAACGCAACAACAACACTGACACAAACATTACTAGACTTCAATATATTACATTCAACTTCATATAGTATTTATGTTGTAGATATTAGCCATATCGACATTACGACATGATTTGCTAAAAAAACGTAAACATAATTGTTTCAGGAAATGAGCACAAGGATCTTGACCTAAGTCTTGGAATATCTTCAACGCCTAAAAATATAACTTTGAAACCGAGCGCAGATTATTACATGGGATTGAATCGATCTGCAACGAGTTTGTACGGGAAGGCGTTGCCTGTATATCTACCGATCACAGAAATGAAACCGTTAAAGACAGTAGTAGCATCATCAGGATTCCCTTTCATTGCCATGATCAATTCTTCATCTTTGTCCAATTGTTTTGATCCATGAAATGATCACTATTTTTACTTTATATTTTTCCCGTTTAATTTTTTTTTTTTTTGGGTTAATTTAGTCTATTGAACGTCGGAATGATTATGTGAGTTATAATTTCTTTTTATAAATCATAGTCTTGCGGGATCATGAATGAATTGATGACCAAAATGAAATGAACTTTTTGTATAAATTCAGCTCGAGTTTGACTTCAGTTAGATATGGTGGTACTCCAAGTATGGTACTGTACTTTTTATATCTTACAGTGAGATTTGGTTTGAGATAAATCGGAAGAGTCATCGTTTTAAGGAAAGCCTATATTATATTCATCAGTAATTTTATTGTGGATGTCTTAAAAAATTTTAATTATTAATTTTAATATTATTTGATGATAGATGAGAATAGATAAAAAAAAATGTCGTAAAGTATATTTAAAATTGAATGCCTCCTAACAAAAAAAAAAGACATCTAAAACAAATGAGGGATAGAGATGAACAGAACATGTTAAAAATTGAAGTATGACATAAAATACGTACCTACGATAGAATGATGTTTTAAAGTTTTCATACACAATAATGAATGTTTAATCATACATATACAGTATTATTTTCCATAAAACAAAATTTTCCTCGAATTACTAATCAATTCAGCAAATTCATTTTTTTTTTCAAACAATACCTATAAGGATTATTTTTTTGGTCCATCTGAAAAAAAAAATGTAAGTATACTTGATCGATGGTTGTTAATTAGCTAGCACTCATTGGTGGTCGGTGCGTTGTTACTAATTAATAGCATATCAGGTGTATTAATACTTAGGTATTTGTATAATACACTATACACTATAGTTTACATACGATCAAGTATACTTTGTATAAATACTGAACTATGTACACGATACACAATTAATGAAATACATAACAAACTTTTTCTTCTCTCTCTTTATTCTCTCTTTACTCTCACTCTCTCTCTCTAGCTCGAGCTCTTCGTCTTCCTTGAGCAGATCCTGATATGGTATCAGAGCAATCTCGATCCGAATCATCATGAGTTCTTCTTCGATTGAGCTCTATCTTGTTCATCTTCTTCATTTTATTCTTGATTCTTGTTGTTTAATCGTGTTTGTGATTCTTCAATTCATGTTCACAACCGATTGAAGTCTTTCTTGTTTTTCTTCTTCTTTCTTTCTCAATTTCTCGATTTCTTGGTCAAGAGTTTCTTCATAGCAATGGCGACTTCGGCATCTTCTTCTCGTCCTCCTGTTCGTCCTACGGCAGAATCAACTCAATCGCCTACAGATCTATATGATAATCCATTCTATCTGCATAGTACTGATCATGCTGGGTTACAATTGGTCTCAGATCGTCTCACCACTGGCGCAGACTTCCATTCTTGGCGCAGATCGGTACGGATGGGATTGAATGTTCGTAACAAGCTAGGATTTGTTGATGGTTCGATACCTCAACCTCCTTCAACGGATCCGACTTATGGCTCGTGGTCCAGATGTAACGATATGGTCTCGACATGGCTCATGAATTCCGTTTCAAAGAAAATAGGTGCTAGTCTCTTATTCATGTCTTCTGCTGAACGAATCTGGAATAATCTCTTAGCTCGCTTTAAGCAGAACGATGCTCCTAGGGTGTATGAAATAGAACAGAGACTTAGCTGTATTCAACAGGGTTCTTTGGATGTTAGTGCTTATTATACGGAGTTAGTCACATTATGGGAAGAATATCAGAATTATATAGAACTTCCAGTGTGTACTTGTGGCCGATGTGAATGCAATGCGGCTATTCTGTGGGAAGGAATGCAGCATCGTAGTAGAGTTACAAAATTCTTAATGGGTCTGAATGAAAGTTATGAGCAGATTAGGCGTCACATTCTGATGTTAAAGCCGATTCCAAGTATAGAAGAAGCATATAATATGGTAGCACAAGATGAAAGGCAGCGAATGGTTAAGCCTGCAGTAAAGCCTGATAATGTTGCTTTCCAGGCATCAAGCTCTTTTGACGCATCTGCAACTGGTGATAATAGTTCATATGGAATGGAACCATATGAATATATTGCAGCTTATAACACATATCGACCAAGGAATAATAGACCGATGTGTACTCATTGTGGGAAGATGGGACACACTCTTCAAACTTGTTTCAAAGTGCATGGTTATCCTCCAGGATTCAAGACTCAGAATTCGTCTACTCCAGTTCCATATGGTAACAAGATGGGTACTGCTCCTAGGAATCCAGTGCCAGTAATGAATCAAGGACAATTTCCAAATCAGGGACAGTTTACTAATCAAGGCCAGTATAATCAAGGTTTTGTACCAAGACCAAGGACTGTGGCTAATGTGCAAGTCATGAATGGTGATAATGGTGGTCCTATGTTATACTATCCACCTCCAACCATGAATGCAGTAAATCTGGATGTGAGTCAGTTGACTCCAGGACAAGCACAAGATCTTATACAACAGTTATCTCGGGTACAAGTTTCTGAACCTATGATTAATCAGATCACTTCTGTCCAGAGTTCAGAACCAGTAGTTTCTTCTTCTGCAACTATAACAGAATCTGGTGTCATGGCTCCTCAATCTTCATCTGGTAAAGTTTCCACTATCTCTTCTAATCTTAGATATGAGAATAATAATCTCACTTACAACCATCAATGTCTTTCTACACTTCAAAATGCTTTGCCTAGTGGTTCTTGGATAATTGACAGTGGGGCAACTAGTCATGTTTGTTGTGATATCTCAAAATTTCAAGAAACTTTCTTAGTATCTAACATTACAGTTGCTTTACCTAATGGAACTAGACTCCCTATTCAACATACTGGAACAATTCATTTATCTGATTCTCTGATTCTTTACAATGTTTTGCATGTTCCATCTTTTCATTTTAATCTCATTAGTGTTAGCACATTGTTACATGATAATCAATGCTCTGCTCACTTTTATCCTACTGCATGTTTTTTACAGGAGTCTTCTCAGGGATGGATGATTGGGAGTGCTAACATTTTTCACAATCTATACATTCTGAATATACACTCCCTATCTTCACCTGCTAAGCCTCCTGCTGTCACTCATTTCTCTGGATCCTTGTCAGCTGATGGGACTCTTTGGCATAATCGTCTAGGCCATCCCTCAACTGCCAAGTTACAATCTATGTCTGGTACACTTTCTATTCCAAAAGTAGCTATATCAAGTCTAGATCATTGTTCAATTTGTCCCTTAGCTAAACAAAAGCGTCTGTCTTTTCCTTTTAATAATCATCTGTCATCTAGTCCATTTGATTTGATACACTTAGATATTTGGGGTCCATTCTCAGTAGAGTGTATAGAAGGTTATAAGTATTTTCTTACAATAGTTGATGATTGTACAAGAGTTACTTGGCTTTACTTGTTAAAGAATAAGAATGAGGTTCTTACAGTTTTTCCATTATTTCTAAAGTTAGTTTCTACTCAATTTCAAACAACTGTTAAAGCAATTAGGAGTGATAATGCACCAGAATTAGCTTTTAAAGAATTAGTTAAGGAACATGGCATGCTTCATTTCTTTTCTTGTGCATACACTCCTCAGCAAAATTCAGTAGTAGAAAGAAAACATCAACATCTATTAAATGTGGCACGTGCATTACTTTTTCAATCTAATGTGCCTTTGATATATTGGAGTGATTGTGTTACTACTGCTGTTTTCTTAGTAAATCGTTTGCCATCTCCTTTGCTTGATAATGTTTCCCCTTTTGAAAAATTAATGAAAAAGAAACCAGATTACACTTCTTTAAAAAGTTTTGGATGTCTTTGTTATGCCAGCACCTTGCAAAAGGATAGAACAAAGTTTACTCCGAGAGCACATTCTTGTGTTTTCTTGGGGTATCCTACTGGCTATAAGGGTTACAAAGTGCTAGATATAGAAACTAATACAGTATCGATTACTAGAAATGTAACTTTTCATGAGACTATTTTTCCATATCTTGATACACCACAATATATAGATAATATTTTCCCTAATACTGTCTTGCCTAGTCCTCCTCCATTCATCTCTGATGCATCTTCCTCACATCATTCACCATCTTCACTTCCTAATATTGCTCCATCTCATACATCACATACATCTGCATCTACATTAAATAATAGGGAGACTAGGGAAATTATAGAGGAACCAACTGTGATTGCATCAGATACTAATAGAGTTTCTAAATCTATAGTGAGACCAAAACGAACTGCTAAAGCCCCTAGTTACTTGTCTGAGTATCATTGTGCTCTAGCAGCTATTTCACCACCTCTTCCCCCAGGCCATACAACACCTTATCCATTATCATCAGTATTATCCTATGATCTTTTTAAACCCCATTATTGTTCATATATCTTATCCTATTCTATGGAAACTGAGCCTAAAACCTTTAAGGAAGCTATGTCATCTGATAAATGGAAAGGGGCATGCAATGATGAACTACAGGCTATGGAATCTAATGGAACATGGAGCATAGTATCTCTACCACCTGGCAAGAATGTAGTTGGCTGCAAATGGGTGTTTACCATCAAATATAAGTCTGATGGTACAGTAGAGAGATATAAGGCACGGTTAGTAGCCAAAGGCTACACACAACAGGAAGGAGTTGATTTCAATGAGACTTTCTCTCCAGTGGCTAAACTAACCAGTGTCAAACTTATGTTAGGCTTGGCTGCAAAAGAAGGCTGGGAACTATCACAAATGGATGTATCTAATGCTTTCCTACATAGCACTTTGGATGAGGAGATCTATATGAGTCTACCTCAAGGATACACTCCAGGTAATTCCCATTCTTTACGTCAAAATGCTGTTTGCCGCCTTCATAAGTCAATATATGGCTTGAAGCAAGCCTCTAGACAGTGGAATCGCTTGATAACTTCAGTATTGTTGAAAGATGGATTCATTCAATCATACTCAGATACTACACTGTTTCTCAAGTTCACAGCAACCAGTTTTATAGCAGTGTTAGTTTATGTAGATGACATTGCTATAGCTAGTAATAATGCTGATGATCTTGCTGCACTTAAAGCTGTTCTAGCTAGTGCATTCAAAATCAAAGACTTAGGATCTCTCAGATTCTTTCTTGGTTTAGAAATAGCCAGAACTTCAAAGGGAATCTCAGTTTGCCAAAGGAAATATGCTTTAGATCTATTGGAGAATGCTGGTTTGCTTGCTTGTAAACCTAGTCCAGTCCCTATGGATCCATATGTGCATTTAACTAAGGATACATGCACACCTTTGGATTCTGCAACACCATACAGGGAGGTGATTGGTCGGCTACTTTACTTGACTATAACTAGGCCTGACATCACTTTTGCTGTGCATACTTTGAGTCAATTCTTGCAGTTTCCTACTGATGTGCATATGGCTGCAGCTCACAGAATACTCAAGTATATCAAGGGCAGTCCAGGACAAGGACTTTTCTATCCAGTTAACAATGATGTGTGTATTAATGCCTTTGCTGATGCAGACTGGGGTATATGCATCAATACAAGAAGGTCTATAAGTGGTTTCTGTGTTTACATTGGGAAATCACTAATCTCTTGGAAATGCAAGAAACAACAGGTGGCTAGCCATAGCAGCACTGAAGCTGAATACAGAAGCATGGCAGAAGCAACCAGGGAGATCTTATGGATACAACAACTATTGAAAGACTTCAGAGTTCCAGTCACAACCACAGCCAAGCTCTTCTGCGACAACAAATCGGCAATCTATATTGCTACCAATCCAGTCTTCCACGAGAGGACAAAGCATATAGATATCGACTGTCACACTACAAGGGATCAGATCAAGCTTGGAAATCTCAAGACATTACATGTGGAGTCTGGCAATCAACTAGCTGACATCTTGACAAAACCATTACATCAGAGGCCATTTCACTCGTTACTTGGCCGCATGTCTTTATCAAACCTATACAATCCTTCATAAATGGATTGTTCGGTTTGAAGGAGGTGTATCAGGTGTATTAATACTTAGGTATTTGTATAATACACTATACACTATAGTTTACATACGATCAAGTATACTTTGTATAAATACTGAACTATGTACACGATACACAATTAATGAAATACATAACAAACTTTTTCTTCTCTCTCTTTATTCTCTCTTTACTCTCACTCTCTCTCTCTAGCTCGAGCTCTTCGTCTTCCTTGAGCAGATCCTGATATAGCACTCGACGGTGTTACAATCGTCGTCGTCTTAAGTCGTCAACGATGATATATAATCTCGAAGTGAAAAAAAACACAAATATACTGAAAATAGTAAAGTGATTCGCGAGGTTAGTAGATTAACGTAAGGCAATGGTATGATCAATTTATACATCTCTAGCTTCATTATTATATCTCCTATTAAATTTTTATAGTATCGTATTAATCAAGAATGGTACACGTCGTCGTCGTCATTTGTATATTTCAAAAGTACAATGTCGTATTGTGTCGTATGATTTGCGCTATCTTCACCACATTCACTCATTTCTTATCCTTACTTTTTCCAAATTTTTTAGACTTTGTATATTACCCAATCAACTCGACAATGTATGGCCCTATGAGTAAGTGTAAGTGGTTGAAAGTATTCAATATTCCTATTGAACCAAAAAAAAAAGAAAAAAAAAAAACAGAAGATAGAGACAGATAATTCACGATTCGATTTTTTACATTGCAATCATATATATGTAATACATATACTAATTATAAATATGTTGACAATGAACTAATTATTTTGTGTGTTAATCTTACACCTATAACCAAAATGTGTATGTAGTAGTCTAGTTGAAATATGATCAGAATCTTCATAACTGATCTAACATCTTCGGGAGATTCTCTCCACCTTCCTCATTTATATTTACACAAAACACTCTAAAGAAACATGTTTTTAAAGTCCAATCTGTAGCTGCTTAATGATGAGTTATATGGAGAATTTGGTCAAATGCAAGACAGCAATTTGCATAACGCTTTTGCTTTGACGTACTTGTCATACACTACACAAGCCAATATATATATATATATATGTTGTTTTGATTTTTGACACTATAATAAACTATATATGATATTTTAATTTTGAATGATATGATAGATTGAAGAATAAAAGCAAAGAAGAGTTTGTGCAATATCTTAGACGAGCGAGTGCAAGCTTAGGAAGAGGAGGTTCTGAATACAAAAACACCCATGTGTGATCACATCCATCGCTTTCTTACCAATTCAATACAATATTTTTTTTTCAAACATAAACAAAGGAAAAAAAGAAATAAAAAGACAATTGGACCAACTAAAATGTCAAATGGTTTACCAATTATTGGACCAACTAAATGTCAAACTAAACCAAATAAAATCGACTTCAAACCAAGAAAAAAAAAAAAAAAAATCATAAATCAAAGCTCAGTTGCTACTACTAGAGGAACAGCAAAACCCTAAACGTCTCGGATACGTCTCTCCTATATGAAAACGCTTCTTTTTTTTTTTCTTTTTTTTTCTTCTAAATATATAAAGTTAATTTTGAGGGTTTTGCGGATTCATCGACTGAAGAAGAAGAAGAAGAAACTGGTGAATCCCCAAAGCTTAATTAGGCCTCTGGAGGCAGAGCTGCGAATCTCAAAGTGAAGCAGAGCGTGGAAAAATTAATTATTCATCGGTGTGTTGTTTGTTTATTGTTAGCTCTGGTTTGTTTTTTGGTTTCAGTTACTTGCATTTTAGTGTACTGTTTTATGTTTTCTTAGTAGGTCAAATTTCGAAGCAGTGTAACAGCAGTTTCCATAGAAAAATGGGAGCAGAAGAAGTTCCGAGTGCTTTCTTCAGCTCAGATGTAGTGGACAATGCTGAGTTAAGCGACACAGCTTTGGTGGCTGCCATTAGGAAGGCCCTTGCATCTGCCCAATGTGTGAGTGCTCTTGCACAAACGTTGCTTCTTTCACTTTTGTATACACACATATATGTTTCTCTGTGTGTGTGTTCTTTTAAAGTATTTTCTTTTGTTTGTTAAATCCAGGAGGACACCGATCATTATAATCAGCTTGTTCAGTTAATGTACATTAAAAAGGAATCTGCTGATGATGATGTCGATGTTGTGGCACAGCGAGAGGTGTGTCTTTTTCCTCATTTGGACAATCCAATCTTTCTTTTTTATCTTGTTGCTAACCAAGACATTCTTGATCACTCTCATTCACTTCTACAGACACTCTTGAAAATTCTATCACGCTCTGTTGCTTGCTTAGATGAAGTTCACCATAAACGTCTTCTTCAACTTGTAAGCTGTATTTTATTTATATCACACACATACCTGACTTTTCCTCTGACTCTCATCACATTTTATTGTCCTTAGATTTTTGGGACGAGAATTTGGGATCACATACCTAATGTAAATGTAATGTACGCATTGCTGGACCTAATCGTATCACTGGTACACATCTCAGCAACTACGTACTTACCCCTCATGTGATCAACCATTTACATATATTATCTGCTTAAGGAGCTTAACAGTTTTGTGTTCTTGTTCTTTAATTTGCATGTCTTCTAGGCCACTACTAGTGGAAAGTATCTCATCTATTGTTTGGATATGCTCGTTTCTAATTTACGTTCGCATCCCCACAAACTCAACAGTAGTAAGATGCTGGAAGTTCTTTCCCGGGTGCACGCAGCACTTGACAAGATTTCTTGTTTAGTTCCCATTGCTCCCTCAAAATTACTGCCCATACTCGCCCTGAGAATGCCTAGCTTATACGAAAAAGACCATGTATGCTTTTTTATTATTTCTGTTAATAAACAATGTTGCAGCTACCCTATACCTTTGTTAACAAAATGATTGTCTTGAAGTTGCAGGTTGTAGCACCATATGTGGAGAACTTGTTGAAGTTGGAGAACAGCTCTATCGGAAAAGTTATTGGCAATGGGATTCTTAGGATGGTTATGGAGCGCTTGCGAGATCTCGATGTAAGTGAATACAGTTCCATACAAGTATAGTATAGCCACTTTAGTAATGTGGTAAGTGAATGATATGCTTGATCATCTTTCTAGTTGGAGATTGGGTGGGATGATATTCTTCAAGATGACTCCAGTATAGCCATGTTTGATATGGAACTTGACGTTGAAGGCACTATGAATGAAGGAGAGGAGGTAGGGTTACTGTGTTTTATCTGCTGTTCATACTGAATTCACAAAATTGGATGAAAGTTTCTGATTTACAAGATGCTTTTTCTCTTACTACGAAAATTTAGACTTTGATTCGTATGTGGTTTCCTGGAGAGCTACATATCTGCCATCACTCATGAATTTGATTTTTCTTTTGCAGTTTCCAGTGCGGTCTCTGAATAAAAATGGAAATGTAGTCTCTGAATTGTTTGACGACTTAATGGTTCTATCTTTTAAGCATCTTGAATCCTGTCAAGATGCTGGTCGTCTGGATGAGGTATGTCACCAAATGGAGCTTCATCAACATATCTTTCCTTTCATTACTTCTTTGGTACATGAATTCATCTTTTGAGGTTCTTATTTTCATGTTTTTGGCGCAGGTGTTTGAAAATCTGTTCGAGTCGTTCGAGAACTTAATTCTGAACACGCAAAAATTAAAAGTTTCACAGGTATGCACCGTGGTGTTATAATTTGTCATTCTAGGCTCCTAACACTTTACTTCATTGTTGGCGTTCGATGTCTTGGCTTATACTCATTCTGCTTTCGTCTGTAGTTCTTGATGTTCTATGCGTGCTCATTAGATACTGAAAATTGTGGTGTGAAGTTTGCCAGTAAGCTTTTGGACATATATCTCTCCAGCAAAAATCCTCAAGTTACTAGGCTAGTCACTCCTATCCTTGAAGCTAATACTGTATTCTAGCTAGTCACCAGACTTACCACTTGTACATGGTTTAATCTGTATTCTCCCCTTAATAAACAGGACGAATGCAGTGGCTTATCTAGCTAGCTACTTGGCTCGTGCAGAGTTTTTGCCTGCGTCTTTTGTGGCTAGCATGTTGAAAAGGTAGAAAGAGACTGCTAAAAAAACTGACAAATTAGAAGATGATTGTTTCGATCTGACTCAAGTTTCAGTTGGTTGTAATATTGTTTCTCTTGTGTCTGAAATCCTAGATTGGTGGGTGAGTGTGCGGATTACTGCAGACAATGCAATCATGACGCTAGTCCTGAAGCACATCAAGTTTTTTATTCAGGATGTCAGGTATAGTCCACGTTTAGAACCATCTTATTGCTTTTATTCATTAAGAACTCATTTGTGATGTGATCGACGTCACTTGTATCAATCAACTTTTACCCTTATAAGTCTCCAAGAGTTTTTTTGCCTATCAGTTGTATGGAGTGATACACAACTATGTCAAGTAATGACTTAACTTTGTTGCTTTTCTGTGACTGTAGGCAATCTTGCATGTATTCTGCTTCCGAATGAGCTCAATCCTCAATGTTCCTCACTTCCAATCGCAGCTTATACCATTGGAGTCAGTATTATCTCACAAACTAGACCCGTTGAGGGTAACTTACACTATCATATTTTCCCCCAATAGCTCATGTGTTATCTGAAGTGGTCTGAATCAAAGTATCAAATGCATTAAGCTTGCACCAACCTTTTTTTGTGGTGGAACAGGTATGCCTTCCATCTGTAGTTTCTCAGTTCCTATATCAAGCCAAAGCCAGTGGTCTGTTCATTGTCTTGGACGCCTTCATTTTAGATGAACTATCCAAGTCTGAGCTCTCTCGTGCTTTAGGTGGCTTCTTCCCATTCGACCGGTGCTTGTTGAAAAACTCTAACAGGTTCACCATCTTAACTCTTATATTTTTATGTTTTGTTTCTACTGCTTCTATTACAAAGCCACATGAGAAACTTAGAGGAACTTAGAGAAGTTTCTTTGACTCATTTGATGATTTACCCCGACTTGAGAGCATGTTTAATGCAGATTCTACTCCATATTCTTGAATGATATTGAAATAAATTGGGAAAGACTCTTCTTGTGTTGAATATGATGATGTGGAAGTAGTTGCATTACATAGTTTTTACTCACCCGTTTGCTTGTCAAATCTTAAAGATATATCTCAAGGGTGAAAAGGACTTATGACGAAGATGATGATCAGGAGTTTTCGCCAGAAGTCACAGTGTATGGAGATACAGACTGTGAGGATAATGTTGTTCTTGATAACGAGGTGAACAAGATGTCTATAACTCCTAAACACTCCTTCATGCACGAAACAGAGAGACTCTTGAAGATGCCGTCGAAGATCAGACCATCAACTTGTCCTCGTGAATCCCTCTGATTCTAGTGGAGAGGAGGCAATTTTGCAAGCTAGGGTTCTTTATACAACAATCTATTTGCAAGACTTTAAAAATCTAAAAGTTTATGCGAAATGGATGTTCTTTTTCGTTTTTGATTTTTTTCTTATTTACATTAAATTAAACGTGGCAAACATGATAAAACAAAAGTGAGATTAGCTAAGCTAAGCGCTTGTGGCGTCTGGCACTCGAATCATTCACAAGTATATACAGAGAGCAATCAGATGATGAAGACGTCGTTCGGAGTCCTGCGGGAGTTACCTTCCAGAGGATAAAAAGAGTTATGACGATCTCCTTTTGTATGTCTTCCAACTATCAAAAGGCTTTTAAGAAACATCAATTGGTAACTAGATCTCAGTCTCAGGAGAAGTCAAGCTACTAAATCTTGGTTGCAGCAGGAGGTTTCTCAACTTTTCCACTCACGAGTAAATTAAATATACTATCATCATGTACTAGACCTTTCTCTAGCATCTCTTCATGAAGTCTAAAAGCCTCATTGAGATTTCCTTCTCTATGGTGTCCTGCGATAACAGTACTGTAAATAAACAAATTTGGAGTCACCCCTTTCTTCTTCATCTCCTCTAACATCTTGCTTGCTCTCACAAACTGTCCTTTCTTACTTAGACCGTTGACAAGTACCATGTACAAGATTTCATCAGGGACAATGCCCAACGCAAGCAACTCTGAGTACAAATCAGAGGCGACAATTAGATTTCCCTCTTTTAACAAGCCATCGATCATCGTTGTAAATGTGAATAGATCACAACTTATCCCGTCATTCACCATTTTCTTGTACAGGTCAGTCGCTGCATCCATCTTTCCCAGATTACGGAATCCTGAAATCAAACTATTGTAGACAGACACATTTGGCCGCAATCCTTGTTCCAGAAGTTCAGAGAACAGCGTATACGCGGTTTTCATGTCATGTTTTTTACAAAACCCGTCTATTAGTGCACCATAGGCTGGAATATCGAGTTTCAAATCCTTGCTTTTCATTTCGTGCATCATTTCAAGAGCAAGACCCATTCTGTTACTTTTGCAGAATCCATTGATCAAGCTGGTGAAGGTTACAACATTTGGGGATATATCGTTTTCACTCATCTCTCTGTAAGTTTCGACAGCAGAATCAGTTTCACCTTCTTTGACAAAACCATCTATGATGCTATTGTAACTCGTGCAACCCATGGAATAGCGCTTTTCTTTGACCAAATTTTGCAACATCTCTTTGGCTTTAGATGTCTGACCAACTTTGCACAAACCATTGATGATTGTATTATATATGACTTCATTAGCTTCAAAATTGGCAGCATTCATCTGATTGATGACAGCCCAAGCATTCTGTTCATCCTTATTCTTGAAAAATCCATCAATCAAGATGGAGTAAGTGAAGTTATTCGGCTCTAGACCATTTTCCAGCATTTCCAAGAATATTGAACGAGCCAAGTCCATGTTTTTCTTTCTGCAGTGAGCAAGAATCAAGTTATTGTAAAAAACTACATTCGGCTCAATCCCTTTGTTTTCCATCATCCTCAAAAAGCTCGTGGCAGCATCAACCTTACCTTGCTTGCATAACAATAAAAAAATCTTGTTACACATGAAACCATGCGCAGTCCAGGTTTCAAAACTGTCATTGAAAATATCTAGCGCTGCTTCAGGTGACTCGGCTTTCAAAAACGCTTGGATCATTGTGTGGACAAGAACAGATGAAGGAGAAATCCCTACAGATTTCATCCGTTTGTAAATCTCAACAGTATTTTCCATCTCCCCGTTCTTACAAAACCATTCAATCATAACTGAAAACATCACTTTGTCCGGAGCCAGCCCTTCCTCCTCCATTCTATTAAAAAAATCCAAAGCCTTACCCAACTTATTTCCCTTGCAATATCCATTAATCAAACTCGTTGCAGCAATTAAACTCATTGGTATCCCAAAACCAACCATCTCATCCTTAACCCTCACCGCCTCCTCCATCTTACCTTGCTTCACACAAGCCACAATCACGCTAGTATATGTTTCCTGCGAGGCCGGGACACCTAACTTCCCCCTCATTTCTCTCAACAAATCCATCGCCAAAACCAAATCCGGCATCTTACAAGCAGCTTGAACAGCAAGACTATACAACAAGCCATCTGGTTCTGCTCCTCTACTCATCACCCTCCTGAAAATTTTCACAGCCTCTTCGGAATTTCGTTCTCTCAAACTAGCTCGCATCAACAACTGAGTCGTTACATTATCACCAGCAACACCAATCAAAACCATCTTATTATAAATCTCCTTAGCTTCATCAATCAAATTACTTCGAACTAAAGAGCTTAAAACGTTGTTCACATACGGCACAAAAGGAATCACATTTCGTTCCACCATCAAATTAAAGCAATCTACAGCATAGTCCATTCGCCTATTTCTAATATAAGCATTCAACAAGTAATTGAAAGCTCGTGAGCTGAGTTCAAAACCATACCTTTCAGCCGACTCTACCAAATAGTTGACAATTACGCTTGGGATTAGCGTTGGATTGCTAGAAACGAACATTACGAGCAAATTGCTGGCGCGATCGTGCGTGTGAGGAGAGCTGAACAAAATATGAACGAGTACCCAGAAGACATCTCCACCCTCATAGAGATGAGGTAAAGGCTTGACCCAGTTGCAATACTGAAGAGCCGAGACAGGGTCGTTCCTACGACCTAGAAGCACTTCGATTACACGAGCGTCGTCCACATCATCACCACCTTGATTCTCGGAGTCGAGGGTTGAAATCGAAGGTAAGTGAACCGGTCCAGAGATGGTTTTATGAGGAAACTGTAGTTTTGAGGTGACTTCACTAGTGGAATCGGAAATGTCTCGACTTTGATTAGCTCGTGTATTTGGAAATCGAGACTGTGAGGAAAATAATACTTTAGGGTCTATGAAACGACAGAGTAAAAGAGGTGGGCGGAATCGTCTGGAAACCATGAAAGTAGGCATTTTTATTCTCAGCTCGCTTCACAGCAGTAGAGAGAGAATCGGAGAAGAAGAAGGAAGAAAATCTCTAAACCCCTTCTCATCTAAACGTCGTCGTTTGTGTCCGAGGCTTAAACCCTTCATCGAATAAGTCCCCAAAACGACGTCGTTCTTTTACAATTTTCATTTTTTATAATAACAGTTGGTTAAAAGTCGTTTAATTTCATTAATCATAGTTTCCTTATTTGGTTTTAGGAAAAAGGAAAAATCTAAATTTAAAAACAAAAAGGAAAAAAGGTTACTACCAAAAAAAAAGAAGGAAAAAAGGTTTTATTGGTTTTCCTTTTTTCGTTAGATATTTCCAAATCTCAATTATTTCCTTTTTATTGAGTAGTAATTTATTACTATCCACCGTTGGATCTAAAATCAAATTGCATCCAATGGCTGCCTATGAATGAAAGCTCCGAAAAATATGATTTGTTTTTTTTTTCCTGTATTTTTAATGGGTCCTCTATATAAGAAGAGTGAGGTCTCATATTCACTTGCTGACACAACTCCTTCACGAAGAGAAAAACAAAATTGTAATGGCGACGAGAGCAACAACCAAGAGAAATAATCCTCAGAGACAGAGAGAGCTTGTTCTAATGGCGACGAGGGCCAAACAGATATGAACAAAGCAGAGGTATTCCTTGTTCGCCTTCTTCTGAATCTATGAATCGATTTTGATATTTCACTGAGTTACTGAAACGATTTTGGTGTTACAATCTTTTGTTTTTACATGTTTTTTTCTACTATTTGAGTGCCCTAACAACTAGGTCCGTGATTTGAGTCTAATTCTTATGATAAATCTTCCTTGTTACAGTTCCGAGTTGATTTAAAGTTTGTATTTTTATGGGTTTCTGTGAAACAGGTGTACGGTTTCTTTTGAGTCTCGTTGATGGTTTGAAGAATGAAGAAGAAGATTCGGATCAGAAAAGATAACGCTTGACATATAATGGAAAATCTGATTCTAGTGCTCGTCTTCCCCGAATCAATACATCTTCCTTGTCAGTTTCACTTCAGTTTTTGAGCTAGTCCATGCCAGCCTATGGGAAACTGTGGCAACACTCTATGCGCCTGAAAGTAATTCCCAGTTTCTTTTTTACTACGTGTTTGATTTAATTTGAATGTCTTGTTTACATATGGTTTTAACATGTTTCTCTAAGTCTGTAACTGTTTATGTGCTTTGACATTTGTTTCGTTTTTCTTGTAGTCGTTGCCCTCTGTTCAAACAATACTCATATTTATATAAAGCATCTCAACAAACCAATGGGAGAGGTTACATGTCCTCCAAAAGGTAAAACATTTTTTGTCACAAATCTCCATCTGAAACCCAGCTACTATTGAACCTTCACTCATAGCTTTTCTCTTTTTGCAACTTCTTTACTTTCACTATAGTTCTTTGAATCGCTGCAGCATGGCCAGATTGTTTCTGTAATAGATTGGAGCTTAAAGTCCAACCAATTCATCAATGTTTCCCATGACATGTTTTCGTTAGTTGCAATATGTTTTTTACTTACGAGTAAATTTTCCATTAACTAAGCATGTGTAATTTTTATAAATTGATCAAAATTGAGTTTGGAATGCTTCTTGAAGGTACGTGTGGAGTCTGGAAGGAGGAAGATGGGTACCAAACGCTCATGTTAGTCTTAGGCTAAATCCTGATGCACTTTGTGTCCAATGAATGGAGTCCAAAAGGTAAATTTATCAGATCCAAAGTGTAGTACTGAGTTATTTAGCTTCATTTTTGAGTAATCTGCATTGTACTTTTTCTATTACTTATGCAGCTTCTAATCTGTATACTTTTGTTCAATACTCTTCAGGGAACCAGATTGCTAATTGTTCAAAACCCGAGCCAATACTTCTTCCTTGTCCGCTTCAATTGCTGATCCACAAAGTGAGTTGATTTTGCTTTTAAGTTTTTATTTTTATTGTTACAATTTTAGATCGGAAAGAGACTAAAGTTTTTTCTTTATAGTTTTAGCCTCTTTAGATTGAGAATTTGGTTCACATTCTTTGCAACATAGGGGATCATTCCTTATGACCCAACAACAACAATAGATAATCCTTTATCTTGATTTGTAAGTGATCTCCAAATCCTTTGTTTTTTTTTTTCCATCTGTTTGAAGTTTATCCTTAACCAATAATCCTTCTTAGGATGTGGATAGAATGCAGTCTGTGGGAAGTTATGCAGTGTAAGTAATTCCCAGTACATGAATGTCATCTTCTCTAGTCCTCTGTTTGATTTTTGAACGTCTTGTTGCATATATGGTTTTAACTTTGTTTTAAGCCTGTAACCGTTTATGTGCTTTGACATATGTTTCATTTTTCTTGTAGTGGTTACATATTACTCTCTTTCCAAAGAATAATGAAGTTTACCTTAAAACCAGTGGGAGAGGTTACATGTCCTCAAAACGGTGAAACTTTATATCTCCAATCTCCATCTGAAACTAATGAACCTCCACTCCTTGCTTTTCTCTTCTTGGGGATTTTTCACATTCATATAAATATATTTTTTCATTCTCATTTTACTGATCTCTTGTTACAGAAAAGGGCTGTACAGAAAACTCAGTTCTCCCTTACTATGTTCATTGTTTGAATCGCTGCAGCATGGCCAAATTGAAGTCTACAGTACAGGTGAAAAGAGTATCTATTATTGTCTCAGTTCCAGAAGTTATATGCATCACTCTTCAGCTCAATTGAAATTTTGAAATCTAAAATCTTTTTTGTTCTGAAATTATCTATGTACGTACACTTGAAGGATGCTTTAGGCTTTGAGGCTTTAGTTACAGGGAAAACAACCAATCTAATGTGCAATCAGGTCGGAATGCAATGATTCTTACAGAATGCACTTTTTAACTTTGTTATGATGTTTCAGGTTGATACCATTTTGACTGGGATCATGATTGGTATGTCTGATGTTGCGGCTATGATCCCCAGAAGTGTAGGATTGCTTCCATCTCCTGCCCTTGGTTATTCATATCTTCTTCCTTTTTTGCCTTTTCTTTATAGTGATCTCATTTCTTTAAAAATATATTCTTGGATTTTTCTCATACTCTGATGGATACAGGATAATAGGAGAAGCAGTACTTTCTGACCGTGGATTCAGAACTTGAGACATTCATACTCCTGAAACTGTAAGTTGGCCTTTCTCCTCTTCTCTTTTTTTTTTTTTTGCCTACAGCCTTTCTCCTCTTCTCTTGGCAAAAATTGCATGCTGTTTCTAGTATTAATTAATAACATTAAAAGGTTATGAGAAATAAATTATAGGTGCTTTTTTAAGGGTTTGGGCTCTGGTTTCTTGGTCTAGAAGAAAATAGTTAAGGATTCTTGTAGAAAAAGCAGAAAAATTTAATATAGAATACATTTTTCGATGGTTTTGGGTCTTGGTAAGTGTTGCTCAAATTAATCTTCCATTTTGATGGATATTTTTTTTTTGTTCTTTAGTAGGTGAAATTTCGAAGCAGAGTAGCACCAGCTGTGTTTTTTTGTTCATAGAGAATGGGAGCAGAAGAAGTTTCTAGTGGTTCTTTCTTCAGTCAGACTCAGATACAGTGGACAATGCTGAGTTAAGCAACACAGCTTTGGTGTTTGTCATTAGAAAGGCCCTTGCATCTGTCCAAAATGTGAGTCATGCACAAATGTTGCTTCTTTCCCAGGTGCACGCAACTCTTCACAAGATTTCTTATTTAGTTTCCATTGCTCCCTGAAAATGACTCCATACTCGTCCGGAGAATGCCTAACATATACTACAAAGACCATTTAAGTTTTTAATTAATTCTGTTAAAAACTTAAACAATGTAACAGCTATACCTTATCTGTCGTTGACAAACTGACAACTATTTTACTGTTCTACAGTTACAGGTTTTAGTGCCTTATGTGGATAAGTTGTTGAAGTTGGAGAACAGCTCAATCGGAAAAGTTGTTGGCAAGGTGATTCTTTTGGCGTGGTGAATGGTGATGGAGAGGTTGCGAGACCTTGATGTAAGTGGACAGAATTTGTTTTATGACGACTTTTTTTTTCTCATACTAGTATATTATAGCCAGTAAGTAAAGTGATGACTCTAGTTCAGAGGTGTTTGAATTGGAACTTGAAGTTGCAGTTGAAGGCACTATGAATGAAGGGGAGGAGGTAGGGTCACTGTGTTTATTTGTTGTTTATGCTGAATCCACAAACTTAACTTGATGGTTGAAAGTTTCAGGATTACAAGATGCTTTTTCTCTCTTACTATGAAAATATGTACTTTGATTCATCTGTGGTTTTTTTTTGGAGAGCTCTCATTCATAAATTTGATTTCTCTTTTGCAGTTTCCAGTGCCGTCTCTAAATAAAATGGTTCAGCTAAAAATGTCGTCTCTGAGTTGTTGAAAAAATTAATGGTACTATCTTTTAAGCATCTTGAATCCTATCCAAAAGCTGGTCGTCTGGATGAGGTATGTCACCAAATGGTGCTTCATCAACATATCTTTCTTTTCATTTCCTAAGTGGTAGATGCATTCATCTTTCGGGGGTTCTGTTTTCATGGTTTCCGCCGTGCAGGTGTTTGAAATTCTCTTAAGAGTCATTTGAGAACTTGGTTCTCAACACGCGCAAATTAAACGTTTCACAGGTATGCACATGTATCTATATCACAGTACATAATGTATAACTTGGTCATTCTAGGCTCCTAACACATTGCTTCTTTGTTGGCACGAGATGTCTTGGCTTAGACTCATTTTGCTTTCGTCTGCAGTTGATATTCTATATGTGATCACTAGATCCTGAAAATTGTGGTGTGAAATTTGCAAGTAAGCTGTTGGACATATATCTCTCCGGCAACAATCCTCAAGTTACTATGTGAGTTTCATCTTATCCTTAAAGCTAATACTGTTTTCTATAAGTCACCAGACTTACCACTTGTATTTGGTTTTGTTTTCTTCCCTTACGAAACAGGATACGGTTTTTAAATGTGTATTTTTTACAACAGTATAAATTAGAGGGAGCTAAATGACTAATACCTAACATAAATTGACAGAACAGTGCAAATCCTAAAGTTGAATAGTGTTTTCCTTTGTATGCTATTTTTCTTTTGATGAGAGTCGTCGTTTCATCTCAATCTAGTTAGAAGTTTTTGTGCTGTGCCGACACGTATTTTGATATTGTGAAAATACTCAGTCATATCAAATCATATAGGGGCAAGCAAAATAGGGCTTCTGACTTTTTTTTGCTAGTCAAGTGGTGTTAAAGACTATGATAAATCGAAACCTGAATCATATAGTTTGAAAACATAAAAGCCAAGCAAAACAACATGAAAAGGTGAGAAAAATAGTACTTCATTCATGCTTTAAACTGAACGTTACATGAGTACGTACGGTGAAGGGTCAATGGCGAAAAGCTTTGTAGATAACAACACATCATAATATAGTGGTTGGTTGGTATACATGTCTTATTACTGTTTGGCATCATATTTTTCTTTCCTTTATCTCGCCACTATGAATGTATGTTACTTCTTTTCGGTTTCAGAGTTGTCGATACTGGTCGGGATGGGTTTACTTCACAGAGATAGAGTCATAACTCATAATAATACCCAACTTGACTCTTGCTTCTTGTTAAAAATCAATCCAGAATCCAAATACAAGTATGATACTACTGGAACTAAAAATGAAGGACTTTGGCAAAATAAATGAGATTTGGTGATGAAAAATAAGTGAAGTTCGTTTACAATTAGAGTTGGCGACAGAATATTAAAAAAAAAAATTAAGGTGGATTATTAAAAATTCAAAAATAAAGAAAGAAAAAGAATAAGGCCAATAATATTTATGACAAAAAAGGCCAATAGTATAAAGTGGGGATGGGAATAAATATTTTTATATTTGTCTTGTATTCCCTTCTTGTCCATGTCAATCTTGAAAGTATACATATATAAATATATGTATGTCGTTTTTAATACAAGTAAAAACATAAACTAGATAATTGCAACTTTACGTCAAGAAAATGAAATTATTGATCTAATAGACCACTACACTCAAAGACAAAAAAATCCGCAAATAACAAGTAACAAGTAATGGAATGGGACAAAACAACATGCAAGTAGACAGTTTTGTGAATCTTGAATAGCCGATTTTGTAACAAGTTTAAGATAAGTGATACAAAGCTCAACTGAGTTAAGTAACCAACCAAAAATCACGGGCAAAGGTTAATTATAAAGCACACAACAGTATGGTAAAGAAGAAGATGTGTTTTCGCGTTTGGGCAAAAAGGATCATTAAGGTGTAAGACCGAAAGGGCTCCACGCGCAGCGACAAAAACGGAACAAAAGAACAAAAGATTCAAAACCTTTCATCGTCTTTATATAAACATATCAACTGTTCGGATTTGTGTAAGACAAAAGAAAGAAGCGGAGATTACGGGGACCAACAGTGACGTGCCCCTCTCCCCCGTCGGTGCCCAATCCACCAACTTTTACTCTCTCTCTCTCTATCCATTGCTCACTTCACTTGTTTTGTTGTCTCCTCCTCCCTCTTCTTGGCGTATACGAACTCCACAACATGGAGACGTTCACCGTTTACGTAAAGACTCTATAGTCTTCAATAGTATCTGTGACTGTATGTATTCGAGCTTTATCGTGTAGCTAACCTCGATTTTGTTTATCTTCTGACACTGTTTTTGTTTAGTTAACAATGTTTCAATAAATATAATTTAAGTGAACTAATGTTAGAGAATAATAAGAAGAAGAAAAAACCTTTGTTACATGTACAAGTCCTCAAACCAAAAATAGAAAGAAATACTAACAATAATTCCATCGGTTACAAACAAATTGCGTAAACGCTTTTGACTCCATATACAAGTCAAACTATAATCAATACACGTGAATCATTTCGTCATTTGATTATATATTCTTGTTGCGACAAGATTCATTTCAATTACCCACCAAACATATTTTTTAATCATTCCGATAACTTCGGGTCGTCATGGCAGCAAATTTGAGTTTTTCGTTTAATATTGTATGATATTATGGTTTTGTGTGCTAATATCATTATTATATCACTATCCGAAATTTTAGACCTACATATATAGTTAATGCAATTTTTTCCTTTTCTCATGCATGCAATCAAATTTTGGTTTTCATTAGTTTTTACTTTTTTACTATATTGAGCCCCTAAAAATTGAAGGCAAATGACTATGAAGGTTCTTAACTCTTACTCCAACACCGAGAGAATCACAATTGCTAAATGAAAAATGAAATAATACGTTGGCAAATCAAATATATTCAAAAGATATTAGTTAGCTAATTGACTCTATTTGTTTACATGAAAAATTCCTTAAAATTTTTGTATTCGGAAGATTCATTTGTTCCCTTCGAGTGGATATGGAAGAGTTTCAAATACATTGCATAACACATTATTGGTCTCTTACTTTATTAAAAGAAAACAGAAAATTAATTTTTTTTAAATACATTCTTCTAATCAAATCATAATCCATACAAAAAAAAAGATTTGTATTATTAAATCTTTGTATTTATATGGAAACCAACCACATTATCCCACCATAATACATGATTATGAGATGACCTATTCAACAAAAACACACCTCAAAATTATCGAATTTCTCGGTGTATATTTTGGCAGCTAAATACATTTTATCTTTAATTGTTGTCAGAAAATGTTTTGTAACGTAACTCGATGGTCCCGTACTTATTTATTGCTTCATTCCATATTTTCAAGTAACAAAGAAAAGAAACAAAGTCACGCGTGAGATATAAAAGACACTATAAAAGAAGATCCTTTGCAGTTTCTGTGTTCTTGCTTCTTCTTCCTCCTCTTGCTTCTTTCTTTCATCTCTCTTTATATATTTGATACTGTCTGAATAAATAATAAAAAATCAACTCTTTTTGTCTTCTCAAGGCGGGAAAATAAAGACAGAAACAAGAACTAAAGCATTGGTTTTTCACACTTAATGTAGAGAATAAGACTTCTCGTACTCTCTTTTCTCGTGTTCCTTCTTATGACGGATTAAAAAATTTAGTTTTTTTTTTTTCTTTTGTCTTTGTCTTTGTCTGGGCGATGATGCCTAGAGAAAAGGGTGTCTGAAGATTTGATTTAAATAAGAACTCTTTGTTTTTTTTTTATCTTTGTTGTTTTTGGGTTTAAAGAAGGCTTAAGTACGATGCAGAGAGTACACAATAAGCGGATTGATTCAATCGGAGCTGTTAAACACTTAATCAAACAGAGTAACGGCGGCGACGGTGGTGGTGGAGGAGTGACGGCGGCGAATATGCAAGAACCGAGTATCGAAACGGATAAGCTCAGTTACGAGATTTTCTCGATCCTCGAGAGCAAGTTTCTCTTCGGGTATGATGATGATGACGCGAAGCTTATGGAATCACGGAGCAGAGACCCGAGCCCTGAGCAAGAAACGGCTTCGCCGGCGGAGATGGTGGAAGCTTTAAACGGCGTCGTTCCGGGTTCGATAAAGAACCAGAGAGGTAAAGTCTGTGTTTTGAGTATCGATAGTGGTGGAATGAGAGGGATTATACCCGGGAAAGCTTTGGCGTATTTGGAGCACGCTCTGAAATCGAAATCGGGTGACCCGAATGCCCGAATCGCCGATTACTTCGACGTCGCTTCCGGTTCCGGTATCGGTGGTATTTTCACGGCGATGCTTTTCGCTTCGAGTGATGGTAACCGTCCAATCTTCAAAGCGGAAGACACGTGGCGGTTTTTAGCTAAGAAAGGTAAAAGCTTTTACAACAACTCACCACCGGGGATTTTAAACCGGGTTATGAAAACCGGGTCGGGTGGGTCGGGATCGAAGCTCGAGAAAGCGATGAAGGAGTCGTTCGAGGAGCTTACGCTTAAAGACACGCTTAAACCGGTGCTGATTCCTTGCTACGACCTCACCAGCTCTGCTCCGTTCTTGTTCTCACGTGCTGATGCGTTGGAAACGGACGGCTACGATTTCAAGCTGTGGGAGGTTTGTAGAGCCACGTGGGCTGAGCCGGGAGTGTTTGAGCCGGTGGAGATGAGATCAGTTGATGGTAAGACACGGTGCGTGGCCGTTGATGGTGGATTAGCTATGAGTAATCCAACGGCTGCAGCGATCACTCATGTGTTGCATAATAAGCAAGAGTTCCCGTTCGTTAGAGGTGTTGAGGATTTGCTTGTGTTGTCACTTGGTACAGGACAGTTGGTTGATGTCAAGTATGACTGTGATAGGGTTATGAAGTGGAAGTCTAAGCATTGGGCTCGACCTGCCGTTCGCATTTCTGCGGATGGCGCGGCTGATACTGTGGACCAGGCTGTTTCTATGGCGTTTGGTCAGTGCCGGAGGAGTAACTACGTCCGTATTCAGGTAAATGCTTATGTGATTGTTCATTCTTGTGACTGTTGCTCTGGTTAAGCTTAAGTGCTGTTACTTTTAGACATCTTATTGGATGCAAAAATGTGTTATTAGATTTTATGAATCTTGATAGTAATATTGGATTCATTATTGTGGGTGGTGATTGTTATAGGCGAATGGTTCAAGCTTTGGTCCGTGCAAACCGAATATAGACACAGACGCAAGTCCAAGCAATGTGGATATGCTTGTGGGAGTAGCAGAGGAGATGCTGAAGCAGAAGAATGCAGAGTCTGTTCTGTTTGGTGGTAAGAAAATCAATGAAGAAAGCAACTATGAGAAGCTGGATTGGTTAGCCGGTGAACTAGTGCTTGAACACCAGAGGAGGAGTTGCAGAATCGCTCCCACTGTCGCGTTCAAGCAATCCGGCGACAGAAGAACCGATCAGCAGACGATTTTTAAGGATATTGATTGTATGTTTTGAAGATTTTAATTTGTATAGATTTGTGTTTTAAGTTCGGAGAAGAAAGTGAAACATTTATCTTCGAAATAGGCTTTTTATTAATCCTAAAGATATGTGTTATTTTCGTTTTACTAAATTGTTACTTAACTCAAAAGAGAGCTTAGTTATAACAAAACTTTGGTCGGCTACTAAGCACAAATTAACTTTAGCCTAATTACACCTTTTTCCATAGAGATAGTTGCCAACTAACTTTTTAGGACCCTTAATCTTCTCTTCTCTGTTTTGTATATCATTGATTCTGCTAAACATCATGATGAGTTGCAAATTTGTT